AAATTCTGTAAAACAAAGTTCTTTTACCAGTTGTAAAAATTTGACCCTTTAACAATTTTATATGGTGATATCCTAGTCACTTTGTCACGTTAGTCTTATTTTTATGCTTTGTATTTCCTATATAATTTTACAACTCCTCTTCAGTTTCTTATTGATGTAATTCAAATAATTAATTCAATCTTAGCTACGTACCGAGTAACGCTCCTGTTCGAACATTTGTATTTCCAAAATTATGTGAAGCCAAGATTATGAAGTCTCATTGGTTATTATTTTCTTCTTTCCATAGTCTGTAAGTGCCATCATCAGGTATGGTTCAAGTTTAATGTTCTGCGGTGCCCGATAGTTGTAAAGAACGCTTTGATGTGGGTTTCATTTATTGCCTGCACCACTTTGGTTCCCATGGTGCCAATGTTGAGCTAAAAGATTCGCTTATGTAGAGAAGGTGACCGGCAATCTTTCATCTTGCGCAGCTTCTTTTACTACTTACTTTTATGCAACGCAACCCGACCTGCCATCCAATTTCACCCTCAGCTTCCTAAGAGTTTTACGAATCTCCTCTGCTACCTCATTGTGGTATCGGTGGTCTTTTATCATGTACGACGATACTGGGCTATATGTTTATGTCATAGCGTTGTTCGTAATGTGGTCGGGGAGGATTACACTAGTTCTTTTCATTAGCCATTTCATTGGTTGCATCAATACCAAATTTCCGCCGGGATGGTCGAGCGGAACTTCATCGTATCCACGATGTTCCCTTTCACGTATACACTACCCCATCCCACATTGCCACCAATTCTGCTGCCATCAATGAATATGTAATAATTGCAATAATTTGGGTAATCCAAGACTATTTTCGGGCTCCACCGGATGGACCCACATCGCTGGCGGTAAAAGATGGCCGATTTCCCTTTCACATATACACTACCCTATCCCACATAGCCATCAATTCTGCTGCCATCCATGAATATGCAATAATTTGGGTAATCCAAGACTATTTTCCAGCTCCACCGGATGCACCCTCTTCGCTGGCGGTAAAAGATGGCCAATTTCATATTTTGATCCATAACAGTCATCTTTTCGTTTTTGCGTTTTGTAAATCTCCTTTTTTTGTTTACATTTAATATCAATGGAGATGGTATTCGATAGAACCAAGAGATGTAGACGTAGATGTTTCCTTTTTGTCCTTCTGTCTGAGGCACTCATTGATAGTGTGGGTTCCTATGCCACAGAAGCGTTCTGGTCCTATTAGCAATATAGCAGCCCCTTTTCTTGCAAGGGTGTACGCTTTCTCGTTGCCTTCTACTCCCATATGTCCGGGACCCAGCAGAGGCTGACTTTGTTCTGCGTACCTAATCTATTTAATTTGGTTTTTGCAGTTCACTACCATCTTTGAACTGAAATATCATTATATTTGAACTTAATGCTTTGATGGCTGCTTGGCTATCTGACCTGATATCTATGTTCTTGCTTTTGTACCTTTTAGTCAAGTTGAATTAAGTACATCTTGATTGCGTGGACCTCATAGAACCAACTGAAAATCGTCCTATCCTCTAACAACCCTCAAAGCTACTTTTCTTTTAATCCTTCTTAATTTGGTAACATATTTTTCTCAAGAGCCGACTCTCACATAGGTGCTGCACATGCCAATAAAGGATTGCTCTTTCATAAATCACTTCCACCATTTTCCTTACTATTGAAGAATACCAATCTATAAACATAAATTGTAGGTTTATGGTGAATATAAATGCATTGGTGTTGTCATTCGGATAATTTTGGTCTGCACAGTTTTTTTGTCGTTATACAAACCCACCAATGAAGTTGATGAGAAGCTAAAATCAAAAGCAACGAGAATAGGCAGGCCAAATTGATAGAAAACATGAACTTTTCAGTCTGTTTCAACAAACTCAATCTCAAAAGTTAATTAACAATATCGTTGTCTTTTTTTTATGTGTCCGGTTCGTGGGTGCAATAAAATGTTGCAGGTGCCATCTTATTGTATGCTGTAAGGATGTTTTCAGTTATTTCATGTTTGGTATATACAAGCACCACTGTACTCGATTTGGCATTGTTTTATTTTGTTTACAATGCGATTTACTTGATGAACTTATCATTTCACAGCCATACATCCAAATTAGATATTGAATACATAATATAAAAATGAACCGTAAATATATTCTCTTCGGATATAAAGGTAAAGGCAACTCCGAGTTAATACAAAATAATATGAACTTCCAGTTGAGTACTCTCTCTGTATGGATGTACCTCACTTTACCTCCAACAATACGCGATTTTACAGACTAGTTGCGGAATTCGTTTTCTTTTGTAAGTAAAGCACGTCAGATTGGATTTTTTTAGGGTTTAGCCCGTTCCACCTGTTGCTCCAAATTCCGATCTGACAGTAAACTATTGTGATTTTGTGATAGCCAGTTGTTGATTTCCTGTTTCTTCTGCTACATCGTCGCAGAATGGGCCAAATGAAGAGCGAATTGAGGATAGTCCTATACAACAAATATACATCGGTCCAACTTTTTGTTTTCCTCCAACATAAGATAAAATAATTCGATAGCCTAGCAGAAGCTATACACTGTCAAAAGCATTTTTAAAGTCACAAAACCGTAAACAGCACACAAATTTCTCAAAACGAACATATTTAATCAACGCTATTCATTATAATAAAAACAGCTAAAAAAAGATCAACTAGAAAACTAAAGATTAAAAATACCTTAATATAAATGATTTGACATATTTTCTAAGTCTTTCACATGGGCTGTACATAAAAGAATTAAATAAAATTAAGATAGTTAAAAAATGAACTGGCGAGTTAAAAAATGAACTGGCATTTATAGACGTTCGTCTGTTTAGAAATGGCCGTCCAAAGAACCAGTAAAGAATATTCTACATTAAAAATAACATCCTTAACACTTTGTCATATTTTGCAAAATGATCTTCAGAAATGAAAACAAAAGTCAAAATAATAAACTCAGAAATCATAGTATAATAGAGAATATACTAAATTAAAAACAATGACTTGCTGATGTAGTGGGTACATGAATAGACGTTAAAAGATACTTTCTTAGCAGAGTAAAGATAATTAACAAAAACCCAAGAAATATATTACTACATAATTTTATTTCATCTCAAATTTTAACTTTTTATAAGGGCTGTACACGATGTAAACAAAAGTTATAAAAGGAACGAAGGTTCAAAGACATCTGCGTGTTCAAGGATGACCAGACAATAAGGAAGAAATGAGAACAAAACTGAAATAACAACATAGAAATAGGAGTAGATCTACTAAATAATGTATATGGAATATCAAAAGATACTTTTAGTGGCAAAGTTATGATAATTACTACACCAAGAAATCTTTTGCTAAAACAACCGTTTTTAATGGCTATGGCAATTTCGATTATCTTCAATATGGAAATGGGTCGAACATCTAAACACCCATGGTGTTCAAGAGGTTTAACAGGGAAACAACGTAAAAAGCACCAAAACTGGAAAGAACCGTTCATTTTGGAATATCTTGGAATCGAAATCTTCCGCCCTTTGTGTGTCATGAACCAGTTTTTGTGGGTAAGGCCGAGAAGAACCGAGTCGGCAATCCGTTTTCTGAAGGCGTTTACTACCGTTGAAGAACAGGAAGTGATTCTCTGCATAAGCACGCACCCGAACAACACACGCACATGCGTGCATACACACACATATCCTTAATTCAACTTGCAGATTGACCATTGAAAATTATTAAATTACAAAATGTCTCGCTTTTAAAGTTAGCGCATCGACAAAAATCTATCGGTACAACACATTTTATGATATACCGTGGCCACTGCTTGTGAAATTTATTGTTTATGCAAAGACGATTTGACCGTCATTGTGTTCATAGGTAGTAGTCAGTGCCAACTCACTATTCGGCCTGAAATAATCTCTAAAAGGAAAGGCGTTTTTCCTGTTTGAAAGCTCTGCTAATTAATCATGGTTTTCTCTTTAAACCATTTCGATTTGATGGAAGGGAAAGTTTTAGGAAAATATGCACGTTCAAATATCAACTGGATAAATACAATTTGTCGATAGATAGTGTATGGGCGTGTTTCTAGGTCTAACTTATAGGTTTATTTTTTTAAACTATTAATCTGGTATTGTTTTGCCTCGTGTTACTAAAACATACGGTGATTGGGGTAGTGTAGTTGGTTGTGGGACTGAACACTGACGGTTTAAGTGGTATGCCACTCCCGTTAGAACCCATGTTGCCATATCTAAATGACCCCTCCACTGCCGGGGGTCAACAAAAAGCCCATTTTTTTATGGCCTGATGATTTTCCCCTTAGGGGAGGAAATAGATTATGATTATCAAAGTCGGATTTTTCACTGAACATATTTCATTTATGAAATTTAAAATATAAATAAATAATCATTTCCATTTCTCATACACCAAAGTGAATGTAGATTAATGCTGTGTGGGAGGAAACATTTTTTTCTCATCTATTACAAGCCAAATAAGAAACATTATTTCAATGGTGGATTTATCCCAAGTGTATGATTATTTATAAATTTAATAATGTGATTTGTTCATCAGTCAAACTCTCCTATTTAAAATTGTTAATAAAGATATTTTTTTTAAATTATATACAGTGATATTACAATGCATTATAAAAATTATAAACACCTAGCATTCGTAAAATTAATCCATATTTGCTTAGAGGTCATAATTGACCATATTAATTATTCCAATTAATTATCCTTTTTATCTAAGGTTTTTGGTTGAGGTGAAAAATTAGTGCCATGAGCGGGATTCGAACCCACAACCTTTAGCTCAATACACCGCTGCTCTAACCACTTGAGTTATCATGACTTCGAGCCACTGAGGCATCAACTCCTCTTCAAATCCCTCTCATGACACTACTTTTTCATTTCAACCAAAAACCTTATATGAAAAGAATTATTAATTGGAATTTTCATTATTTTGTGTATTTCCTATATTTATTTATCTTCCATTTCAGGGAGATGGGATGAAAGACAGCGAGGAGGAGCCTCGAAGCTCAAATATGGCATTAGACTACTACAACGGTAATGTACTTAGAACTGGCGTATCAACGGCCCTCCGTAGTTCATACAGTGATAGGTAATATTGAATATACTAATTATTATTTATAACATTTTGTTTTATAATTAATTTTATATTTCTAGGCATGGGCATCATCTTCACAGCTACAGAAGGGTGCAGGAAACGCTTTACCGTAGTAATTCTAGCCTTGAGTTGATGCAAGACCATGGGTATCAAAATGAGGCCAAACCAGCTACCCCTTTACTCAGAAGAGAATATGGATCTCATGGAAGTATTGATGTGATTGCAACAGACAAAACCCTAAACGGTACAGAATCTCTTTTCGAGATGTTTAATGAATTCAAAACCAAAGAGAGTGAAATAAGTTCCTTGCTTGACGAAGACAAAGCGACAAGTCCAAAGCTCAGACTGAAGTTTGGGCGGTTTTGGAACACGAGTGGAAATGCTAGTGTGAAAAGAACGAGTGAGGAGTCCATTATTTCTACCCAACAAGGTGATGAAGAACGACAAAGACGGAGAGCTTTCGCTCACTACGATTGTCGCTCTGTCACTGCGAACCTAGGCTATGCCGCCAGGCTATGTGGGCTCCTGTTGAAAAGAAAAAACACAACAACTGGAGCTTCAGCGGCTTCTATGTTGTGTGCAAGATCTTCCACTCCAGATACGCTAGAATCTGTAGAAGATGATCAAGGTGATGGAACTTCAAACGATCTTCTTGAAAGGTATTTCTGTAATGCTTTTTAGAAATTCAGCCTGTTAACATATTTTATTTTAGTTGTCCATTTTTTCGAAATGAAATTGGAGGAGAGGAAGAAAGGGTTGTAGGGCTTATGCGTGGCAGGTCGAAAAGGAAGAACGCACCAATGCATAAAACGGCTCTGGCATGTGGGATATCAATTTTGGAATTTCCTCCTGGTCAGAGTCACTGGGACGAATCACAATGTCCATATAGCGGAAACACTAGGCCTTTAGAAGCCATCGACCGTGGTGCTCAGTATTACAGAAAATTCTTTTATCAGCAAGGTAATTTTTTAAATCACTAAATCATTATGATTATTGAGCTTTTAATATCTGTTGATTTATAAAGATCACCAAAATTGGTTTGGTATGGATGAAAATTTGGGACCTGTTGCTATAAGCCTGAGGAAAGAAAAAGTCGATAAATCTAATGTAAATATGCCATCCCAGAGTATATTTAAGTATCGAGTGTTGATCAGAACTAGTGAGGTATTACTTACAATTTCCTAATTTTTAAAATAAAAATTAACATTGGTTGTTTTTCAGTTGTTAACCCTCAGGGGTTCAGTGATGGAAGATGTAATACCAAACCTGAAGCCAAGCTCGGGCAAATCAATGAACACAAAAGAGGTGCTTGAATATGTGGCACCCGAGGTCCAGATCAACTGTCTGAGGCTTGGAATCTCCGGTCCTCAGACAGAAGAGACACTGCTGAAACTTGATGAACAAGGCCTTTCCAGAAATTACAAAGTTGGAATCATGTATTGTAAGGCAGGACAGTCCACAGAAGAACAAATGTACAACAACCAAGATGCAGGCCCTGCCTTTACAGAATTTTTAGAGACGATTGGTCAGAAAGTGAGGCTGAAAGGTTTCGATAAATACAAAGCAGGATTGGATAACAAAAGTAAGAATATATATTACTATTCATATTATTTTATACCAGTTAATTGTAATAATTTTATTTTTTCTTTTAGCTGACTCTACAGGCCTTTATTCGGTTTATTCTCAGTATCAAGATTGTGAGATTATGTTCCATGTATCTACTCTTTTACCTTTCACACCAAACAACAGACAACAGGTAAATTTATTTAGGTGAAAATTGATGTTTCTAGAGTTTCTACCTTCAATTTATTCCAGCTTCTAAGGAAAAGGCATATTGGCAATGACATCGTCACTGTAGTATTTCAAGAGCCAGGAGCTGAGCCGTTCACACCAAAAGTCATTCGATCTCAGTTCCAGCACGTTTTCATAGTTGTTAGGGTTTTCAACCCTTGCACAGACAATACACACTATAGGTAATATTTTTTTAAAAATAATTTAATTAAAATTACTTATTGTGACAGTTTTTAAATTATAGAGTTGCTGTTACACGCTCAAAAGAAGTTGGTGTTTTTGGTCCTCCTATACCAGAAGGAGGAGCCTTTCCTAAGTCAAAGGCTTTTTCTGACTTTCTCTTGGCAAAAAGTAAGCTAAAATGGCAAATAATTACTAACACAACTCTGAAAAATTTCGTAACAAAATCCCATCCTAAATATCTTTTCTAGTAATAAATGCTGAAAATGCCGCCCATCAAAGCGAGAAATTTGCTACAATGGCAACCCGAACACGACAAGAGTATCTCAAGGATTTAGTCACCAACTATACCACAACCACCATGGTTGAAACAAACCAAAAATTCTGTAAATATTTTTTTTTATATTTTAAATAATAATATTTAGAATAAGACACCCCAGGTAATCAGAAAAGTTTGTACAGGTTTATATATAAATTAGTTTAGAAATATTTTATGCAGGATAATAGTCTCCCAATGAGTTACTAGCCCAGATATGCTTTCTTATAAAATTACTTATTCTTTTCAGCTAAGGTTTTTGGTTGAGATGAAAAATTAGTGTCACGAGCGGGATTCGAACCCTCGACCTGGGATTCAGCTCATTTTCCTGCTGTTGGCGAATATCGAACTCCCGATTGCACAAATGATTGTCCATTGCTAAGAAAAGATTAGAGCTAGATAGAGCTTGGTCCGGAGAGAACCGATAGTGTAGAAGGACTTTCCAAACCATGCTTCATTATCACCTCCTTTGTTGTTCTGGCAGGATGAGATCTCCCATTGTCCTGGTGAAAAATTACACATTTTTGTACATGAAAGAAGTTTGTTTCTGGACCAGGGCAAGGGTTACAATTAATCTTTGTTAGTGAATACTCAGTTTTCACAACAATGGGATTGGTTTCAACCAATGGTACAACCTCTTGTTATTTCTGTACAAGACCCATTTTTCTTCACGTGTAAGAAGAACGTTTATTTTATAACAAAATATTCCCGTCTGTTTAGTTTGAGGCTTTACTTCCACCAAGGTGAATGTGTGACCTTTCATATGAAAGAAGGCGGTGAAAGAGATGAACTAATGGAAGTTGTTGTGAGGCTGAAAAGCGTCACCAGCGGATCGGTAGCACAGGAATTGTCCCTAATCCAGCCAAAACAAGCGTCTACTTTGTTCTGTGAAAGCAATAAAAGGCAACTGATAAAATGCTGAAGCTTGTTACCGTTGGTTAATTTATGAGGAATGCATTTCCTCAGCTTTCATGAGTTGAACATTTTGGCAAGCTCCTGACGTGTTCAACTCAAATCAAGTTTGTCGGTAGCTTCCTTCAATTCATTGTCGTTCAAGACAGGTCTACCAGACCGTGATTCATGTTCAATCCACTCATTCCTACAAGAAATTTTTTTTTAACCGCATTTGGGCAGTGCGCTTACTTATTGTTTCATCTCCAAAAGTAGTGTACATTTTAAGAGCTGCCTTGGCGACCCTAGGATCAAACTAAAATTCATACAACAATTATGAACGAATGATGGGCTTTGAAGACATTTGAAAGAAAATATTTTATAATTTTAATTTTTCAATACATTTTTTCTTTATGAACTGATGCATTATCCTCTTGGTATTATGTGATGTAAACATCTAATCCTCCTTTGTAACGTTAAAGGCATTAAAACAATAAATGAAAAATCGCATGAACTTTTCTGGTAACCTGGTATTGCAAAACAAAAATGTTGTAACTTGAACAGAATTTTTCGTAATCATAAATCAAATATAAAAGATCATCCATCAATGTCTTCAATAATTATTTTATTCTTAACTTTCAGCAATGCTTTCTTTCGCCAGTAAGAAAAAGGATCGTTGGAGGCCAAGGTTTCTCCCGGATGCCACACAAAATGGAGCGATGTGCTGGCAGGTCATGCTTGATGACTTCAACGAATCGGGACTAGTCGACTGCTTCCTTGCAATATCTTCTGACTCTTTTGTTCTTATCGAAGAGACGTCTCGGGAGGTCATTTTTGTAACTCCGTGCAAGGCGATATTGGGTTGGTCGACAAACACCAATAGGTAGGTCTCGTGTTTATTTGTTTTGTAACATTTTATAACAAAATATTCCCGTCTGTTTAGTTTGAGGCTTTACTTCCACCAAGGTGAATGTGTGACCTTTCATATGAAAGAAGGCGGTGAAAGAGATGAACTAATGGAAGTTGTTGTGAGGCTGAAAAGCGTCACCAGCGGATCGGTAGCACAGGAATTGTCCCTAAGAAGAAACCCAGTCGGTCAATTAGGGTAAATTTTTAACTTTCTCGTTTATTTTTATATAAAATTAATATGTAATAATTTCACAGTTTTCACGTTCAACCTGATGGTGTTGTAACTCAAGTCGAAACCATGGGGTTGGCTTGGACTGCAGGTCTGAAGCAAGGAGCAAGATTGGTTGAGGTAAAACTAGTTTATATCAGCATTTAAAAAAACAAATAAATAAAATAAAGTGCTGCTGCTTAACTGATTATTTTTGTTTTGTTAGATTTGCAAAGTAGCTGTTTCAACCTTGAGTCATGACCAAATGGTGGATCTTTTAAAAACATCAGTAGCAGTAACGGTAACTGTCATTCCTCCTTCACCAGATGGATATCCAAGAAGGTTTGTTTTTTATTGTTTTCTGTTTTTATTTTTTCTGTTACATTACATGGTTTAATTGATGCTGTTTTAGAGGTTGCAAGGTTCCAAACTGTAAGTACAGCTCAAACCAAGAAGGCGATTATGAAAATATAAACAGCAATGACCAAAAAAGTAACAAAATGGCGAGGCAACAAGCGGTGACTGTTGGCACAAGGAAGAGGTGAGATCCTCGAGCTTATCAAATTATCCCCAAAAAATAAAAATAAAAATAAAAATTACAGATATGAACGAAGCTTTTCCCCTCCGAGATCGAGTAACAGTTCTGGATATGGGACTGGAAGCAGTAGTAAATCGTCAGCAAGCGAACGATTCAACAATTCTGCTGAGGTAATCAACTTTTTCATTTCTTTTCTTTCAAATAAGAATTTAATATTTTGATATTCAGGGACTGCATACAAGTTCATCGAGCGGTCAGTCATCTGATGAAAGATGGTATGACATATTAGAGGGAGGTATTGATGGCGATAGTAATTCTCCACCCCCTCCTTTGCCCGTTCGCCTCAATAATTACCTCCATCATGCACAGCAAAATTTAACAACCCCTAAGGTACTCATACAATTAGAAGACATTTCCCGCATTGCTAATGGCAGTAGAATTATTTTTTATAGAAATAGAATTTAGATAATTATTTTATCTCAATTTTAGTTGTTCCAAGCTTAGTCAGTGCTTTAATATGTTGAAATTTGTTCACAAATAAAGCACTTTTATTAATTCTAATAATGTATTTTTTATTGCATATTAAAATATTCAATTTTTCTTTTTTTAACTAAATTAAAATAATTTTTTATAGTCAAATGGATTTTCACTGTTGGACCCGCCACACGATTTCAAAGTTGGAGAGAAAGTTACTTGCTTGATGAAAGCAGAAAGGAGCCATGAACTTCGTAGACAACTGGAAAGAAATCAACTCGATTATCATTTAAGCCAGGTAATTATTGAAGTTACCATTTTTTAGTTTGTTCTATTTATCTATACGCTTTTGCAGAGTGAATACAATCTTCAGAGCCTTTATAAAAATGCTAATGAAAATGAGAAACCGTTGTCGCTGACATTGGATATGGCACCAGGCTCTACAAAGACTTTGAACGACGACCATTTAACAGACACTAGCTCAAACAGCGAACGCATCTTCGTCCTCACGAGTGAAGATGACTTATCGGGGAAGAGTTCACCTCTCATAAAGAGGCAGCTAAAGCATGGTAAAGAGAGCCCAAGGGGAAAGGATCCGACCAGAGAATCGGTCGGGGCCAAATTGAGACCAGGTGTCACTCCAAGATCACAAAGAAATTCAGCAAACTTGCAGTCTAGTACACTTCAGCAAGATCTGCTGCGTCTTATACACCCTGACTATATCCCACAGGGCAATGAAACCCCTGTTACACCTCCCAAGGTAAATTTTAAGATTTATTTTATGTACATATTTGAAGAAATTATTTTTCTCTTTCCTTGAAAAATATGCACATTATGAAACTTAAGTTTCATTTTTGAGAATGACAGCAAAGAATGTATTTCTAATATTTAAAAAAAAAGTTTAAATTCTCAGCTCTGAACTAAAATTTTTGGGTAGATAATTATTTCACTACATACACATACTTTTCCCTCACTTTCATTCCTCTGTTTTGAAAGTATGTATGTGTAATGCTCACCGAAAATTATTTGAGTAGTTAAAGATATATTATGCGTAATAACTACCTTCTTTGTCAGGACAATTCCACTGTCTTTGGTAAAATCCCAAGCAGCAGTAGTTCCGGAAGTTTGCCCGATGTGTTGAGATCGCCTTCAAGGGAGAATCTCTCCTCTCTCAGCCTTCGTTCTCACAGCCCTCCAACCAAAGAAAAAGACACAATTTTAACTCTTGCTAGACCAGCTACAGTTATATCCAACACATCAACAGCCTCGAGCCCGGCACCGAGTGAGAACAAGCTATCCAAAGACGAAAGGTGACTATTTTGATTTTTTTAAATCATTATTATTATTATTATTTTGTATGTCTTGTTATATTTTTATTATGTTTAGGTTATCACCAAGAATGCCTTTGAAGAGTAATATTTTGAAAAGTGTGATGCCAGATGGGCAGGATATGGACTGTTCAAGTCTGGTGGATGCAACTGGCAGAACTATGCTGCAAGTCAAGTCCGATAATGCAAATTCAGTTGAAATGTAATATATTTCTTTTAACCGTACATACATGTTCTGATTAGCTAGGTAAAATTGTTGTTTCAGGAGGGAAGAAGAGCTTTCTAAGCACATATTTCAACTAGAAAGCTGGCTATCAAGAGAGACGAGAAAAAGAATGTCCCTCGAAGAGGAGGTACGGAGCCTGCGTGAGGAGAATCGCCGTCTGCAACAGGAATCGCAGAGTGCAGCTCAGCAACTCAGACGGTTCACCGAATGGTTTTTCCAAACAATTGACAAACAGTAGAAAACATGTGCATATAGTTTGTATTATTTATCAACCAGTATTTTTTATTCTTGTTAATCTTAAAATGTTTTCACCAAATTTGATCATTAAGACTTAATCATTAACGTTAAATAGACAATAGTTGGTAATAATCTAGTCAATTACGCTGAATCCAGGTCTAGTGTTGTTAGTTGCAATAGCAATTTTTCATCGTTCTGACAATATTTTTATTTTTTTATTCAATACTACTTTCCAGCGAGTCTTGATGTATGAGTGGTACACACTCTTTCTGCTCTCTCTCCTCCCACAACCATAGGTTCTTAAGACTCCTAGGTACTTTTATCAAATCTCCAGCACAAATTTTCAAATACACTTATTTTCTTTACATACTTCTATTTATTTTGAAATTAAAACAAAGAAAAAATTAAAATTACTTGGAAACTATTAAATGGAGAACTAGTAGAGGTGGGTTGAGGGATGTGGGTGTGAAAGAAAGCAAGGGGTGAATTTTTTATTTCTGACCCCAAAAAATTAATTAATCAAGGCAATTCTGCACATCTTGACTCGTTTCCTGGATCTTAGTTATCTCAAATGTTTTTTTGGTTGTTTTTGTTTTGTACATAATTCTTTGTACTACCTAATGAATTTTTTTTTACTATAGCGGGTTTGTAAGTTTCACTTAATGCACCCTTATTGTCTAATCTATAATTAAAATAAAAGATTTGATAATTTTTCCAAAACAAAAATTTTATTATAAATTCCTTTACCTAACATTATACAATATTTGAAACAACAAAAGATACCCCTTGATAAGCACGATTCTGAAAAACAAGCACAGCCAGGTGTACAAGAGACAATGAACCTGGACGGAAAACCTGGGGATTCTCTTCGGTGAAGTCTTAGGGAGGAGGGTTTGACAATGGGGACGATACTCGAGCATGTAAACGGCCGATGCATCCCAGCATCCTCCCAGCTCTACTCGTCCAGGACAATCATACAGTTGCACCTTTACCGAACTCCATATCTATAAAACATAGGTTGGGGTTCCTTGGTTTGTATCCCACAGACCACGGGAGTAAATAGTTTAACTGTTTGCATGGATACCGAGCAAAATATAACGCATCGGTGTAATGTGCCTTAAAAACATCTGTTCATAAAACTATAGATATTTAAAGAAACATTTTGCACTTTTGTATAAATAATTCTAGTTCCAAACTATATAAATAGTATTAAATAATGATATCAACCCACTACTATTTAAATAAAAAAGATGGATCCAGATGAGGTTCTTCATCTCGTTCCAAACTTCTTTTAAGACAAAAATCATACAAATAAATGGAATATTAGTTATTAGGATCAAGTAAATAAATAAGGTGTAAAATTAAGGTTAAAGCAAGTCAGCCTCTTTATAACCCTGGCACTGCAATTAGTATTGGTGTGCATTTCCATTATTGTGTTGTTATTAAGCTTAAGCTTTTTACCACAAATCAAAGCTATTTCAAGGACCGTTGTGTGTATCCTTCAGACCCGGGCTTTTCCTATTCCAGGAGTAGGAATCTTAGCCTCCATAAACTTTCTCAAAGGACATATTCTGCCGCTCTGAGTTTATACATATGCTTCCAATGAATACAGTGTCCTAGAGGTAGTTCTGCCGTTAGCTTCTGCAATGGTACTTAGATGAACTTTTTCACATGCCTTTGTCCCAGGCAATATTTTCATTGAACCGAGGACTTATTTTTAATCCATTGTCTGATGGATCCACATTTTTGGTATGCCACAAAAGGGTTCAGGGGCAGTCATCCTCGTTGAACTTTCCTTGGCCTTTTTATCATCCTCTTCATTGGTGCCCAAACAAGGGTAATTTTCCCCAATGATTGACAGAGCCCTAATGCAAACCTTAACCACACTAGGCTTTACCACCGATGGTGTAATTGTCCTCAGTGTCGCCTGACTGTTAGAGTAGAGCTGTTAATGATACCTAGCCTTTTAATCTCATTGGCACAGACTCTGCTTAAAGACAGTGGCATATTACCCAAAGCCTATTTGAAATTTTTTGTCAAATGTGAATTTAAGGAAATGCATGCCCGGAATTGTCACGCCATTGTTCCCACAATCGACTCGGAACTGATAACATCATGCCTTAAGCTCCTCCCCTAAACTTTGCTGCTCTTTGTTATGCAAGTAGGCTATTGAAGGCTGTCCCTGCATTAGCCTATGAATTGTGGCTCTAAAGTCTCCCTAGATAAAGATATTGGGTGAAGATTCAGGATTTGCACGGCAGCAGTGGGGCATTCTCATTGCCCCAAAAGGTGTATACAAATCAAATAATTAAATCACATATTCAAATTTTATTTGAACAAAATAAAAGTCTTGCAAAGTAAAAAAATTACATTCTGATTTTATAGTTAAACCACACATCAGAGCAAGAAAGCAGAACAGCAAACTTTTAAAATCAACATTGCAACTTCTTGCTCTTTACTTATACAATGTGTTTACAGCAATTAATATCACAGTGTACACTTAATCTATTGAAATTAATTCCAGTTATTTTCTTGTTACGAAATGTCCTTTTTTTCTTTCCTAATAATTTACTATTTACAGTAGTAAAAATTGTTTTAAACAACTTTATGCTAACTATATCTACCTTTGGCTACTACTCTAGCAATATAAAAATAAAAGCACTTTTTTAAAATTAAAACTGATGTAATCAATGTCTGAACAAACAAATCAAAAAGGTGGGAAAATTATTAGGAACTAGATGTACACAAACTGTACTTATATAATTTTTTTAAAAATACATACACAATTCTATAAGAGTAAAAAATGATCCTGTAAGCTTTTGTTATACTTTATGACAAGTTATTCTTTCATTAGATCAGATCTTTTGAAAAATAAAAATAAAAATCCATTTTTTAACTGTTAATATCACTGCTACATCACCTAAGTCGTTACTACGAAACAATGTAAAAGAAGAGTGTATACAAGGGCATAATTTTTACCACACATATAACATGTTTAGCCAAAGTATACACATAACTAAATAGGATAACACACACTAGTATTATAATCATAACAATTAAACGACCACAAATTTATCAATTAAAGATTTTTAAAAATACACCACTTGATAACATTTAAATACAATTTACAATAAAAAGATTTTTTTTTCGCTTTCACAGTTTATTATAGATTTTAAATAAATGACGTATATATGGAATCGAAAGTTAATTAATAAAACTTAGGAAAGTTGGCACATATGCAGTGGCATGGTGGTACATGTTTAATTATTTGCATAACTTAAGACAAATTATGAACCAACATTCGGTATAATTAGAGATAATAAATAAAAATATAAAATCCCTAAAGCATCAGCACTTTTATGTGCAAATATCTGCAGGTTGTCATGAAGGCATCAGACCCAATTCAATTAGAGATTCATCGCAGAAAACACAAAAGGGAATCAAACCACTACTGTATTATACAAGACACTTAATGAACTCATCTCAACTCCTTACAAAACTTACAGTATGAGAAAACTAACTTTTATCAACTTTTACAATTCGAATTGTCAATTAAAAATTTTTTAAATGTACTACTTATTCCTGTACTATACCAATTGTATAGGTTCTAAAGTGAAATAAGAATTCAAATGCATATGCATACAATGATTCATAGCATGAATAAAGTACAGTGGAACTTTCATGGACACCTTTAAAAACATTTTCCTTGGACAGACAAATTCTGATTTCTCGGCATTTTCCCATTAGTTTCTTGCATTAAATTGTTGTATAAAGCAGACACTCCCAGTAATGGACGTAGCCAGCTTTTTCTTTTACACTGACTCTAAACCTCTCTTAACAGCGGAAAACATCCTCCAAAAAATGAACTTCTGAGAAACACCATTTTCCTTATGAGTTTTGTTACCAATATTTTCTCAATATTCCTAGATTTTGGTCATACCATTTTGCAAATATGTTTATATACTTCTTCAGTGTTAGACACTTATAAAAAAGTGAGAGAAAGTGAAAAACTTGCTGCGAAGTTTTCCATCAGAAAGACCCAAGGCAAATGATCTTTTAGAGAATTTTTTTCTAAATTTTTTCCTACATTTAGCCATAGACCAGGACAAATTGGAATGGTTTTGATATGCTCAGGCTTGTTAAATACCACTTTCTGGTCCACTTTTCTGAGAAAAGGGCTTAGCAGATGCAAACCATTTAGGACAAACTGTTTTTAAAGTATCTTCATGTTAGCTCGAAAAATTTAAAATAAAGCATAAGATTTTTTTAAGATCATTAGTGGACTAAAGGAACAAGCTAAAAATGAGCTTTGTCAAGGAGGAAAAGCTTCCAAGGAAACATAACTTTGCTCTTATGAACAGAGTAATTCAGTGAATTTCAAAAACCCTGTGGTCATAGAAAAGGCCTTGGTGTTTCAAAGGTGCCGATCTCTTGTAATCCCCATTGTGGCTCATCTTATAATACTAAATATTTTTTCCACTCTTATCCCAAGAGGGGAAACCTCTGTATAATGGACAATAATTCATTCCTTAAGAGTGTCTGTTATAGGGAAGTTTCAATGCATTTATTTAACTTCAAGGCAAACAGAAGTTTAAATGTTTATTTCGTCAATTTCAAATCAGTGAAAGTTTATTTATTAAATTATTGGTGTTAATTATTTTAAAATTATATTTACTAAATTTATTAGATCAAAAAAGGCAACCATTTATATAACATTTTTTAACCGATGATAAAATTAATTATTAAGTATGTAAGAAATATATAATATGTAACTTTAATTTTTGTATTGAAAACCCCTGCTTTCAGGACTTTTTTTTACTGTGAAAATATACATTTTAATACTTGCAATAGTTGACAATACTTTGATGTGAACAGTTATATATACAGATTTCTGATTTAATTTTAAGTAAAATTATAAATATTTACAACAATAAATTAATGATTTAAAAAATCAAAAATAGAGAATATCTTAATATTTATATGCACAATCAATTAAATTTATAAATTATAAGAACAATTTAACGATAAATTTTATGTGAAATCAATCTTGTTGACTAAGCAAATACAATTAACACGTATGTTTACATAAATATTTTTTGAAAACCTTGTTTTCTTTTTACAAGTCTAAGTTTAATTTATTTTTCTAGAAATCTTTTCCATTTGGTTTGGTGACTTCAGTCTTAACTGTACATCATAATAACACGGTTTAAATAGAGTAATTATGAACAGTCACTTTGTTTTTCCCTTTATTTTCTGTGCATTGTATTTTAAATACCAAGTCAATTGTTAAAGCAAAACAAGCTTTTTAACAAATAAAAAAAGGTGTTAAACAATAGGAGAACTTGTTACAACGATGAGCAAAGGTAACTAATAAATATTTTGGTAAACTTTCCCCACTAGTTTCTTTAAAAAACATTTATTAGTGTGTAAAGGCTAATATTAGTGTAACTGTATATTTTGTTTTGTATATAATTTTTTTTATAAATTGAGCATTAACTAGATACTATCATAAATAATGTAAATTCCTGAAACATTAATACTGAATCGGTCAGTACATTGTTGAAATTTGGCCATTCAGGAATAGATAGTTTCACATTCCTGTATTCATATTCACTCCGAAATATATTAAAAAACATATTCATCACTATATGTTTTGCTTAATTTAACTTAACATTATATTATTAAAAATAATTTACAAGTACTTATTTACATTTTTTAGTGTTGACTGTTAATCAGAATATTATTTTTAAGAATAAAAGCCTGGATAATGGTGTTTTTTACCTTGGAATGACTTCTGAACTAACATTTCTCATATTAACAAAATATAATAAACATTACAAGTTGTAGGCCAGAATTGAAGTTTGGTGTTGAACATTTTAGCCAATAAACTTTCTACTTTTGTACACAAAGACTGCGAAATAAAAAAATGTTATTGTCTCAATGTGTTTTCAGTCTGAAAGTGAGGCAGCCTGTCTACTCGAGGAAACAAGTTCGTTAATAGTGGAATTGTGCCTGGTTTTTCTTGAACCTTCATTTTCAAAAGTAGGATGTACTGAATGAGAGAGGGCCACCGTTTTATCAAAATCTATTGTTACATAACCCTCTGATGGGCGATTCGGAGAATCTGGTGGTGGATTTTGTTTTTCAGTTGAATTATCCAAATCCAAAACAATGTAATTAACATTTCTGTTTGTAGTTAAAGCATTTGTAACCGTGTTCATCGGTTCAATGGAACCTGGTGTGAGATTGACGTAAATGGGTGTCTCTTCACTAGGCGGAGCCCCACCAAGGTTAATATTCATGTAAAGCATTTCAGTTACATTCTCCTCAGTTGGGAAAAACTCATTGGTATAATTATTGTTAGTGCTTAGAGGAGGGGAAGGTGAAACGCAACCGTTGCTAGATCCAACACTATTCAACCGTGAAGGATTATTGTAGAAAGACAATCTCGGAAGACTACTCTGCCTAACAGAAACCAGACTGTTTGTAGTTACAGTTGCGTTCGAAACAATGGTTTCAGTGTTGGAAGTTGGCTCCCAGTGCGTACCAGAAGTGGGCCTTGTTTGTACAGGCGTCGGTGTACCTACCTCACGAGAGACAGTATCCTCATTATTTCTTAACTGCAAATAAATAACATCACAAAAATCTTTTTTAAATTTAACGTTTTATCATCAAACTGGCACAGCCATAAATTAGCTTATAATTATATATGTCAATTATACATTATGAAAAATAAAGTTAAAACAACAGGATAATAACGATATGAGGTATTTTAGTATCTTAAATGAAAATCCAGTAGAATTTTGTTTATGACCCATTGTATACACCAAGCTATTATAACATAGCATTCAAAAATATCCAATCTAAGGTGACACTCAAGAAGGAAGCATTTATATAACTTCAGTTTATAATTTTATATCAACCAAAATTGAAATTGAAAGACTTCACAAAAATTCTTATGTCAGTGTTCGTCCTAATACTAAGGATCATTATTATTTGAATCTTCCTTCAGGTAATTTTAATTGGACCCAGACGAAAAAGGATAGAAAATCATTTCACATATCTTTTCTAGACCTTCCCCGATCATCAAGGTCTATATACATATTTTTTTACTGGCTTTGTCATACTTGTTTTTGACATTTTACAATTTTCAGTGGTTGGTCTTTTCAGACAGATAATAAGGCAAGCAGGAAGAAGACCAGGCTGAACTGCAAGTTCGCCACATCAGTCCTCATCACTTTTCAAAATGATAGATAGATACGATTTTGTATTATGAAATCACAATGGTGTTAAACACACATACATGACATTGAAACAAATATCAATGGTTTTTTTATTCAAAAATATCTACTAGTTCATAAATAGTGAACTCTTCTTAAATCTATCCAATTTGAACAATCACTCACAACAAGAATTGAAGATTTAAATAATTTCATCATTTTTTGTATAAAACAAAACAGAAATTTCCTAGATGGTACTTGTAACTTAAACAAAAACAAAAAATTAATATTAATACTCTAAACTAAGATTGATAATCAACATACCTGTACATTGGCCTGGACAAAATTGAAAAGAAGTTCTGCCCTACGACAGCTGAAGGAATAAATGCCTGATCCAGTTGGACACCTCCGCCCCGCTTCGAAGCTAAAAACTTGATTATCATACCCATACCTTCTGAGGGAACGTAAAGGCCATCTCACGGGTGTCTTTCCTCTTTGGTAAAAAACAAGTTCTGTGTCATTGACTTCAAGCTGTCCTGAGCTCAAGCGATTTCCGACATCGTCGACATTACTCACCTTGAAAATGTAAATAAGTTAAATGATTGTAAAGTTAAAAATAGAAGATAGACTATAGGAATGTGCTGTATCAAATAAACAAACAAGCTTAGGTCATAGTGTCTTACCTACAAATTCTTTAGTTTATCAATACAATCGTGGGAATTGATTGCGGACATTTCAAAAATTTTCCTTTTTACATAAAACAAGGAAAAGTTATGGACTTGTGTTGCCTTACAAAAATAGCTAGGAATTTTCAAAATAAATTCCAGAAAACAGTAAAATAATTTTTTTTTTTTAATTTTCAACAGTAACACAATAACATCTTAGGGCATCGGTGGCCGCAACAGTTTGGGTGTTGACACAGCGCTCACCACTGTAAGGTGAAGGCCCCAGGTTCGAATGCAGGACATACTTACAAATGGGCTTTTTTCAAACAAACAAAAAAAATCAAATTTTATTTTTTTATTTTCAAACTGATGTTCGTTGTGGTCTGCACAAGGAGACATCCCTTTGCTAACGATCTTTTTTTTTCTTTCAACCAAAGGGTTATTTAGGCTAGGTGTCAACTACTGTTCTGTTATCTTTACAAGAAGGAAAAGAGGAGCCCACACGTGAGCAGCATCCCCCAGTTGGATAAACCGGCCTGCACTGCCCACAAGGAGGACAGGCAAGAACCACAACTTTAAAGGAATCATTAAAGGAATATTCCTTGTATTTACAGGCATTTTGTGAGGTTAAGATCTTTTATCATAGCTATAAAAAAAATTTTCAACATATACATACAAAAAGAAAAAATGATTTATCAATAAATAAATCAATTGATTATTAATTAGCTGTGATATACTAGATCAAAAATGACCAAAGTGAAGAAATATGTAACAAAAAGACAAGGAAGTTACTAAAGTCGCCAATTTGTACAGAAAACTTAATAGTTGTTTACTTATTTATTCAGTCCAGATAAATTCCAAATAACTGTTTATAACAATAAAAAACCACAGATTAGTTTCTTAGTAGAATGAATAGATTGGATTAGCAAGTGATTAAGTCACTTTGGGCACATAAAATTACAAATTACCTATTTTCAAGTAAATTTGTCACAAAAAAAAATTTTTTGTAAATTTATTTAAACCTTTTTAGAGCTTGAAGATTTTTGGTTTCAATATATGCACTCTGTACTTCTCTGGAGCAAAATCACATGTATTTTAGTAGTTCCTGATTAACTTATTGTGAAGACAAATTTGGCATTTCACCATTAGTTTTTGGTGAAATGTTTGTTGTTTGCATCTTTGAAAAAATTAAGTTTTGAGTTTTTGTCATTGATTGCTCCAGTCAGAAATAAAATAATGTAATGTGTTTACGACTCCACAAACCCAAATGAAGATAGTGACAGAACAAAACAGAAAGGAGAGCCAGACAGACCAAAATGAATGAAAGCATACAATGTAACTGGTAATTTTATATTATTTTGGTCTGTCTGTCTATCCTTGCTGTTTTGGTCTGCCCAGATATATTTTGGCAATTCTCCATCTTCAACAGTGGGTTTGTATGATATAATTGTCTGTCGGTGACTTTGTCAAATTAAGACTGATTTATTAGTTATAATTTGCTCTGAAAAACAGGAAAATACCATACAAATTTGTACTCCTTAAACCCAACTGAAAATAGTAAGATGAATCTGTCAGACAAAAACAGCATACACAGGCAGAAGGAATGATCGGAAATGACCAAACTATTTAATGCGTTTAATCATTTTAGTCTGTCCAGCCCTAGCTATTTTGGACTGTCAGACAAATTTGGTATTTCTCAATTTTTAAGTAAAATAATGTAAGACGTTGAGATGTGTCTGTCTGTGTGCCAAAAATTCTCCAACTTCAATAGTGGTTTTGTATGATATAATTGTCTGTCGGTGTCTTTGTCAAATTAAGTCTGAGTTATTAGTTATAAGTTGCTCTGGTGAAAAAATAAAATATCATAACAAGTTTTTAGGGACTTCACAAACACAACTGTAGATGGCAAGATGCTTCTGATGGATCAAATCAGTAAAGACAAAGTAAAAGAATGATAGGAAAGATCAAACTACATACATTATACAATACAGCTTGGTCATTTCCGATCATTTTGGTCTGTCCATCCCTAGTTGTTTTGTATTGTCAGGCAAATTTGGCATTTCTCAATTTTCAAGCAAAATAACATAAAATGTGTCTGACAGTCCAAAACAGCAAGTAGAGGCAGACAGGCCTCTATTAAAGGAAATATGCATATATAAAACAATGTAGATAGTCATTTTTGATTATTTTAGTCTGTCCATCCTCATTGTTTTTGTATGTCAAACTAATTTTGCTATTTCTACAACTTTAAAAGTGGGTTAGTATGATACCTCTGTATTTGCCAAATTAAGCTTGTCTTATACAAGATAGATTGGTCATTTCCAATAATTTTCGTATGTCCATCCCTAGTTGTTTTGAACTGCCAGACAACCATGTCAAGTAACATAAGATTTTAAGTTTTTAAGAACCCTATAAACACAGCCTTACTTGGTGATATGCATCTAACAGATGAGAATGATTGGAAATAACAAAGTAGCTGGTCATTTCCAATCATTTTGCTCTGTCCATCCCTAGTTGTTTTGAACTGCCAGACAAATTTTGGCTTTTCTCCATTTACAAGTAAAATAAGATTTTAAGTTTTAAAGAACCCTACAAACACAGCTATACTTGGTGATATGCATCTAACAGATCAGAATGATTGGAAATAACAAAGTAGCTGATCATTTCCAATCATTTCAGATGCTCTGTCCATCTCTTGCTGTTTTGGTCCCTTAGTCTCATTTCATCATCTTCTAGGTCTGTGTAGTGGCATGTTTGTGTTGAAATCTAACAATATATAATACAAGTTGAGATAAACGCCCAAATATGAATAAAGCTGTTGTTTCTTGTAAATACTTCTCAGAGTGATTCATATTGTTAAAATGCTTGAATTAAATTGTTTAAATTCTTTAAATAATGGAGCAATTATAACACAGATTATTGACTGCAATCGAAGGAAACTGATCCCATAACGTAAAATGTGCCAATTACTCAATACATGTTATGAAGTTCTCATTTTTATTATAATTGTTGCTTTTAATGAGAATGCCATAGAATTCAACAGTGAGAGATAGCATACTGTCAAAAAAAAACTTACTTGAAATATGTTTGGATGCAAGTCATTTATATCGTGTTTGCTCGTAACACAGCCCATCTTCCAGCATTCTTCGACAAAAAAAAAACAATCAGGAAACAGAATCAAAATAATTAACCATCGTCGGTTAACAATCTGAAATTAATCGTGTACCTGATAATTTGTGTTTGACCCAAGTCATTTACAAAGCGTTATGCCTTCGTCCGAGGGTCGGTCATTTCCAACCAGTCCCAAACGTCGAGAACGCACACAATAGGTAAATGCCAAAATATTCAAACTATTAATTAAAACGTCTATCTTTTCCACACTGATAACCATAAATGTAGATAAGAAAAGTTTTTGCCAAATTTCTCACTTTAAGGATCAGATTTCTGTATGAATTTAACATGGACAGCAGATACAAACAAGTGATTAATAAAATACCGATTATTGGAAATACAGGCAAAAATGGAAATTTATTTTTTTATCAGTGGCTGAATTGACTCGTCCTTTAAAACTAAAACAAACCCAACACAATTAGCAATGTTTCGATAACAAAGATACAAGTTAAAGTATCGATAACTTTCGGCGGTACCAAGCACTATTTTAGCATCGACTAACTCCCAGGCCGATACCAATCGACTAAATTACTTAATAATCTGCCACCATTAATTATTTGCTGGCAATTGAAAGGAGTTAGTTCAAATAAAATATTTTTAATTGGTTGAAGTATAAAGCACCATCCTTTTAGGCTTATTATTCTTCTAGATTCTCTGTCCTGTGTTTTTAAATACATTTTCATTCTATTCATCCTGTTTACACTTAACATCGAATCAGATTCTCCTTCATCACATCTTTATTCTATACTCGTTCTTCAAATATAGATTATTGTTTCTTTGTAGGTCATTTGCATCTTCTGAGTGGTCATTTTGGATGAAAGTACTGATCATCCTGTTCTGCTGTGCATTGTGATATATTTTGACCTTGTTTGTTATAATTGTTGGTTAAAAGTTGAAAATCACCACTCAATATCTTCTCTTATGAAAATATCCCTTGCATTTTCTCTTTAAAAAAGTCCACAAACCTACTAACCACACATCCTCCTACATCAGCCTCTTCCTGCAATGAAAAATATAATAATAAAAATACTTTGAACACAGGGATTAGACTATCTTCTTTTCAGCGACATCTTATTATTAAATGATCTTATGAACAAAAATGTACGAAAATGAAAGTATTTCTGCTTTTTTCAATCTACTCAATGTGAAAACATTTCTTTTCGTACCAAAAACTCTCCGTTACTCAAAATTTCTTTTAAAGTTTTAAATATAAACATGTATTGTCATATTAATAAGCGCACATACACGTTTTTTAAGGGTAATTCTAAATAAACAGAGAAAAATATTTACTAATAAAAACTATTAATAGGTAAATTAGTTTTTTCTTCTATTACTTGTGTACTATGAATATAATTTTGCGTTTTGAATCTGAAAAATCACATGTTTTTAGGGTATACAATTCACAATTTAAATAAACAAATAGTTGGACTCTATTTTGGCTATGTCAGATTTAGTCTTCAAGTAATACCAAGAAAAATATATGATAATCGATTTAACGTTAGATTTTTTAACATTTATACAACTATTGGCGTAAAATGATTATTTTATTTTTGCCGAGTATAATTTTTGTTTTTTTTTAGGTTCTTAAATTTATATTGAATAAAAATATGAAGTTATTATAAAAACGACCCAGTAGAAGTAGTTTGTAATCGATGTTAGATTGACCATTTAAGGTTTCGATTCAGACCTGAACGCAACTTAACAATTTCCATTAAGCATTTCTTTTCAGTTTCATAAAGTGAAGAGATGGCAATTTGATTTGTAATATTTAAAATTCGACCCATTCAAGGAAACGCTTAATCTCTTCGTTGTGTTGTATTAATTTAAAAACATTCTCAACAGTTGTGAGATCAATTCTTGAAAATTGTTTCTCCCTTAGCCGGGATATGTAAAGGCCGAGCAGTTTGTCAAGATAACGCTGTTCGTGAGCCGAGAAGTTTCTTACCCGAGGGCGAGTCGGCTAGGATAAAAGAAGGTATTAAAATATATTTATTCGATTTATTCTGCTTAAGTGGATCATTTTTTTTTTTTTTTTTGAAAATGCGTCGTATAATACTAATGACAAGGCCCGCACACGGTCAGACAATTTCGCTTTTTTACATGTACGTTCAGGTTCTTGTGCTAACTCAGGTCGTTTTTGAAAATGTGAGATGTCCGACAATGAAGCTAGTTGGATCGTAATCGTTGCCGGTCTAAAAAAAAAAGAAAGCGGGGTCATAAAAAAGGATTGATCAAAAATGCTTAGTTGCGGTAGCCCTAACGGATGCTTTGTGTTAGATGAACTACTAGAAATGACCGCATCTTTGAAAAATGCCCTACATTCATGAGTTCTTTCCTCAGGAAAATATCATTAAACAACCACAGATGGTTCTCAAGAAACTGAGCCAGAGAGTCGTCCATAGTGCGACTACTGAACACTAGACATTTTCAAAACTGAATTGTAGGATCGTATAAACCACTACCCAACTCAAAAAACAGGTTTCAAAACCGACAGACGTATGTACTGCTACAATGCTACTATGGGACGACACACTGATTCGGTTATTCTCTCGATAAAAGCTTCAGTCAAAACCGCTGCGGAAAGGTGTGTTTTAAATGCTCCCATACCCTCAAACACAGTGTCTTTGTTCCTTATATGTTAAATTTCTTGTGCAAACCTTAGGATTTATAAAAATTGACCCTAACCACCCCAATAGTTATTGCTTTTTATGTGAGATTTCTTCTGTTTGATTTGCCTATCATCACTTAATTAGTCAGAAAATAAAAAAGAAACTTTAGGCCTCTTTCAGCCTAGTTGATTAAGTAGGCGTAGGTGTCAAGAAATGAAGATAATAAATAATTGGGAACCACCCGAACCCCTTCATACTCAATCAACTCATCCACCCAGGCAGGTGACCAGCAAGCACAAGTGCCGGTAACGTTCTCATCCCTACTGGTTGACTCACACATGAAAGTCACAGCTTGACATTTGTTGAATAGTTGAACAAAGGTCCTTTGGAGTTTTTGCAGCTCCTACCCTCAGCTAGGATGGCCCTGCCCTGATTGGCTGTTAACTTTTTCTCCGGGTATTCCTCCAACACCACGGCCATTTTTATGGTTTTGAGGGCTTGCTGATATGTCTTATTGCTCTCCCAACCCAATTTGTAAGGGAGATGGTTTGTTCCATATCGTTTCCCTCAAGTTTGCTTTATTTTGGGACATCCTAGGAGCATTTCAACTTCATGATATGGTGCTACCCAGTGACCTGTCCCTTTGGTATTGGCCCTGGTTTTATGGTCGGCCTTGATGCTGATTTTGTTTCCCTTCCTTCATTCTTTTTAGGATTGGCTTCGCCTTTTGTTTAGCTCGTTCAATTGACATTTTATACCCCTGAGCCCTGAGATTTTTTGGGGGAGTTTGAGGTGTAATTCAATCTTCTCCGTCACCTCCATTTGAGTGATTTTGTCTTCTGGTTTGATTTTTCCTGATGACCCCCACATCATCAGAAGGTGATGTGAGGAGATTATCCTCCATTTCTTGGTTTAAGGGAAGAGGGTTCGGAGTCATTTAAATTTCCATAAGTTGGTTTTTGGGGACTTCCTTTGCAGGTTTCCCCAGTATTTTGTGTTTTCTTTTGGTTTATCCATGTGATTCCCATTAGTATGAGGGAACTAAAGGTCCACACCGGAGGAGCCCTCTCTCCGGTTTAAGGTTAATTACTTGAGGTACTTACCTGGTACCCGTGAGGCTCCATTATTGGTTCAGTTACTCTTGTACCATCCATCCATTGGCATGGGTCGCATAATACCTTAGATTGGGGCTGGATTATAAGAGATTAGGATTGCGATTGGGGTAGGAAGAGGGGTAAGGTATAGGGTGTAGGGCTTAGGAGGTGACAGGTCCAGCTCCTGTTCTTTCGTTCCCCTCTTTCTGTCTAATCGATTAACAGGGTTCACCCGCATAAGCTTTGTGAATGTGGAAAGTCGGAGTTGAGTATTAGATAATACCCATTTATACCCCTTATTATGATTACCATACGTATCCTAATTATGACTAGTAAATAAAAAAAATTACTTTTTTATGCAGTAAGAGCAAAAACAATTTGGCAAACATGAACATCATATATTTTGTTTAAAAATTTGTGATTTTTACATCTACAAAGAAAGCAATGCATTTCTCTATTTTTACAGATTAATTCAAGAAAAAAGAGAGGCGTTTTTATTTATTGAAGAAAGAAGAGAATCGACATTTGTTTTGTTTCGGCGAGGCGAAGCGTGTGTGAATGTAAGTTTTTTTATCGCCGCGAAATGTTCGTGAAGAACAAATAAAAAAATTTAAAAAAGCGAAAGTTAACTGTTGTCTCGTTCATTTTCAACGGGATTAATGGCTGAGGAAGAGTACGTGAAACCGACATTCGTTATTCAACCGTTTCGAGTATTCGCGTGTCCGGGTACGGTACGATCGAAGTTTCCGCCGTGACGTGGATATTTCTAAAAAATTAACGTATTATTCTATCTTTAAAAAAATCGAACTCGTTTTTGGCATCACCGCGATAACGGTCGTATAACAATCGTAATCGGTCAAGCAGTTTTTAGGTGAATCTCATATGGTTTATCATTTCTCCTATTTGTTGAGATTCACCGTTTGCGTAACTGCTGTTCGCTTCTTGCTTTGAATTATCGCGAAGGTAACCAGAAATATGCAGCAGATGAGGTATGCTCTTGTTTTCATTTATAATTATTTTAGTTTTGTCTTATAAACTTGTAACAACAGTTCACATACAACTTTCCATTTATGTGGAAGAAAATAAATACAGTATGGCCTTAAAATTTTAGAGAATCTACAAAAAGAAAGCCATGATGTGTGTTTCCTCAATCATATTCCATTGAATATATTATACAGTTTTATAATAAAAGGAAAAAAGGAAAATGAAAGGATGGTTAAACATGCAAATTATTTTAATGCCTAGCTTGCTATGTTTATATCATCATCATTCATGATTAAACAAACACAATAATTAAATTTATTATGTATTTTAATTTAGAAAATATTTTGCCTTTTATAAAAATTCAGGTTCCAATATTAGTAGAAAAGACTATCTTTATGTAATTATTTTCTTACCAAATGATAAATTGTATTAATTAAAGTTTGAAAATCCCAATAATTGTGGTATATTCACTGAAAGCTTTTCTATAAAATGATATACTTCTACCAGACTATATTTTCATCCACTTTTTTTTTCTTTTTTTTTTTAATTTATTGACTTTATAGAGTACAAAGGATATAAGTTGTCTTAATACAAAATTTATTATTTATTTTATAGAAAATGGCTAAATAAATTCAATACACTTACTTTTATGTGTTTTATTGCAAAACTTGAGTTCGTACAACTTCTATCAATCAAATTCTTATGTTCATTTTTAAAACACACCAATTGTTATAATTTATGGTTTTTCTAATTTTAATTCTTAATTTAATTAACAGTTGTTATATGTTATATACATATTTATGTACATATACTACCACACAAGATTATTGGATACACCAGTTTTTAATGAAAGTCACTCTAGTGGCCAAGCAAGACTATCAAATTATTTCAGATTGTTACAACAGGGAAACAACAAGCAAGTAACATTTTAATAAAATAAATTTAATCATAAGTAAAAATAAAAAACGTTGAAAATTCTGTACAACGAAAGTATTGTTTAATCCTTCAATTTGCACTAATTGTTTTGGAAGAGTTTTAAAAAGTTACTTGCTTTTTTTTCTCTTTAAATATTGCTCCTGGTTTCTATGATGAAATTTTCGAGACCCTTCTACAGGGTTGAACTGACGGCTTCCCTTGTGTGAAAAAATTTGTAAATATTGGTAGAAAAATACACCAATTTTTGAGTCCTTGTACGACGTTAAACTGCTTTCCTTATCTGAAAAAAAATTTAAATAATGTAAATTGTGTTTTTATTGAAAAAATGCACCGATTTTTGAGTGCTTCTGTCGGGTCAGACTTATTTCTAAAAAATTTGAAATTATGAAAAATTGTTTTCATGGAATAAATGCACCAATTTAAAACGCGATCAAGTTAAAAACTTAGTGGCTTATATTTTGTCACATATAAACATCAATTTTTTAACTTAACATGTAAATATAAACATGCGGAATCTATAATGTAAGAAACGTTTTATGTGTTTCTGTGTTTACAATGATTTTTTTTTTGGGGGGGAGGGAGTATATGTACATATATATGTATATAAAATTAAGGTTTGAATCTGTAAGTAAAATATTTATAATTCTTAGCTTGTTGGATTCGCCCATTGGCCTTTTTAAGTACATACAATTTCTGCATACAAAAGTATCTCTTTCCAAGGTAATTAAAAGTCAGAATATATACGATGCAAAAAAAAAAAAAAAATCATTTGTTCTGTGCAGAAAAGATGTCATCAAGGAAATCCACCCGAGACAGATCACCAAAATCACGACTTCGAATGGATTCTTACCAGAACAGAAATGGACGAGGCAAAGGTATTTTGTTGTGAATTTCCCTTTTGATTTGAGTTAAAGAATATTTTCGTAGGATCCCCGAGGCACAGAGAAAGAGAAATTGACAGTGTTATGAAAAAGGCGAGGAGTCAGAGAAGCGGCAGTCAAAGTACTTATTGGAATAAAAAGCTACTCGAGGCCGAAGAAAAAGATCCTAACAGGTACGATTTTTGTATATGTTGAAAACATATTCATAAATTAATATTTCATGTATGATGTAAAACATTGTTGTGTAACCTACAAAGTCAATATTTGTTCATATACAGCGTGATTACTATCCTAGATCTTGTTGGTTAAACATATTTCACACCATTCACAGCAATAAAACATTAAACTTAATCCACGAACTCACTACCCCTAAGCACTTTTTGCTTCTCATCTAAATTTTTATTAAACTTATAAGATGCACTAAAACATATGATAAGAATACAATACAAATAGGCAAAGAAACATTATTGGATATGTTCAGGTTTTTAAAAATTTTATAACGTTATTAATTTAAAAACAATATTTATTGTAGATGGAGACATAGTGGTTACAAAGAATTATATCATGGGGAGAAAAGGACTTCTAGATCACAATCAGGCACTGATTCGTTATCAAAGTCAAAATCAAGATCCAGATCAGTTTCATCAGGCAAATCAATTGTCAAAAGTCGGCTGTCACCCAGGCATAGGCCTAGGTCACCGAGAAGAGACTCGAGAGCGAGGTCACCCCAGGAAAGAAACTGGTCTCCGAGACATCGAGAGCGAGGCCGCCTTTCATATTCTAGTGGTAGATCACCAAGAGATACTCGAGACTCTCCGCGCATTGATACAAGACCAAAATCGCCACACCGTTCTCCAAGAAGGGAATCTGTTGACAGAAATGTCAAAAGTTCAAGAGCACATTCTTCAAGAAGGGATTCAAGAGGGTCAATGAGGAGTCCTGAACGGTCAAGATCACCCAGGGGGCGTAGAAGATCTCCCATTCCAAGAACTCCTCCTAAACGACCTCCTTCTCCTAGATCTAAGGCTAGTAAAAGTCAAAACAATGTTTAATTGAAACATTTATTATTATGAGTATGTATTTATTTATTTTTTCCATTATAGTGTCGTTCAGAAAGTTGTTCTTCTGATACAAGCAGCAGCTGTTCCAATGAATCATGCTCCGTTTGTTCTCCAAAGAGAAAAGGTTCAAATGAAAGGGACGAAAGGGATACAAAGAGGCCAAAATCTAGAGATAAAAATTCTCTTGAGAGAAATCGTCATGAAAGATTGAAGAATCGACCTGCTGTTCGTTCAAGGTATTTAAAAGCACTTGTTTGCTTATTTGCCTACCAAATAAAATGCCATGTCATAATATACATTTTGGAGTATTCTGTTGTGATTTTCAAACAAAATTAGTGTAAAGACATGATTTTGTAAATTTGTTGCTGACTTTACCTGTTAAGAAAAATGAGCCATTATTTCAAAAAATAGATATTAACTTATTATAAATACTGGCTTATTAGTTCAATAGTGGCTTGTAAAAAGAGTACAGAAGCATTATGTAACATGAAAAATTTATTAATTACTAACATAAATACTAATAATTTGCAGGTCAAGATCTTTTTCAGCCCAGAGATCTAGAATTGGTAAATTAGCAAGGAATAGGCGCAAAATGATTCCCGATAAATCTGTATTAAAGGTCAGTTACTTTTCTTATTGATTTCTCTTTCTCTTTTTTTTTTTCTACAGTAAGAATAACATTTTATTTACTTTACCTTTTATACAGGTTAATCGGTCTCACTACATTAAAGTGGAATCTGACTCAGACTCAAGCAGCAGGGAGAGTGTGAGTGCTGTAGGAGTAGTCGCCAATGGGCCTCGAATCAGCCTTTCCGAGCGTTTTGGCCGAATGGCACAATGGTCTGTAGATAGAGATCTGGAGCTTCGCAACTTGAGAATCACTGCTGACCGTGACAGGCTTACTGTCGAAATGGACAACCCACCATCTCCACTATATCCTCCGTGAGTTCAAAAAAAAACATTATAGTTTTGTTGCATCTATATTCCCATTGAGCAGGGGACTTATTATTAATCCATTGTCTAATGCAGGGGTCGGCAACCTGCGGCCCTTTGCAACTTTTTGCGCGGCCCGCCAAAGCCCAATATAATTTTAGGAAAAATCAACAATCTTAGAGCGTGAGCGTGCCGAAATGTGGCCGGTGACAAAAATGTGTACTAACAGAAGCATAGAGGGAAACCTATTTTACTGCACAAGTTTAATCCCCACTCCCCATAATAATATTTATACTCGTATATGATATAAAAGCACTATTTAAGTTACATTTGAATGTGCGGCCCGCATAAAAAATTTTATTTTGAAAATGGCCCGCCGTACAAAAAAGGTTGCCGACCCCTGGTCTAATGGATCCTCGTTTTTGGCAACTTAGTAAGCCACAAAAGGATTCAGGGCCAATAGGTGTCCTCATTGAACTTCACCTTATCCATTTTGAAGGGTTTTACTGCATGAAAATCTTGTCTTTGGTTATATATTATAAGAACAACTTTTGCAGAAGTTTATCTTCGCTTACTGATCTCGGATCATGGGATGATGTGAGAGTGCGTTACACCTATTATAAAGAGCACGGTTACCTCAGGGATTTGACTCTTCAGGACTACATCAAGTGGGAGCAATGGTGGTACAAATACCAAGATTGGCTTGACAGCGACAGGTATGATAGGTAGGTTTTTTTTAAAGTACCGTAACGCCATAAATAATTTTATGGGCTTTGTTCTAGGTACAATTACTATAGAAGACGGCTTTGATAAGATTTCTTTAGTTCACTATGTTGAATCTCTTTAACCAAGAAAACCGTGTGTTTTTATTAATATCGTCAAAACGTTTTCATTTTTATTTTAAAATAAAACAATTATAAAGGAAATTGTAATAAATAGTTATAATCAAATATAATTGCACTAATTGTTAAAAAAAATATTATAAGGTATTTTAAATCAGTACTGTTTAACTGATTACTTCTTCAGTGGAAACATGAAACTAAAGAAAGTTTGATTTTTAATTTCTTTACATAAAGAAACTAGAAATATTTTAGAAAAGTTTTTTTTTTAATATGGCTAAGGTTTGATCTTTTTACGTTCTCCTAAGTTGGTTATAATACAAATAAACTAGAAAAAAAAAAATAAACAGATTACTCTTGATGAAAGAATTTTTTATTCTTCCATTTAAATGTAAAAACTTAGAATAATTAAATTTCAATTTTACTCTTTAAGGTTTACATGTAGGTTGATATGTGCCATAAATTATTCTGCAATTAAAAGGCATTTTTAAAAACAAAACAAAAACTTGTATTACTAATTAATGAGTAATTTTACATTGTACCTTCAGTGATATGTCTAAGTATACTGGCATAATGGTATTTGTAAAAATTGAAACAATTGGTATTGTTTCAGGATTATAGCATAATAATATTATTTCTTTTTAAAAAATTACTTCACTTCTGATTTGAAGTCATTTCACGAGTATTGATAAAGTTTTTGCAAATTTGCTTATACATATATGACAGTAGCTGATGTCTGTCAATGTTGTTAATTTTTTTTTTTTTTTTTTTTTGAGTAATTGTAATAAGATGCAGCTATATATACTAGGTGTAGGCAGGTACAATGAATTTTAGAAGCTTTATTGGTGTTGATTTGCAAACAATTTTCTCTAACAGTTTTGAATTTTTTTATTTTATTTTATTTTTTTTTTTTAAATAATTGTCTCATCGACATGTCCATAATGAAATTCCTTGTTTATCTTCACATTAGCTTAATTTGTGTAGTCACTTATTCAGTAAGGAGAATAATAATTTCTTTAATCAAGATAAAATATAAATAGGTTTTTTCAATACATTTTAAATATACATTAGTTATATTTATAGACAGCCATGTTATGAAAACAATTGTTAAATGTCCAATTGGTTTAGTTTTAGATTAAATTGAAAACATTTAAAGTGTGTATCGATGATGAATTGGTGTAAATAAATCTATGTAAATTATATTTAATAAAATTGATTTTGTAGAATTATCCTTTTGTTTAAACTGAGCGACCTTTTACACTTGATCTTAAGAAATTGATAAAATTATATTATACCATGTGAGACAGCTACGATGTCAATTGACATTCATCCGCAGGAGGAAGAGCTTTAGGATGAACATGAAAACCGGGTCCTAGATGAATTGGAACTCATCGGTGTGCTATAGGTACAATAGTTTTATTCACTTATTAAACAAACCATAAAAAAATTTAATATAATGAAACTGTCCAAATTTGAAAACAAATGAAAATTTTTAATAAATGATCACAATAATTAGTTTTAAATATTTAAAATGAAATTGAATAATGTTTCAAATAAAATAAGTTATATTATGTACATATAACATTTAAAGTTGTAAAGCAGGGGAAATTACGTGTGCGTTTTTATTGTTATTATTATTAGTTTTATTTTAATTATTATAGATGTTTAATAAATGAGGAGTCTCATAATCATACCAGTCAATCAAGTATATATTGTTCACACTTAAAAAGTGAGAAAAGTTTTAACATCAAAAAGGAGCCTGAAATGTAGAAGATTAAGTAAGAAATGACACAGAAAACTTGGTTATTTTTTAAAAATATCCAAAATGATTAATAAAAATATTTATTTACTACAAGATCTTTCATTTTAACACATAAGAAAGAGAGGGGAAAAAACTTTTAAGAAGAAAATATATTTTTGAAAGGCAACTGGCTGGTCAACGTAAAAGATTACAAGCCAATAATCATACAATTCTGACCAAACAAGAATGATTTTTTTTAAGCATACATCAATCTGCATGTTGGGTAAATTTTTTTAAAAACTTTTTCTCCAATTGGTTATAATAAACAATCCAATTTATAACAAATTTTTAGATATTGTAAAATGTTCAGATGTATTTATTATTTTGATAATAATTGTACTTAATTCATCATAATTATTAACTGCAGCATGGAAAATTCGTTCTACGTTTTTATTGTTATTATTATTTAAATTTTATTTTATATTTTATCGATATTTAATAAATGGAGTAGTTTCATAATCAAACCAGTCTTTCAAACTGGTATTGCTCGTTCCTAAAATGTGGAAATAGCCAGAAGATTCAGTAAGTAATGACACAGAAAACCAGGTCATTTTTTAAAAATATCCAAATTGATTAATAAAAATATTTATTACATGATCATTCATTTTAATTCAAGAAAGAGAAAAAACTTTTTAAAGAAAAATATATTTTTGAAAAATAGAGACATCTGACTGGTCAACAACAAAGATTACAAGCCAATAATTAATCATACTATTCTGACCAAACAGGAATGATTTTTTTTTAAGCCTACATCAATCTGCATGTAAATTTTTTTTAAACTTTTTTCACCAATTGGTTATAATAAACATAGCTACTGAAAAATGTTAAAGTGTATTTATTGTTTTAATAATAATGGTACTTAATTCATTACAGTTGATAACTATCTAATTGTTATTATTATTTAAATTTTATATTTTATCGATATTTAATAAATGGAGTAGTTTCATAATCATACCAGTCATTCAAATTGATATTGCTCATTCCTAAAAGGTGGAAATATCCAGAAGATTCAGTAAGAAATGACAAAAAACCTAATCATTTTTTAAAAATATCCAAATTGATTAATAAAAATATTTATTACAAGATCTTTCATTTTAACACAAGAAAGAGAAAATAAATTTTTAAAGGAAAATGTACTTTTGATTTTATTTAATGGACAACAGCAAAGTCTATAAGCCAATGATCAATCATACTGTACTGGTCAAGAAGAAACAAGTTTTTTCTTAAATAGCAAATCAAAAAATAATTTGCCATTGATTTTTGTTTGAACGGTTTGCATAAAAATACACTTCTACACTGAAAACATCAATTATCAACGCTGACATCTATCGGCGCTTGGAATGGTAGGCACATCGCACTATAGGCTGGCAGCTGGCTATTGCAATGATCCATTTGTCGTCTCGAACTAGTGCACGATGTACGCGTACGTTAAATAAATAATTGCACGTCCATAAACGGGCTGGAATTGAAAAGTAAAAATAGTCTGACTCAAGGATCGGACGCCTTTTAAATCTTCGAAAAAAGTCCGGTTTATGGGGAAGGCATTGAATTAAATCTGCTACATTATAGGCTATCCGAGAAGATGTCATAGCTCGTCAGTTTTGCAGGACGCGCACCGGTTTTGAAAATCCTTTTTTTGGTCCGATTTATGCTGTCGTATTTGTCTCATCCTCCGGGCGAACATCCATCGAGAGATCCGTGAAAAATGGACAACCCGCCGAGCCTGGAGACGGTCTACCAAGCCGTTTATACGCTTCACAACAATCCCAACTCAACGGAAAAAGAGAAGGCATCCCAATGGCTTGGAGAACTGCAAAAATCTGTGAGAATTACATTTTATTTCTTATATTATCGTTTTAATATTCGAATAATTTAATTCTATCAACTTACCCCGACATTCGACCGACCTTGCCTGTAATTTTACAAATTATTCGGCATAATTTTTATTACATCTCAAGCCCATGAAAATATTCTCACCTTTACATTAGTAAACTAATAATTTATAATTTTAAGTTAAAACCATTATCTCAGTTACTGTCTCATCTTCTCACTATCACTAATCTAATAATAACAGAAAAAATATCCAAGGAAATTGAAAAAATGAAATGAGTTGTTATCGTCCTGCACAGATTTATCAAAGGCATTCGACAGAGCTGACCATATAATATTAATTTCAAAACTGAAAGCAGTAAGTATCAATGGTCTTCTCTTACCTTGGTTTTCAAACTTTGTCATATCATCTCCAAGTAGTATAAATATGAGAATATCAATCTGAGCCAGTTAATAAAATATTGACGGAAATTTAAAAAAACTGAAACAAGTTGATATCATCCCTAATCATCTACACAGATTTATCAAAAGCATTCAACAGAGTAGGCCATAAAATGTTATTTTCAAAACTTAAAGCAGTAGGTATCAATGGTCTTCTCTTATCTTGGTTTTTGAAGTATTTGTCACAATGTCTCAAAGTAGTAAAAATAGGAGAATATCAATCTAAGCCAATTAAGGTAATATTGATTGATATAATATCCGAGGAAACTGAAAAAGTGAAACCACTTGATATCGTCTGCACAGATTTATCAAAGGCATTCGACAGAGTTGAGCATAGTATATTAATTTCAAAATTTACAACAGTAGGTATCAATGGTCTTCTCTTACCTTGGTTTTTAAAACTTTGTCACATTATCACCCAGTAGTAAAAATAGGAGAATACCAATCTGAGCCAATTAATAAAATATTGACGGAAATTATATCCAAGGAAATTAAAAAAACCGAAACAAGTTGATATCATCCTAATCATCTACACAGATTTATCAAAAGCATTGAACAGAGTAGGCCATAAAATTTAAAGCAGTAGGTACCATTGGGTCTTCTCTTATCTAGGTTTTCGAACTATATGTCACATTGTCTCCAAGAAGTAAAAATAGGAGAATATCAATCTGGGCCAATTGAGGTAAAATTGACAGAAATAATATCTGAGGAAATAGAAAAAGTGAAACGACTAGATATCGTCTACACAGATTTATCAAAGGCATTCGACAGGGCTGACTATAAAATATTAATTTCAAAACATAAAGCAGTAGGTATTTATCAATTGATCCTTGATTTTCAAACTATTTGCCACATGTATCCAAGTAGTAAAAATAGGATAGTATCAATCTGAGCCAATTAAGGTAATATTGGCTGATATAATAGCTGAGGAAATTAAAAAAGTGAAACAAGTAAATATCGTCTACACTGGATTTCTCAAAGGCATTTGACAGAGTTGACCATAACATATTAATTTTAAAATTTAAAGCAGTAGGTATCAATGGTCGTCTCTTATCTAGGTTTTCAAACTTTGTCACATCATCTCCAAGTAGTAAAAATATTAGAACATCAATCTGAGCCTATTAATAAAATATTGACGGAAGTTATATCCAAGAAAATTAAAAAACAAACAATTTGATATCACCCCTAATCATCTACACAGATTTATCAAAAGCAATCAACAGAGTTGACTATAACATATGAATTTCAAAATTTAAAGCAGTAGATATCAATGGTCTTCTCTTATCTAGGTTAGGGATGGTTTAATAATGATCTTCCTTCCATTACGTCATCCCAATCCTCTCCTTTTTGTTCCGAAGATGTAAAAATACTAAATACAATTAAATATTATTCTTATTCTTCTAAATATTATATTATTCTAAATTCAAAAAGCTTTTAGTTCCAGCAAATTTTCTTTCTTTGTTAGAAGATTTCTTTCACTCACATTGTGAGTATCATAAGCATAACGATAATCAGGTTGACCTATTATCCCACCTTCAAGAAGGAAAAATCATAAGTTAAACTGTTGAGGTCGAAATATAAGAAAACATTGTTATTCTAATCATGGGATATATCCACGGACATGACCTATTATCCCACCTTCAAGAAGGAAATATCATAAGTATCATCAGCCTTCATTAAAAACAAAACAGATTAGAAATAACACAAAAATGAACTGTTCTTTTCAAACTGTCAACATTGAAACGTGAATACTCATGAGGTGAGTGAAAGGCGTCTTTCATAACTAAAGAAAATCTGCTGGAACTAAAAGCTTTTTGAATTTACCTAAAGAATAATATATAATGAGGTTCCATTGCAAAGATGTGCAAACTTTAAAAGAAATATTAAGAACAATTAAATCTAATCAGGATTGCCAACTGCTTCAATTTAACATAAATTCACTTCTATATTAATTATTAAGTGGTGTAGCAGCGGACTAACTTTTTCATTTTGACCAAAACCTCTCATAAAAAGATTAATTAACCGAAAGAAGTCATTTGGTCAATTGACCACTAAATATAATAGATTTTTTAAAATTATTATTTTTATGAGCTTACGAGTTCGCAACACAGAGGTCGTATAAACCCTCAGGTTGCTGGTGTTTTTGAAAAAAGCCCATTTGTAAGTATGTTGGGTTTCAATGCAGGGGCGCTGGATTCGAACCTGGGGCCTAAACTGTTGCGGCCACCGACGCCCCCTATTAATTATTAAGTTTGTATATTGTTTATAAACAGAACAGTGATAAGAAACAGTTAGCAGTCAGATTTGTTTTAAGTGTGCTCAAAAGCTTTTTGCACTGAGTTCATCAATTAGGATTATTGAGTTCCTCATATGGGTAATAACTCACTATCCAACTCAGACTTTTTGCTTCTTCTAAATAGTGGATTTTTTTTTAATTATGAAATTTGATGTTTAATGAAAAAATGATACTTCCATACAAGTTTGTAGTGGAAAATAACCTCAATTAACAATATTTGGTATTGAATCTTGCCGGTTTAAAAAATCTTTTGTAATTGTAGTTTTCAATATTACAAAACTTAACAATTTTGTACATTTGAATGACCTAGATATGGAATGGACAAAGCTGTTTTTTCTTCTTTCAATATACTTATTGTCAGTTGCAGAATTATGAATTTTTGGAATTATGAATCTGTTGCTTGGTTTGTCCGATCATTTTGGTCAACTACACTGTTTTGGCCTATCAGATGAGTTTCACCTTTAAACCTACAACTGAAGAAGGTGACAGATAGACCAAAATGTTTGGAAATGACCACACTACAAACAAGTTATTTATATTGTCTTTCACTCTTGATCTAATAAACTAAAATATACACTACTATGATAACATTTCATGTTTTCTTCTTATAGAAACTTGTGTACTAATTATTTTTTTCCTAGGTCTATGCATGGAAAATATCAGATGAAATTCTGCATAGGAACAATGAATTAGAGCTATGCTACGTTGCTGCCCAAACGATGAGGACTAAGATCCAGTTGTGCTTCCATGAACTCCCACCCCAATCGCATGCCTCTCTTCGAAACTCATTAATTGAACATATTGAGAAAGTGAATGATTCGACGAATTCTGCCATTGTGACTCAGGTATTTAACCATTACAGAATTAAACATTAAAATTGAACAATTAATATTTAAAAAATATATTTGTAAATTTTCAGCTATGTCTTGCACTGGCAGACTTGGCCCTTCAGATGAACTCCTGGCAGTCACCGGTATTGGACCTCATTGACAAATTTTCAAGCACGCATCCTGGACCTTTGCTGGAAATTTTAACGGTCCTTCCAGAAGAAGTTGGCTCCAGGGCTTTAAGACTTGGTGCTAACCGGAGGGAGGAAATTCATGCTGATTTTGCGTCCTGTACACTAAAAGTCTACGAGTTTCTTGTAAGATTTTAATTTAAATTTTTGTATTTTCTAACATTACATTATTAATATTATTGGTAAAAATATCCTAAATAAAAAATTGTATTATTGTGTATTATTATTTTATAGTGAAATTTCTTAAGAAGAATTAGAAATAAACTGTAGTGTACATGTACATGTACTGCATATTATTCACTCATATAAGTATTTTTTAATATATATTTTCAGAAATCATGTTTAGCAACATCGGGTGACAATATCTTGATTCAAACAAAAACTTTGAAATGCTATACTTCATGGATAACTGCTATGCCATTGATGTTAGATAATGTCGTTGTTGCAACTGCATTTCACATTCTTGGGAATAATATGGTCTGTCATTTTTACATACATTGTTTAAGTTCCTACTTTCCTTCATTAACTTACGCTTCTTTTTTCTCACTATTTCCAGTCTTCTCCTGGTGTTCTTGAAGCTGCCACAGATTGCATCTGTGCCTTACTTCAGTATTTAGAAGAGAATAACAATCAACAGACGTTTGAAGTACAGTTGTTTAACAGTGTGATGGCTTTGGAACAACCATTTCATATGTCAGTTGCACATGAAAATCACGAAAAGTAATTTTTTTTATAAAACTACTAATTCACATTTAATATTTGAAGTTACTAATATTTTTTATTTGTTTTTTTTTTTTCTAGCTGTTTAAATTATTGCCGTGTCTTTACGGAATTAGCAGAATCATTTTTAGAAAAGATTGTCCGCTGCAGTTCGCCTTCTTCGCCACATTATGCTATTAAAATATTTGATCTTGTTTTAACTTGCGTAGGCCACTACGATTATGAGGTAATTTTTGTTTACAATTATACTATCTCTGTGATATAATTTATGACCAGCCTCTTCAATTGTAATTATATTTTGTGGTACTTTGAGATACAAGTGTAATTTATTCTATGGCGATATCATAGGTAAAAATGCTCATATCTCAAAACGATTGACAGTTTGTATCTTAAAAAATTCGCATGTTGGGGCACTCATATCTCAATGTACCACTGCAATAAAACGATTGGGGTGAGGCCAATAATCATATTATTTCTACATTTGATTATTCGGAAATCGTGAGATGCGGTCTGGAGTGATGTAGGTTTCAGAAAAACATTTTCTTTATTGTGCCAACGTTTTGATCTTTATTGAGATCATCTTCAGGGCCTGGGATTTACAAACATTGTTTAAATTTAACAAATACAGGTAGGATGTGGGAAAAAGGGGAATTTATACAATGCAAAAAATATTTTTTATATTCAATCAAAGTATTTCTACTTTCTATGCCTCTATCTCTATTTCTATGCCAACGTTGGCACGATAAAGAAAAATTTTTTCTGAAACCTACATCACACCAGACCGCATCTTACGATTTCCGAATAATCATTGACTAACAGTCACTAATCACCACACATTTCTATATTTATTAAACTTGGAATTTTTTCCATTCAATCTTTTTGTCAAATCTAGGTAATTAATAATTATTTCATTATTATATTTACAACCAATTTTTAGTTTCAATTATTCCCTTCATAATTTGACTATGACCTAATGATTTGCTTTGTAAGTTGTTACTTTGGTAAATACAAAAGTATCAAAAGTTTTCCCATTAATCTGTTTTTTTTTTTTTTTTTTTTTTTTTTTTTCGTTTCCAGAAATAAAGGTCAAACTTTCAAAACATAAATTTATTTTATTTTTAATTCAAAGCATAATTTCTTTTGTTTTCTATAACAAGCTGCCTGCCTACATTCTGGTAGCAGAAATACTCAATTTGTGTAAAAATCTGATGTCTTAGACGAGAAGAAATCTGTAAGCCCAATTTTCCAAGTGTTTTAGTTCAAAAATTCCCTACCTTTTAAGTGGTTGTCTTGGTAGCAGATCAAATAAAAATCAAAAGAGGCAAGGTATGGAGAGTATGGAAGGTAGGGCATTTGTTTCCAGCCTCTGCAATTTTATTTTGAGTAGTAGCTGTGTGAAGACTGGCGTTGTCATGGTGAAACATGATGTGATTATCCAGGGCTGAATGTTTTTCCTTCATTGCGTATACCCTTGCTGTAAGGGTTTGTGGTTTTATAACTACCAAAAATTATTCCTCGAATATCCCACCAAACTGACATTAGGACCTTACAAGGGTGCAATTGTGTTCTTGACGTCATCAGCACACTTCATTTTTTCCTTCACCATTTAACATTTTTATAAAAGACCCACTTCTCATCCCCCATGACCAAACAGGAAATCAACTCTTCTGATTTATTCCTATAAAGGTTGTCATGAAAGTCACGACAATTTTTAATTAATTGACTGTTGGTCCGGTCGAGAGAGCGACGCGGCACGCAGCTTCATTTCAGAAACGGGAAGGGCATACTCGCTCGCACTTCTCAGTGTCTCTTTCTGTGTGTTTAAAATGTGCCTGGGTGTCCCAAGTCCAGCACTTTGTTTTTCTTTTTTTAATGTTGTAATTTTCAAGTTAAATTATTAACAATGAAGGAAATATTTTATTTTCAAACAAACTATAAGTTATTTAGAAAAATTCTTATTTTGTATTTGTTTAGTCAACAAAATTTTGTTATTGTGGATTTTATTATATAAAAATGTAAATAGTGCATTTGCCAAACAAATAGTTACAAAAAGTAGCGCTGCTCCCACCATAACAACTAATAGCTAGCAGTCGTGGCATCTACTTCTTGTATGATCAAACTGTTAACAGGTTGGCAAAAAAAAACAACTATATATATAGTTTGTTTCTTTTTGTATGATTATTTTAGTGGGGATTTTTATATTTTATTTCGAAGAATTGAATTTGTTTGTTGTATTTATTAAAAAATAATATAATTTTGTTTTGTAATTCGGATTTTATTTGATTTCTATTATTTCCACTGTGCAGCAAGGATCTGCGATCTGCGAAATAATATTTTTTTCTGATTATTGTCCCACTTAGCATGTATCTGAATAAAAGATACCTTATATCCAAATTCTCTCTTGTAGCTCTACTAGACTTAATTTGAGCTCATCTTCCAATATCATTCATAAGCTTTTATGCTCTTAGGTCTTCCACAATAAGGTGTTCTTTGATTTGTCTCTCTCTGAATTAAGAAAAGTCAGAATCACTAAACTCACATATTCATTTACTTTGTTATCATTGTATTTCCACATAAATTTCAACAGACATCCACCTCTCAGAGATAAAGTCATATAGCCAACAGTACCTCAAATGAATTTTATCTGTTTCAATGTTGAACGTGTCACAGTTTATCCTAGACTGACTTTTGGGATCAACCTTTCTCTCTTACAAAAGGGCTTTTCCCACTGTAGAGCTAACGGGGCTAGCAAGTAAATAATGGATCAGCTTTATAAGGAAGAACGTCAAAATTTGACAAATGTGAAACACTTATGCACACACTCAGTAAATAAGCATTTAATTTATTTTGCTTTCACATCTAAATGTTGTTATTGAATGTTTTAATTATACTCTAAAAAGGCTAAGTATTGTAATTAAAAAAATACGAAAAACTATTTAAATTTATCCATATTCATCTTATTTTGTATAATTTTATATTCGCTAATAAATTACACCAAGTGTTATACTTTTCATTTTAGGTTGTAGCAATAACATTTAATTTGTGGTACAGACTGTCAGAAATTTTATACAAGAAGAATAATGATGACCTCTCGATTCTTTTTAAACCTTATATAGAAAGGCTTATTGAAGCGTTATGTAGGCACTGCCAAATAGACACAGATCATGTAAGTAATATGTTAAAATTCACTTAGAGAAACTAAAACTTTTTGTATGTACTTTTTGTTTTAGGAAGGGCTTGTGGAAGAGTTAGACGATTTTTCCGATTTTCGGTTGAAAGTTTCCGAACTGATACGGGATGTCGTTTTTATTGTAGGTTCATCCAACTGTTTTCGACAAATGTTTATCAGCCTTCAGTCACCGACAAGTACGTGGGACACTACAGAGGCAGCCCTTTTTATAATGCAAGCTTTTGCAAAAAATATTTTACCGTAAGTCCTGTTATTAATTTCAATAATAAAGACTTTCAAAAATGGCTCTTTTACATTTTAGAATGGAAAATGATGTAGTGCCAAAAGTTGTTGAAGCTATTTTAAATTTACCTCCAAACACTCATATTGCTGTAAGATATACCTCACTTTTGTTGTTAGGAGAACTGTGTGAGTGGATTGAAAAACACCCTCAATCCTTGGGTAATTGTTTTTGTAATTTATAATTATAATAAATGTTTATTTCAATTAAACTTATTAAGTATTATAAAACTTTTAGAACCTGTATTAAATATGGCGTTGATATCCCTCCAACAACCGGAGCTTGCGAGTGTTGCAGCCAACTGTCTTCAGAGTATATGTTCATCTTGTCGTGAACATATGGCTACTCGTTTTACTGGTTTATTACAAATATTACAATCGCTGGATAAATTTGCAATTTCTAATGAGGCAGTGGTTGGTTTATTGAAAGGTAAAGGTTTAATTTTATCAAGCTTAACCCTTTTAGGACGGTGCGTGTGATATAGGACTATTGCTTCCCCCAGTGAGGTACTGAGGGCGTACCTCACGCTCACTCCTACCTCTACTCAGCTACTATGAGCATGATATTGCGCTCTGGTCTATTCACTTTCAGACTGGAGTTCAAAGAAGCATTGTGTTGCTTAAACAATGGCGTTCTTTTCTTAATTTCCCTTGGTCACTAACACTAAAAACAATAGCTTGTACGTGCTTGAATCTAAAAGGGAAGAAAATAGAGCATGAAATAACACTCTCAGAACTTCACTTGGGTAACAAATAGCGCTGACTGTCCTAATAGATACTTAATTCTAGTTATGAAAACATCGCTTTCTTGCATAAATTGGATTTTTGTATGTATGATTTGTATTTTTGACAGGTGCAGCAACAGTCATTGAAAAAATACCCCTAGATCAGATGAGGCATGCTGTAAAGGAAATTTGTTTGATTCAAATTAAACCACTTTGCCATCTAATAGAGGTAATTTTTATAAATCAAAAAAACATTACCTTGTATATAATCAAATTATTTATTAAATTTTGGAATGCAGAATGATGTAAAACCTGAGACAGGGACTAAAAGTGACCCCGCAGTCTGGATGGACAGACTCGCTGCTATATTTAAGCATATTAATCCAAAACTTCAAAATGGTCAGCTCCATCCTTGCCAGCCAGTTATCACAGAGGTAATTTTCAAATTATTTCGGTACCAAGTTTGATAAACTAAAAATTATTGAAATCAGGACTTATATTTAAAATATTAAGCTTTTGTTTTTCGTTAGTTTCATTTTGAACTGTAATTTTTTCAGATCTGGCCAGTTTTATCATCTGTTTGTACAAAGTATGCAAGAGATACTCATATCATTGAAAAGAGTTGTCGATGTCTACGTTATATTTTACGCTGTGTTGGCCGCCAGTCCGCTAACATTCTTGAGCCACTAGTCAAACAGGTTATTAAAAAAAAAAAAAAAATACAAGTACAATATTGACCAAGAAATAAAAATTTTATTGTTTTGAAATTTTAGATAGTCAACTTGTACTCTCAATACCAGCATAGCAGCTTTCTTTACCTCGGTTCTATCTTAGTTGATGAATACGCCAGTGAACCTGGCTATGTCCAAGGTCTGCTTGACATGTTGCAGGCTTTCATTATTCCCACTTTCACTCTTCTGCAAGAAGTAAATGGACTCAAAAATCACCCTGACACGGTTGATGACTTGTTTAGACTTTGTGGGAGGTGCATTTCTTTTTTGGTTCTTTTTTTTAAATGTATATATTACAAATTAGCAAACTGTTTGAGCCTCTTTAAATATTTAGTTATATTTTTTTACATCGAATTGAAATGTATACAGTGCTGTCTCAGAAATCTGGGCTAATTGTTGCAGGTGAGTAATCAGATTGCTGAAACATTCGGTTTACAGTCGGTATTAAAAAATACACACGTATGAAGGAAAAAAAATCACACATTTTATTTTATTTTTATTATTATTATTTATTTTTTTAATGTACATGGGTATTTCAACTACAAGGTCATTGAACCCTCAGGGTGCTGGTGTTAAAAAAAAAAAAAGTGACATGTTAACACTTTGACCATTGTGGCTGTTGAATTTTTAAAATATATGTATACTGTCAGTTTTTCTTTAATTAATTTTTTTTTTTTACATTTTCTTCATTGTTTTTTCATAATTTTTAAACAGTAGGTATATTATACTTAACAAAAAAAAGTTTAACAAAAAAAAGTCTAATTTAACATTTCATTTTTTAGTAGTGAAGGAAATTCACTGAATAAAAAATTCTAAGTTCTAAAAATGTCTAAGCTGATCTTGATCTTTTGCAAGATCCTCTCTCTCTCTCTCTCTCTCTCTCTCTCTCTCTCTCTCTCTCTCTCTCTCTCTCNTCCCTCCCTCCCTCCCTCTCTCTCTCTCTCTCAGCTCATCTCATCTTTTCTCTTCTCTTCTCTTCTTTCTCACACTCCCTCATTTCACTATCTCTCTCCTCTCTCTTTTTTCTTACACACTATTCACTATCACTCACTCATCTCTCTCTCTTTTATCACTCGCTCACTCTTTCACCCTCTCTACCTCCTCCTTCCCCATAACTCATTTTCTTTGTATTTTCTATTTTGAAACGTTTCCGAAAAGAAAATGAGACTAATGAGGGGAGGATGCTGCCCCTTGAAAAATTAATATCAATAAAAAGAAATAAAATTTGATGGTTGTCTAGTTCCTGAAAAGAAATCCAAGAAAGACAATAATCGGAAAAGAAGAGTAAAAAAGGTTTCGTTTGTTTCCTTCAATACTTTCTTGAAATTGAGTACCGAAGTTTGGATTAGGGAGAGAGCACTGTATTCTTAATTTTTTTTACTGTTGTGTTGTATGGGGAGAAAATATAGAGTAAAATTATTTTTGATGTTTTGATTACATTTATTATTTAATTATGAGAATGTCTTTCTTTCAGTTCAATTGCTCCTGTACTTTTTTTTTTTTTTTTTTTTTGTGCGAAAAAGCATTCCCTCCCATACACACAATTTGATTTTATATTTATATCTATATTTATATTTTTCATAAATATTTATTGTGCAGGTTTTTACAAAGAGCCCCTGTGCATTTTCTGACATCGCCCTCTCTAAATTCTATATTGCAATGTGCTCTCCTGGGAATCGCTCTTGATCATAGAGACGCTAATGCATCCGTAATGAAGTTTTTTTATGATCTAGTTCATGCGGGAAGAAATCAAGATGTAACATCACCTACATTCTTTACAGCAATGTTTGAGGTTCTATAATACTATTTGTTACAGACTTCAGAGGATATGGCTCTGAGGAAAAGACTTGTTAGCACTGTGATAAACGAAAAGGGTCAAGATTTAATAACAAATTTATTACATGCATCTATATTCTATTTACACACTTATATGCTTGATGATGTCATTGATGTTATTGTCGAATTGATGAAGCTAGACCGTGCGGTAATTAGTAAAACTAAAAGACACTAACATAGACTTAAATAACATGCGTTAATTTAAATGATTTTCTAACAGGCTGTCTGTACTTGGTTAGAGCAAGCAATTAAAGTAATGCCAACGCAAAATAGTGGAGGAAATCTATCTGCAACACCTGAACAACTTCAGGAATTTCTCAAAGCATTATTAAGGTAAATTTATAAAATTACAATTTGTTGTTGGAATTATAAATTTATTAAATAATTATTTCGTTTATTTAGGGCTGAAACGAATAAAGAAATGACGACAGTTCTCCGAGACTTTGCAAGATTGTACCGTTGACTATAGTCGAATTGCTTATTTTAAGCAAGTGTAGGTGTCGATCTTGTGATAAGCCTTTGTACAAATTGAAATTTGTACTATACGCTGACAGTAGATTGTTCTATTTATTTTTAAACTTGTGATAATATGTATATTGAAACCTATTTTTTTAATGAATCGTGTATGTAAAGAAATTGTGTATTATTTTAAGTTGTAGTTATGTTTTAATTTTTAATGTATACTTATTGGTTGTTACAATCATTGAATTTTAAAAGGAATTTTTTCCTTATTATAAATTGTACATTTTAAGAGTATCATTTCTTTCATGACTGTTTAAGTAAATTTGCCCAAGATGTCTATAAATGTTCTAACATGTTCATTTTTAATACTTTTTAATAAACTAAAGACACTATATCAACCCTGATACTAAAATATACAGAACATTAAATAATAATCTGCTGACACTCAGGATGTTCGAAAATACAATACATAGTGAAAACTGTTTCTATCCTTATTAGGAATTTTTGGCCATCTTAATTAATCATAGTATATTGTTAATTAATTATTTTTATGTAAAATCAGGTTTAAATGAAAAATTAGTGTCACAAACCTAAAGTGATAGAGCACCGGGGTACTTAATAGGTTCAACATAACCAAAAGCTCTCTCAGTACTTAAAAATACATAAAAACAAGTAACATGCCTGGATAAATGTGAACCTGTTTTAATAAAATCCTGCTGCTGAAAGTTCCATCATACACTGTATTAGTTTTAGAATATCAACTTATATAAAAACTTGCAGACATTCAACCTATTTTTAAAATAATTCAAACCATAACTACTGGGTAATTTTGATTGTATTGTATTTTTTATTTATTTAAGGAAGCACTACTTAAGGCATAACCTATTACCTGTGCCCAAGGCATTATCTAGTGTACCTTTTGTTTCAAGTCGTTTTCGACTTTTAAACTTCCCACTTGACTTGAAATGTTAATCTGCACGTGTTTTGTTTATAAAATGGTTTATAAAAAATCCATTTAGCGGCAAAAGTGGACGCAGCAGTTCAGGTAAAGGTCCCAGGTTGTAAGATAGCCTTACATTCAAACACAAATGGGCTTTTTTTCTCAAAAACCGGCACCTCGAGGGTTCATATAACCTTGTAGTTGAAATTCCCTTGTAAAAAAAAAATCCTCAAGTGGACAAAAGATAAAGCTAAATTATTAAAATTTGAAATCACACTTTATGTAATATTGTTTTTATATACGACATAAAGGCAGAGACAGATATCTCAGAAGAAAAACGGAGTCGACCATTCATTAGGATTGGCTTTTCTCCTGAATCCTTCATAGGGAGTGTTAAAAAAGTATTCCAGGTCTTCACGATTCAAAAAACATTCAATATCTGTTTAAAATCCATGCAGGATCTGATCCAAAGTCAGACTCCCCCTCAAAAGCTTGATCACTACGTAAAAATATTGGAAAGGTCTAGAATCTCCATTTTTGCAACCAACTGTCATTTAAAATTCAACTTCTAACTTCATCACTGTGCGCTGGCCAGTCACTAACTCTGAATTTAAATGATCCATGATGAAGTGTCAACAAAATCCATATTTGTGTCAACCAGTGACCAGCAACTTTTGGTAGCACCCAGCTTTTTTGCAAACTCCCCAAGTGCTCTGTTTAGCAGCTACTATCCTCTGGCTTCGCCATTTTGTATTTCTTAAGATTTTCTTCAGAGGAGATTCCTAAGCAACCAAAACAGACATTTCTCGATTCAAACATAATTCTCAATTGTTTAATAAAGTTAATAAGATGACCAGTGGCCACAATAAAAATTGATATGGCACTTGTAAATGGAAGGTCTGGGGCGGGATCAATCTCAGTGACCCTGAATTTAGTCCCAACCCCCTTTCAAAATTAGTTTCTTTAATAGAGGAATACCTGCACATCTGTGGCTCAATTCACACGTTCTAACTCCCAAAAAAGAGAGGAAAGTACAATAAACCGTATAGATCTGCAGTGCTCAGGAGGGAAAATATTACCCATTTACTACATTCTTGCATCTTCATTACTGCTACATATTAATACACTCCCTATGTAAAGTGACAAAAAAATATCAAATAAGCTTCAGTGGTCCACAAATTAAAAAAAATCTATTGTCGCCCTGGCAGTTTTAGAAAATGCAGTATTATTGATGTTGTTTGTCTAAAAATCAAAATCATGAATACATTTAATTATTGGGCAAAAAGTATTAGCTGTATTGATGGTTCTATAAAATGCATGCATCATGCATTTTATACAAATGCATACATGGAAATTGGTAGTTATAGAAATAATACATGGAAATAAGTAGGCACATTGGTGGATCTTGGTATCGATGAGCATGTGTTAAATTTAACAATTTGTTGAGCAAGACACTTTAATGTGTGAGGTGGCAAATTATCCCAAATGAAAAAAAAATGTTCTCATACAGGAAACTGAATGCTACTGGATATTTGTGAAGTAAAGCTGCCAGTACAGATAACGCTCTATGCTTTTGACCTGGTCACCTAATGGCCAGATGCTTTCACCTTAGTTTAAAATTTTCGTGTTTGCCATTTGAAAATTTCTTATTCTGAACTTCATTTTTCTACGCTTACAGGTTAGTTTTCTTGGGAGACCGCAATAGCCGAGTGGTTAGTGTGATTTGGGACACAATGACTCTCAGCACGTTGTTGGTTGACCCAGGGACTTTCTTTTTCAAGACCCCCCCCACCAATAGGCACATGCATAATATATCGTCTCCTTGGCTAGTATACATAATTCATAAGGCCACTTTAAAAAAGTTAAGTTTTCTCATGCACATATAATACTACAAAAGTTAAGAGGGTTTTTGAAAAAAGCAACAACAACATAAATGAAAACTTTTTAATAATATATATAGCAAATATGTTACGTATCTATTGTTTCTACAAAAATCATTAATCATTTTTTATTTTGCAAACATATTCATTGCACAATGTGAGTACAAAAGGTTGTATTTGTGAGTGGATATTTTAAATGATTGACAAAAAAAAAAACCTTGTTTTTGTTGTTACATAAAACACTATATAAAATCTTCCATTATCCATATATCTTAACGTGGTACCAAAGCACTTTAAATATCAAGACAAAAAGGTCAAATAAACACTCTACTGATATACACAAATTTGCAATAAATAAGAAGAAAAACAGTTAGGCTAAATAATTTTAGTCAAATTGAATCTATTGTCAAAAAATTGTGCTATTATATAATTAAAATAAAGAGGAAAAGAGAACTTAATAACAGAACTCAATTGCTTGTCATTATTTATAAAATAATAATGAATAAATTATGACAATTTTGTCTTTTTGCTTCTTAGTTGGTTCCATTCTTCTCTCTAGAGTCTCTGAAAAGGAGAAAAATTAATAATTTATACACACGAAATAAAGTAAATATTAAGTTAGTTTTACTACTAAGGTATATTGCAACTACTTACCTATTTATATTTAAAGTTAGCTAACTTATTAAAGTCACATGACAATTAAATTGTAATAATTAACAGAAATTCAATTTATATTATGTGGGTACAACTTTGCAAATAAAAAGACATAAGTTTACTGAAATTATAATAGAAGCTATGTGTTATCTATGTCTATATAAAAAATAAATTTGCAATATAGCTCGCAGAATACATACAGTTATTAATTTAATATATTGACCTGCTCCGGGAGCGTGAGAGAGAACGACTCCTGCTTCTATTCCTTGAGCGGGAGCGGGAATGATCTCGTTCGGTGCCTCCACCACGGCTATGCGACCTTGATCTCCTATCCCTAGATCTTGAGCGTGATCTGCTTCGCGAGTAGGTTCTACAACAGGAAGTTGAGAATGAATCAACTGCTGGTGGAACTTAACAAAATAAAAATACCTCTCATCCATTTACACAAATATATACTTTTAAATAGTCATCCACAGTTAGGATTACATTTAGTCAAGTTTATGTTTATGTAATAAAGTTAAAACAAAAAGTATTTACTACTTGGATTTGGGGCGAGTGGGATCAGTCAAGAAATTCATTAACCAAATATTTGACTGAATACCAACTTTTAAAACTGGAGGTAGTTTCGCAAAAAAAAAAAAAAAAAAGAAAAGAAAAGAAAACAACCTCAGGGTTTTATTGAATACAAAAATAGGAAAGGAAAGAGCATTAATTAAAATGAACACATAATTTAAAGGCTAAAGTGATGTAAAAATTATTTTGTAAAATGTTTTCTTAATTTATATACAGTTCTTCATTGGTAAAACGTAAAAATAAGTTATCTTTCATTCATAGTTGTCGTTATTGTTAAAAATTATTTAATATAAAGTTCAATATTTTTATTTTAAACAATCCATCCCTAAACATAAGATTGAAAATCTAAACCTACATGAAATCTTTCACGCAGTGACTGGAAAATTAATTGGAAACTGCTATATTATATTTAATCACTTCATAAAAGGAGGTTTTGATGTTTTAACAGATTGTCATAAATTAGTTTACATGCAAATACTCACCATCTATATCAAGAAAAATACAATAGGTTAGTAAACAAATTTATTTCTGGGAAAATTTTCAACTTTTTTGTTTTCAAAAAAATTGAAAATTTGTTATATAAATTTTTAATAGACATATTATATATATGACATAAAAATATGAGACACACAGTATGTCACATATGCATATTGACAAAACTCACTTATTTATGACAAGTCGTGTGATACTGAGAGAGAACTCGTGTGTCTTAAATTCGTCGCGAGAATGTAGAAGAGAAGAAGGTAGATTTATGAAGAGCTCTGAAGGTGTGAAGCATTTTTAACAGTCACCTTCTCAACGGAGTCTTGCTCTTTTCTTTCATCGAAATCTCTCACTTCACTCTTCCAGGCCAGAGCCATTTCCATTTTGTTTGTTTTAAATTTAAAAGACTGTAAAATTTTAGCATTTGGAAAGGCTGAGGAGTGGAATGCCGCCAAATGGGATGAAGTAGAAGTTGGCTGAAGGCAGGGTTCGTTTTCATGTTTTTTTCTTTCGAGTTATGGGCCGACAAACTGGGAGAGAAGCGTGATCAAACCACACACTGGGGAAGAGAAGGAGGAAGAAACCAATCAATTTCTACGCTGAGGACTTATGCAAACACACGAGAGATGCTCAGCCGCTATTCCTATAAACCATATTTAATATTTTTAATAAAGTCCGTTTTTTGTGTTTCTACTATTAAGTTAAAAATATTTTTGTTTCTCTTATAAATTGTTTCACTCTATTGATATTTTTAACCTCCACCACGTTTATAAAGTGATGTAATAACAAATAGAAAGCAGTACACAATTAAACGTTACAAGTTTTGTCTAAAAAAGAAGTTTATAACATTACCTGCGCTTGCTTCTTTTATTATACTTTGAACAGTCTCTTGCATAGTGACCACGCTCACCACATTCATAGCATTTATCCTCTGGATGGAAAGGCCTTCCCCTTCTGACACTCCCTCGCCTCTTTGCGCCGTTCGACATTTCAACACGAACGCGCCTTCCACAAACATTTCTGGAGAGACATAGCAATTGTTAAAAACAAATATTTCAATTTTTTTTCAAAAATAAATATTTACCTTCCGTCTAACCCTCTAACTGCGTCTTCAGCATCTCGGGCATCATCAAACTCGACAAAGGCAAATCCGGGTGGATTTCTAGCAATCCAAACACTCCTAATCGGGCCATAATAGGAAAATGCATCCTCCAAGTCTTGTTTATTAGCAGAACTCCCTTTAAAAAATAAACATTTAATTGAAAAAAATAAATAAATAAAAATAAAATTTCAAATAAAAACACTAAAAATGCAATAGTAATGATTTATTCTATTATGTACATATTGTTATGTTTATAACATTATAATTATTATACTAAGTGATGAAGCAAATGAGTCAAAATGAATTTAAAACATTTCTAAATATTATTCCATTACTGTAAAGTCGATTAAATGTTGGATGTTTCTTTTTCATACACAAACCAATTGAGCAAAAGCACAACTAAATGACACTTTTAAAAATAACATCTTCATTGTTTTTTTAAACTATATAAAAATTGAGTAGAGGTCTTGCCTATAAGACATATTCTAGCATTTTATGACGCTGTGTGCAATAATTTAAAAAGCATGTGAAAATGTACTTAAGTGACTTGGTAGTACATGGGGAAACACCACAACAGAAAATTTCACAAAACAATTGGAAATAAAATATAACTTTAGAGTATTTTTTTAACTATCATTTTTTTTTTTTTTTGTCAGATAGATTTTTATTTGTATGAATAAAAACAAAATTATGGCCACCCTACAAGCTGAATATTTCTGTAAATTATTCTTTTACAATTGACTCTTAATAACTCGACCTTATTATCTCAAATTTTTTCAAATTCCTCTAATTTTCCTACACTGTTTGCCCACTTTTTACCTCTATACATTGTGCATTTCAAAATTAAAACCTTATTAGACTTTTTTCAAAGCCCTTGCGACTAGTGCCATTTATTTTCCAGGTGGGCTCTTGAGTCTCTCTCTCTCTCTCTCTCTCTCTCTCTCTCTCTCTCTCTCTCTCTCTCTGTGTGCAACATTTCACACGTATCAGGCAGTTTGTTTTTCTCTGTTTGTTCATTGTGTTAAAAAAAAAAAAAAATCAATCAAACATCATTTTGAGACATTAAGCCTGAAGGGGAAATGCACGATTACTAGGGCGGTAGATGAAGGCATTAACAAAAAGGGTCACATCGCAAAGAATTTGGAATACCGCCAAACACCTTGTTCACAATTTTAAAAAATAGGGATAAAAATATGTCGCAGTAAGTGGACTAGCCAGCTCATTACCCCAAACTTCGATTTTTCAAAAAACTCGATAACTGGAATTTTTAATTAATTTACAATCTTCATGTGACAGATTGACTTATTAAACAGTAGTGTTAAGGGTCTCCCTACCTCAATGGCACACTTTTTAAAAATATGGGTGGGATCAAATCCGGACCAGCATGACAATTTGACATTAATTTTTCTAATTTGTCAACTACCTTATCACAGTTTATTATCACAGATGGATTGCTGTTTTTCATAACAATAGTCAAGTTTTCGTTAGTTAGCGCTGAGCATTCACCAACCACATATACAGTTGAGGAATGATCAACAATTGCATCACATCTTCGTAAGTTTCATTTTTGTAATGCAGTTGATGGAGGATAGCAGTTGATGCCTTATATGAGTTAATAAATTTCCAAAATTGTTTCGCATTTTCGACAACATTAGCTTCAACATGTACATATTTTTATAGTCCATTTTCATTTGTGTCTTACTTTTAGCTCTAAGATTTGAAAATATTTTGTAATCACATTCTAAATTAGTAGACTTATAATTTGTGTGGCCTATTTTTTTGCCTAACATTTATTTCCTGAGTTCCATACCATTTTGTAATTTATAGAAAACACTGAAAATTATTATATTAATCTGTATATGTTTAGTTGTTATAATTAACTGTATTAATTATTTAAATTAATTGTTCTTTTATCTAAGGCCTTGGTCGAGATAAAAAAAAGTTAATGTCATGAGAAGTTCAAGATAGCTCAAGTGTTAAAAGAAGCAGCGTATTGAGCTGAAGGTCGTGGGGTTCAAATCCCGCTCACACTACCTTTTTCATCTCAACCTAGACCTCAGATAAAAAGAATAATTAATTGAAATGGAAAAATTACGTTTTCGATTAAAAATGAAATATATTTATATTTTGAGTACTTTTTTCTCTGAAAATCTAAACCACACTTCAATGGCATGCATGATTAGAATAAATAGTAGTTAAATGACTTAAGAATTTCAACATTTTTTTCTAATAAAATTTAAATCTTGTGCATAAACGTCGTTATAAGCTTTACCTTACGGTTAGTGTAAGGATAATAAATTAACCCTAGATTTAAGAAAGATCGAGTGGGTTAAGGGTTGTTTTGACTTACGACGTTTAAGACTTAAGTTATAATTAGAAAACACGATTAATTTTACACGAGTTATTAAATTATTAATACAAAAAGAAACTCTGAAACTTGCGTTGCAAGTCGAAAAAAGGCGGAATTCAACTTATGCACAGTTTTATGAATATAAAAACACAAATTGTATCTCCTCCATAGAGATTTTATCCGGTCCAAACCTAAACCACGCTTTGAGAGCTTTGTACATACAGATAAATATAAAACTTATAGTTATAAACAAAACTTTGTGAAATATAATTTGAAATATTATTTAGTAAAATCACTCACCTAAATCGCCAATGTAGATTTTACAGTCGGGATTTGAATCTCTGAAACGTGACATCTAGAAATGAATAGAAAGGTTATTTTTTGAAGAGAATCTTTCCGATAGAATTTCAAAACAAATAATATCGAGGCAAGGGTGAAACTACAAACGTCGGCACAATTTTGACAAACAACTACTGAATAGTATCTATTTTTAAATGTGAAAACATTTATTGACTACCACTTACCTCTGAGATGTTCGAGTCGATAAAACGCAAACGTACGCCAGCCCCCTGAATCCCGGTGAAAAACAAAAGGCCGCTGTATGGCGTCTACTCGAGGGCGTCTACAACCTAAATTATTTCAAAGGCGTAAAATCGTATTTCTTCAAATTTCAACTCAAATAAAATAAACTGATTGTTTTTCTCAATTGTAGTTTTTTGAAATTAAACTACTTTTAGATTTAGGCATCCTACCGGCGACATGAACTATTCGATTTATTCATTAAAGTCTATCGCATTTTTTGGAGGGATCCTTTGAATATGGAAAAACCAAACAAGATCATCTTTTCAACCGTTTCCTTTAAACAAAAAGTTCAAAGAACTTTTAAATAAATTTACTTTTCTAAATAACAGTAACAATGAAATTTCTTCACTTTAAATCTTTCTAAACATGCAAAAAAAATAAAGACCTATTTATTTCAAATACTACAAATAAGTACATTCTTTTTTATCCGTGTCGGCAGGGAAGCCTTCCCGCATGAAGAAAAACTGTCGATGGATGGCCCTCGGAGGATCTGACTCGTAGAAGAAGAGTCATCCTCACCCGATTAAGGATAAGCCATGCGGTGTTGACACAATAATTGTATATAGATACAATTGTATATTGTATATAAATACATTGGAACTAATGTATTTAGTAGCGAGAATGACAGGGTTTGTCACTAATTTCCCCGAGAAATGTCAAATATTCTAGAGTAGTATGAATGTAATTTATTAGCGTGAATGACAGGATTCCCCATTTACTCCGAGGTATATCGAGTACTCTTGGGTAGTGTGAATGCAATTTATTAGCGTGAATGGCAGGGTTTATCCCTAGGTTCCCCGAGGAATATCGAATACTCTTGGGTAATGTGAATGCAATTTATTAGCGAGAATGGCAGGGTTTATCCCTTGCTTCCCCGAGGAATACTGAGTACACTTGGATAGTGTGAAGGTAATTTATTAGCGTGCATGGCTGAATATCGAGTACTCTTGGGGTAGTGTGGAGGTGAACAAAGACTGATGTGTGAATGTAATTTTTTACCGTAATCGCAGGTTTTATCCCTAATTTCCCCGAGGAATATCGAGTATTCTAAAGTAGTGTGAATATAACATGAATGGGAAAGTTTATACCAATTAATTGTGTGAATTTAATCTATTAGCATGAATGGAGAGGCTATCCCCAAATAGTCCGAGGAATATCGAGTACCCTGGGTTGAGTGAATGCTAACAGACGTCCATATTTTTGTGTTTCTGTGTGATTTTGTTTGTCATTTGTGCTATTTTACACACAATTGACGAGTTCCTGAAAAACAGAGTGGCTAGCAGGAGGATAAATTAAAGAGAGAAAGTTGGTTACCGTTATAAAAACATCATAGTTTGTGAAGGCAAAAGGGTTTATGGTATTTTATTGTTAACACTGTTTGAAATTGTATTTCTTTTTTTAACGGTCACTCCTTATCACCGTTACAATTTCTATAAACAAACCGTTAAAGAAATTTGAATTTTAAGTACAAAAAAATTTTCGACGAAATTATTTCAATATATTTTTTTTTAATATATAAATGTTATTAGGGAAATTATTTAAATATATTTCTTTGGCGCAATAAAGTTGTTTCCCGCGCCCCAAGATGATAATGAGTGTTAGGCGAATCGTGTGAACGTCCCCTCGTTTCTTGCAGATTCACGTTACTTTTATCTTTACAAATTTCGTTTTTTTCCTTTTAACCACTTGTTCAGTCATAGTTAATTAATTACTTTTGTACGATTTAGCAAAACTATCGTTGCAAATACAGTTTTCCCTATTTAATATCAGAAAGTACTAAGTAGTAATACTTCAAGATGGGCATGGACGATTTTTCAAAAAGGAAGACAGAGGACATCAAAAGCCGTCTCTATGTCGTTAAAAGAAGTAATTTTAAAATATATGTACATTTATTGTTTATTTATTTGAATTGTTCATAACCTATGTACGTTGTTTTTCTCCAGAGGGATTCAAAGAACCGGTCCATTTCGATAAAATCACATCTAGAATTCAAAAACTGTGCTATGGCTTGAATACGGAGTACGTCGATTCGGTAATGACATTATTTTATTGTTTAAACATGTAAATTTATATGTTAACGAACTGGTTTACGAATTCAAGCGGAAGGTCTTATCACTACTACAGATCAGATGCAATAACAAACAAAGAATACAAATCAGGCACAACTTAAGCTGGGTTTCCATTGTGCGAAAAAATCACTCGCAACTAAACATGAGAATAATTCGCGAAATGCCGTCTTGGGTTAGCCATTTCCACGAGGTGGAACATTTCATAACAGGCAAAACGAGATGAGCTGTCAGTATGTGTGAGACAAGCGTGGCCTTTATAACTACACCAACTGTTGCATCAGCGTTTGCATACTTTTTGTCTTCGACTCATTTTATGCTCATTTCCTTCCAGGCATCCTCTCTCTTGTTCTTGTTATGTTGAACTTTATCTTTAACATCCCACAGTAGGATACATTCGGAGAAGTCAAATACAGTCCTGTAAAAATTAGAAACAAGTGTGATAACACAGATGAACACAAACAATACGAAACACTTCTAATCGCTCTAAAAAGCCAACAGCTAGTCAGCTCATCTCAAAACATCCTCGTGCCAAAAGTTTCACTTTCCAGCCAGGTATCCACAACATGAGACAAGTTTCGGGTAATCATTCCAAAATCGTTCCAGGGAAATTCCAAAACATGGGACATTTTCGTGCCCTGGAAACTCGGCTTTAAGTTTAGAAGAGAGCTTATTTACAAAAAGAACTTACCCCAAATTAGGGGGGTAAGTTATCTTTCTTGGTAAGTTATCTTGCTGCTCCCTAGATTCTTGAAAGACATCTCTATTCGACTAGTTTTGGCCCTCGACTGCCTCCTTTGTGGCTTGACCGTGTGTTTCACCACTCTTCATCTTTCTGACTATGTTTTTGCTTTTCCGATCTTCCCAGTACCCTAACAAGTGTGAGGGAAGGAAAAAGAAAATCCATTGGGCCTGACAGTTACTGTTCTTCTTGCAAGGGTTTTCAAGCTCCCAATGCAATTGCACAATCCTAGGCGCTTTGTTGATGCCCTTCTGGTGTAGGGTGTACAAAGCCCAAGTTGACGAGATAACAATTTTATGCGAACCTGTTGACCCTGTGATGTGTGACAATTTTACATTAACCTGCACCGTTCCCAAATGACCTGAATTCTGACAGACCCACTACTGTTTTTTTCTTTCTAATATCTATTTTTCAGTTTTGTGTGTAATTTACTTTTTATCATTCTGGGTATTTAGAGGTTCTGATGAAGAATTCAAGATTAATATATTAAAATACTTTTATTAAAATGAAAATACGTTTTCAAAATAATTTTTCCTTTTACCAAGTACATATAAGTTCAGCGCTATTATTCGTATCAGTCTTTTGACCATTAAAATTATATCTTGGACTTGTAATAGTACATATAAGAATATCTTAGTCTGCAAAAGCAGTGGCAGGTACAAATATCACCAAAACCAGCTTCTTCCTCTGAGTTCATTCAGAAAAGTTTGGACCGTCCCTCGTAAAAGTCTTGCTGGTTCTCCTGAAGGTTGCTCCATTTCTTTGCAAATATCAAAAGAATAGATATATACATTGAAAATTTAGAAAACTAAAATAGACCTACAAAAAAAGTGTTACCTTATTCCATCACAGGTCTGAGAGACCCATGAAAATATAGTGCACATTCAATCTGGGTCTGAGAGGCGCGATTACTGTTTACAAAATAAGTACCTACCTGATACGGTTGATACTTGGTGTCTTCAAACTTTAGCTATGGAAGCTGTACTAATTTCTTTGAATTTACATGGGTGTCATATCTGGTTTTACCCCTTGGGTTAGTTAACATATGACAATGAAATTACTAAAATCTCAGAGACCCAGAAATTTTTATTTATTTATTGAAGCTCTTTGTGTGTCACATTTCTACACCCTCAAGTTTTTGGGAAACATTATTTCCAGCCCTTCTGAACTGTCAAGTTGTAGTTGTACATTCCCATAAAAAGTATGTACATATATTTTTATTTCCTTATATAACAACTATTCCTAACTTAATTTACCTTACCTATTCTAATTTATGTTAAGATGGGGACCGGCTTACACTATATTTTAAAAATTAGCACTGGAAATATTTTTCATTATTACTATAAATTGTTACAACTGATCACATAATGTATATAAAGAAAAATAGAAAATAAAATATCTAGAGCAAATGGCTATGGTACCGCACTATGGCCAAAAAAGAAAGAAAAGAAAAAAACAACTTTTATATATGTATTTTAACAATATGATTTTATTTTCAATTTCTAGGTAGAGATTACCATGAAGGTTATTTCTGGATTATACTCAGGAGTTTCTACCGTTGAATTAGACAACTTGGCAGCGGAGACCGCTGCAACGATGACGACCAAACATCCCGATTATGCGATTTTGGCTGCTCGAATTGCTGTTTCTAATTTGCACAAACAGACTAAAAAAAGTTTTAGTGGTACATCACTGTTTGTTTATTTTTTGTTTTTTAAGTACTAATATGAATTGTCTTATCGAGGATATCACACATTTTTCCAGAAACCGTCCATGATTTGTATACAGCCACTAGGGAATTCACAGGAGAACCGATGGCATTAATTTCAGACACACACCATAAAATCATCATGGAAAATGCAGACAAATTAAATTCAGCTATTATTTATGACAGAGACTTCAACTATAATTATTTTGGGTTTAAGGTGTGCCATCTTAACTTTCTTTTTGTAAAGATTTAAAAGAGATTATTACAAATAATATTTCAATTTTATAATATTATTTCAAGATAAAAACTATACTATTTGGCTTTATGATCAATTACCTCAGTATTTTCCTACACAATCATAATCATCAATAATCTTGGTTCTTTCTTTTAATGTGTACACTTTGTCCCTAATTTAGACGCTTGAAAGGTCATACCTTCTTCGCATCAGAAACAAAATTGTCGAGAGACCTCAGCATATGTTGATGAGAGTCGCGATTGGAATTCATGGAGAAGACATTGACGCTGCAATTGAAACTTACAATCTACTTTCTGAAGGATATTTCACACATGCCTCCCCCACACTTTTTAACGCTGCAACACCAAAACCTCAGCTGTCGAGGTATGAAACGAAAAAAATTAAGTTTTATCACTTTGAAACCTACTCCTTTGATTTATTTGATTGTTTAATTTTTATTTATTTATTGTACTCACTTGGTTGCAGTTGCTTTTTACTTGCATTAAAAGATGATAGCATCGAAGGTATCTTTGATACATTAAAACAGTCTGCGTTGATTTCAAAAACTGCTGGTGGTATTGGAATTCACGTACATTGTATTCGGGCAAAAGGCAGTTTAATTGCTGGAACAAATGGCATCTCTAACGGACTTGTGCCAATGTTAAGAGTTTTTAATAATACTGCTCGATATGTGGATCAGGGTGGCAATAAGGTAAAGTGAAAAAAAAAAAAAGACTTCTGTAAATATTGTATAATTTTTGTTATAAATATAAATATAACAATTTATTTCACGTATTATTTTTTTAGAGACCAGGTGCTTTTGCAATTTACCTCGAGCCTTGGCATGCTGATATTTTTGAGTTTCTCGATTTGAAAAAAAATACTGGAAAGGAAGAGGTACGGGCCCGTGATCTTTTTTATGCACTTTGGATTCCTGATTTGTTCATGGAAAGGGTTGAATCTAATAAGAAATGGAGTCTTATGTGCCCGCATAAATGTCCTGGTCTTCATGACGTCTGGGGTAAAAACTTTGAGGATCTGTATGTAAAATATGAAAACGAAGGTCGTTATATACGACAAATTGACGCAAGAAACTTGTGGAATGCTATAATTGAGTCTCAGGTGGAAACCGGTGTTCCTTACATGCTGTACAAAGATGCGTGCAACAGAAAATCCAACCAACAGAATTTGGGCACCATTAAATGTAGCAATCTTTGTACAGAAATAGTAGAATATACATCTGCAGATGAGGTAATATACAAATTTGTCAATACCAATTGAAATAATGTAATAACAATGTAATTGTAAATGTTGTTGTGTTAGGTCAGTTGCAATATATAACTTTTAATTTCTAACATAAAGATTATTGCTACATATACATAATTACTATACATAAAGAAACTTACAAGTCTGGATTGATATTAATTTACATGACTATCTTGGTTTTGTAGATAGCAGTATGTAATTTGGCTTCGATTGCTTTAAACAAATATGTCAAACAAGATCGTACTTACGATTTCAAAAAGTTAAAAGAAGTAGCCAAAATTGTAACAAAGAATCTCAACAAAATCATCGATGTAAATTATTATCCTGTCGTCGAGGTAAGTTTGGTGTTTTTCTCTTTATATCAGGAATGTTCAATGTGCTGGCTTTAAATTTTTATCAGGCTAGGAGGTCGAACATGAGGCATCGTCCTATTGGAATTGGTGTTCAAGGTTTAGCCGATACTTTCATATTGATGAGGTACCCGTTCGAGAGCATTCAGGCCCAAACATTGAACAAACAGATATTCGAGACAATTTATTATGGCGCGCTTGAAGCAAGTTGTGATCTTGCTGAGAAACTTGGACCGTACGAGACATATGATGGTTCACCTGTTAGCAAAGGAGTAAGTTTCAAATTGTCAAAATAGTACAAAATATGTTTTATCATGTGGAATGCAGGAGCCTGAAACACTATCGACCTTCTGGGGTGGCAAATTTTTTATTTATTTTATAAATGACCTTAATAATAATTATAAAACCGAGGTAAATTTTTTATTTAATTTTTTTAAAAGCACTATCTCTCTCTAAATTAGCTTTCCGGATCTTATATGAGATAACATCCAAGTTATACAACACACAAAGCGCCTAGTTTCCAATTTTTGTAAAACTCGTTTTGTTTATTAATTGCTATTGTAATGCTCATTGTAATTACTAATCGTTATTTTGCTTATATAATTTTCTTTTATAATGCATCTCTTTCGGCAATTTCTTGATTCTTTTTATTTCAATTACTGGAAGTATTTCAAATTTGTTTGGGTTTGAATAAACTTATTATGCTTATAATTTAAAAAGTAGTAAAACAGTTGGAAAAGCATTATAAGTTTATTTGAACCTAAACAAATCTTTGACAATTTGTTAATTTTTGAATTATTATTATTTTTTTAAAAATAAAAATTGTTTTCATTTCATAAATACAAACTATTTACAAACTAATAATTACTATTTACGAACTAATTAATACAAATTATTTACATACTTATTAATACAAATTATTTACAAACTTATTAATACACATTATTTACAAATTATTTACATAAAAAATGATTTAATAATTAAAAACCAAGTACATTAAACAAATATTTACAAAAATATTCACATATGGAATTTTTTGAAGCTGTGAGGGCAGTCGATTTTTCTATCCCCAGTGCTACCACCTGGGCAGAAGAAGCATGCCTACTTTTGTATTATACCCTTCAGCTCTTTTACTACAATACTCTAGCTTTTAACAAACTATCCATCAATTCTGTATTTATACATAAAGAGAAAATAATCAGATTTTACCTTTTTTTTATGAAAGTATTTCACCTCTGGGCTTATATGAACCTAGGGGGGGTGCCGGTGTTTTTAAAAAAAGCCCATTTGTTGGGTTTGAATTCAGCGGCCTTGCATTTGAACCTGGGCCTTTTCTTTATAGTGATATGTGTCGTGTCAACGTCTCAACCGTTGTAGCACTGACACCCGTAAAAATTTTACCTTTAAAAAGCAAAAAAAAAAAAAAAAAATTGAGAGAAAAAATAAAGCCAATTTTCTCAGTTGACAAATGGACTATCCAGGAACAAATCACAATTCTGAAATCTGGTTTCACACAAAATCTACAAACTGCTTTAAAGTGGGAATCCATAAAGTTGTAGGGAAAAAAATGCATACAATAAATGTCAGTATAAAAGACAAGGTCATGACAACAATTTCATGAGACACATCAGTAAACCTTATGACTTATCAGGCTTTCTACCAAAAGGATGAGTCCATGTCACCAATTTATGAAACTTTACCTTTCAGATTTTGCAATACGATATGTGGGGAGTGACTCCATCTGATCTATGGGACTGGAATGCTCTCAAAGAGAAAATAGCAAAGCATGGTGTTAGGAATTCCCTTTTGATCGCTCCAATGCCTACAGCATCTACAGCTCAGATTCTCGGCAATAATGAATCTTTTGAACCGTACACCACTAACATTTACACAAGAAGAGTGCTATCTGGAGAATTTCAGGTATGTCTATAATTAAGAATGTTACAACTAATGAAAATTATTATTAAAAATTTAATGATTTATATTGGCTGGAATTAATGTATTGTGGTTTTTAAGGTTGTAAATCAACACTTATTGAAAGACTTGGTCAATCTACAGTTATGGAATGAGGAGATGAAAAATAGTTTAATTGAGAATGGTGGTTCGATCCAGGTTAGCAATTTATTTTGTGCATTAAATAATAAGTAAATTAACTATAACTATAAATTATAATTAAATAATTATAATTAACTATAAACTTAAAAAACTCCAAAGTCAGAAAATATCTACAAACACTCCTTAATTAACTTTAATTGTTTATCTTCTTTTATTTATTACTAAATAATTTTTATTGAAAATTACATCAAGATTTTGTGATGATGTAATTCATGATGTTAGTGTTTCACCCTAACCATCCTCTTAGGTTCAAGAAAATAGAAGAATTTCTCCCAAAAAAGCGTTAGAGCAAAATAATGTGTTTATCGTGAAACCCGAATTCCAAATTCCAATGGTATTCTTTTGTTTGGTAATTTTTTTGTACAAATTGGTTTTACATTTTTTTAACAATCGTATGGCCAGATGTAGGTTCAGTTTCATAGCTTCTTATATAATAAAAGTGGGAAGTTTATGGGCCGACAAACAGCTGAGGTCATCGCCGGCCCTCTGCGTGTTTTCCATCTTTTTCTTTTCTTTCGCGCATATTTTGTTTTAAACTGCAGCCATTTGAGTGACTCAATCTGGTTACCGACTCTCTGATTTCAAATATATACTACGTTGATATCATAGCTTCTTAGAATAGCAATGGTATCACCATACTCTCAACTATACAGTACAGTACAGTATACTTTGACTTTATTTTACATATTTCAATTAATTTTTCTTTTTATGTAAGGTATTGGTTGAAATGAAAAAGTTAGTGTCATGAGCAGGATTCGTACCCACCCGAAGATCGTGGGTTCGAATCCCATTCGTGACACTGACTTTTCATCTTAACCAATATCTTACATAAAAAGATTAATTAATTGAAATACGTATTTGATCAATTAGACAATTAAAAATAAAAAATAAATTTTTATTTTTACAGTTCAGTATCACCCAGTTTTGATGGTTTAACACAAATCATCAGTACAGTGGAATCATGTTAATCCAAAATTTACTTAATTTAAAACTATATATAAAAAATAAATAAATTGTATGTTTTTCCCCTTGAGATCTAACCTGCTTGGTCATTCTCAAACAATTTGGAATGCCTTCCAGGGGCACATTTTGGCACTTGTAATTTTCAGTGGAGTGTTTTGAACAAGATTGTTCGTAAAAACTGAAGATGCAAGAAGCCAAAATGCGTCTGACATACCAAAACCACGAAGATGAAAAGACTAAAATTAACAATAACAGTCAAACTATACTTTCACCATTGTCCAGCTGTCTGTTTCAACACTTCAACTTATGCATCTGTACACTTATTTCTTAATAAACCAGATCTATTTTACTGCTTGATTCTTCTGCATTATTGCTGTTATTCTGCTAATCCACAGATTTCAGGCTGATTTAGTTCAGTCTAGTCCACTGTATTTTATATCCTTGAAAAGGTCACTAGGGTTAAGTTCTAACTCTAAGTTCTAACTCAGTTGGCATGATACGACTAAAACAAAAATTTCTTAAGAGGACCTTCAAAATAAAAGTTATTACTGCGTTATAGTCCTTTATTACTTACTTAAACCAGGACACTCAGCACTCTTCCTAACCCCCAAGTGAAATTCAGAGTGTGACATCATGCTTTACTCTCTTCTCTTTTATACTCAATTTTATAGAAGCAGTGTGCTGTTTAAGTTATTATTTTTAGCACCAGTGAGAGTGGGAAATTTAGAAAACAACACAATTGATTATCATTTTAAGCAACACACTGCTTCTGTGAACTAAAGTCTAAAAGGGTGAGCATGATGGCAGGCTCTTACCCTCACTGGGGTAATCAAGACCATCCTGAAAGGGTTAACGACTCTCTTTTCATTGATCACCTCCAATTTTGGTGCCCCATAACTCTCACAAGTAGCTAAAGGCAATATTCTGCCATTCGGGCTCACCAGAATAAGGATAGTAGTTCCTTTAAGTTATTATTCATCCCTTATACTCTATGGTGTTAATAATCCATTATTTATTATTAAAGTTGTAAGGCTTGATAGGATTGTGATAAGTAGATGGAATGAAATATGAATTTTATTTATATAAACACTTTAAAATCAATAACATTTTTAATAATCGAATGAAATGTTTAGAACTTCAAAGAGGTACCATCTGAATTGAAAGCGATTTACAAAACAGTATGGGAGATCCCACAGAAAACTATTTTACAAATGGCAGCAGACAGAGGAGCGTTCATTGACCAATCGCAGTCTTTGAACATTCATATTGCTGAGCCAAATTACGGAAAGTTGACATCGATGCATTTCCATGCATGGAAGCTGGTAAGTGTGAACGTTGTTAAATAATCAAATTTAAATATGATCGTTATTCTCTCGATTAGGGATTAAAAACTGGAATGTATTATCTGAGAACGAAGCCTGCTGCCAAAGCGATACAGTTTACTGTTGACAAGACAAAATTAAAGGTCAACTCGCAGCCTGCTGCCACTGAGAAAACGGATGACGAAATTGCATATAACATGGCGGCAATGGTGTGTTCATTGGATAACAAGGATGAATGCCTTATGTGTGGATCTTAAAAGATACGAGTTTAAATTGAAAACTTTTTAATTTTTCGTAATTATCAATAAAATTGTAAGTATTTTAAGTATAACAAAAAATAAAATTGCACATTACAATTATTCGTACCCTTGAACATAATAATGATTTATTGTTTTTTTAATAATTCAATTTCCATTATTCACTGTTAATATTTTATTTGTACAACCATCTGTGAGCTAATGTTAATAATAAATAAAAGTTTTTACATTTTTTTAAATGTGTTTTAATGAGATATTAAAACCATATAACTTAGGAAGTAGAATCTATTCCCAACCTTTGTGCCTAGGGGATTTTATTCAAGATAGCCGTATGACACCTTTAAGCCATCTTATGTGAAGTGAATATGTATTAAATAATCAAACAAAGAAACAACATGTTTATTAAACTTCACAGGACTCGTGAGAGTTATCTTGCACTAGTGTTTCTTTTTTTGCATTTTAAGAGCTACTTTTAAGAGACACTCATGATGCTAAGGTTGAATGTAATGTGTAAGAGACACTTGGTAGAAATGGACAGCTCCCACACCCTTCCTTTCTCATCATCTTTTTTATTACAAAAAAAGTGAAAATAAAGGCTGAAGTAACCCCCCCCCTATAGCATTGAAAAATATCACGAGCCCTGGAGAGAGAGATTAAAGAAAGAAAGGCCATGGAAAAGAAGGCAGCCAAGTGAGGCCGAAATTAGTCATATATAAATGAGGGTTGGTTTTGTACGAGAAAATGTTAACTGAAAAATAAGAAAAGAGTTGACAGAGAGGGATGTGAAATATTAAGGGCTAAACAACTGTGGACACATCATACAAATCGAATCCAACAGGTCCGAGGAGAAGGACTAGGAAAAGGTGTTACCGGATTTTCCTCATGTGCAGCTGTGGCCCCTTCCTGGATTTATGACTGCCACAAAGAGTACGATTTTCCCACAGTCCGAGGCGAATAGACCAGTAGGTCCACCCGAGACAATGGAAGGAGAGATGTTGGCAGTGCACCAGGTTCCTCTTTATGTGTAGCCAAAGCCATCCAGGAGTGAGGAATCAGAATGAATATTTGAAAACAATCAGGATGTCTTTCCTACTGTCAGGGAGTGGAAAAAAGCTCTCTGGAAAAACCGTCAGATGGATTCCGAGAATGAGCAACCAGAAAATAAGCTCTTTAGGACAGCTATCAGCTCTAATGGTTTTTATTTAAGCCCTGTTACAGTTTTGAGTAAAAGGTGAGAGGCCACCAAACACAGGCACATGGCCGGTGGCCCGACCGCCGCCACTAAAAGGGAAGACCCTGGGGGCTTCCCTAGTCATTTCGTGTACTTTTAATATATTTTGGGATGTGGAAAAAAACCATTTACAGTGTCGCCTATGGAAAAGTTCACATCCCTTGGGGATCTGGGGCATTTTGCCCCGTGTCCTCCTCCAGGTGAGTGCCACCGAACCCCTAGTGACAAGCCCCTGTACAGTGACGACTCCCATCCCCTCGGGTTAATGCAAATTAATTGATGAATTTAAAATGTTTTTGTTTGGTTTGTTTTTACATTTCTTTGTAGAGTTTTTGTTTTTCAAGAACTGTATGATTTTTGAAATGGAGTCAGCATGGTCTTCAAGAGCAATTTTAATGTCTGTAGATATACCAGTTTGGTCCTTTGTGCTGATAATAAGAAGCTACATTCGCAGATAATGTGATTGATTGTTAATCTTACTTTGCATTTTTGGCACACAGAGGAGGCCTATTACACATTAATGTCCATGGGTCAGTCTGGTGTGGCCAATGCAAAGTCAAGTGAGTGCTGTTTCTTCTTTTTGGTATCCTCGTACGTAGCTTTTCCAAGATTTCATATCTTTTTTTATCTCTGATAATTTATTGCTTATGTCTGACCAGTAATTTTTCCAGAGACCAAATTCTTATTTTTATATGGTTTTTGTAATCTTGCGGCATAGTTTGATTTATTTAATTAATTAGCTGTTAAGAGGATTTGCTAATTTTTTTCAACTGTTTTTTAAACAAGGTGTTAATTTTTGTTGTATAATTTTTTTATATATTTTATTGAACACAAAACGAACCCTCCATGTGGGAGCCAGGAATTTCAGGGTAAGTTGAAATCATTTACTTTTTGTTTTCTTCTCTTCTCTTATACTGGGTAGTTTTATGTATTTATTATTTTTTGTAATTATCCATTTTTGCTTCCTGCCTCTATTTTTGTCATTCTATTTATTAAAAATGTTTTTTTATTTATTTCTAGATTTATGTTCCACTGGTATTTATTTTTTTCACTCTTGCTCCACTGAGCACTGGGGTATACTTTTATAAGCAATTTTAGCTGTAACAATTTTCTAACATTCTAATTAACAACCACACTTTTCTCCCCCTTCTGTTCACGATCTGGCCTCTCTCAAACTTTTGCTAAATTGCAACTCAATCATCTTTCTGGAAAACCATTCGGCCACATTATCTATGTGGCTTTCAATTCGTCCAAAAACCTAAGGTTTAAATTTTATTCACTATTAATTGTTAGTTGTTACAGTCACCATTTTTTAATTTATTTGTAATCTAACTAGAAGTCATATCCCCCCAGTTAATACTCTAAAGGTAAGTTCAAAAAATCCAGTGTAAATATAGGATGTTATACTTACTTAACTTTATGTTAGAGGTAACTTTTATGTTCTTATTCGAATATATTTTATAATTTAGTCAAATCCCTACTAATATACAAAAAATTACATACATAATTTTACAATGACACCTGGTTTTCTTTCAAAAACACGACAGCCCAAATGATCATATAACTTCGTAGTTGAAATATTGGGAAAAAAAATTGCAACAATTTTGGAAGAGATAAAAAGGTCACAAACTATAAAAAAATATATATACTTTCTAAATCATTTACATATTATGTGAAGGGTGTAATCTGTGAAAATCAAAAGAAGCTATGTAAAACGTTCATGCAAAAATAAAAAGCTGAAAGCCAAGTTCAAAGGCATGACTTAAAAATTAATTTAGACATTAATTAAAACAAAAAAAAAATCACACTTGTACATACAATATCACTGTGTAATTTTTCTGTACTTAAAATTAATTAACAAATTATTATAACTTTTTACTTTTTTTTATGGAGCAAGCCTGTACCGCACCCAGGCAGATCCTTCTTTCCTTTCAAAAATAATTCTATCATGAAGTCGATTGCTCTGTCCCTGCCAAAATTCAATTTTGTCCGGGTTGATAAGATATCCTCCCCAATGTTTTGGTTTTTCAACATTATCACCAAATCTGTTCAATTAAACATATACATAAAAAATATTTCAAGAGAGAAAAAAAATACACAACGGAAAAATATACTTTTCTTGTAATTCTGTTGCTTTTTCAACAAGGACTTCACGGGATTCTATAACAGAGCTCTGTTGACTCGCAGCAGCACTGATCTGACTTGAAATCGGCCTCGACTTGAAATACTTAAGCGATTCTTCTTCAGGCAATTTTGAAACTTGCCCTTCGATCCGGATCTGCCTGCTTAAATGTTCCCAATAAAACGCTATAGACACATAAGAGTTTTCTTCCTAAACAAGAATGAAAACAAATAAAATAAACAATTATTAAAATTGTAATGCAACAGAAGTAATAACCATGTCTTGCCCCTTTCGACTTTCGCCATTCGTATAAAATGTAAAACCTTCTTCTCCATAACCCTTTAAAAGGACAAACCGGCAAGACGGTCTACCTAGCCTTGATATAAAATAATAAAATTAACATATGTCCAAGTATAATAATGTATAACACATACTTATTGCATGTTGCAAGACACATAGCATTTGGTTCAAGGATTTTGGAACAATTTTTAGCTTCTTGGAACCAATGATCAAACTGTTTTATTGGGTCGTCGCTAACTAAATGACTTTCTGTAAAAGCTGTGTGGCTTTCGTTGTACTTGTGGCGCAATCCTGGACAAAGAAGAAACTTGAATTAAATTTACATCAACATAGAAGCCCTTATTGAAGTTTGTATAAATCCATTTTTTCATACACTGACGTTTTAATTAGACTCCAAAACATAATATTGGAACTGATGATATAATCTCACCATCACTTTTTTTTTGTTAGAGAAATTAGAGCACTAAAGAGCAATGGTTTTATTTTATATAAAATGCTTCATGGCTTTCTCCATATCATCTCCATACAAACCGTTTAGCCAGACGGCCTTCTTTTTAAAAGCGTTGAGAATTTCATCAATAATAGGATGAAGTTATAAAGAATGAACCAAAGCGAGCTACAAAATTTTAGGGTCCGATGAACAGCTGATGCAGAAGAACTGTTTCAAAGACTTAGTTACAATAAAATTTAGTGAACCAAGGTGACCATTTATACAGAGGGCTCCAAGAATTCAATCGGTGTGGGAGTTACCTTTGTAAGCAAGTTCAGAAGTTATGTTTGCTCTTCCTGCAATAAATAGCAACTTCACTGCAGAGCTCGTTACGCTCAATAAAACTTTGAATATTGTTTGCCCTGTCACACAAAGAATGGTCGTGTGCACGGATTCTCTAGCCGCTCTGCTGGCCATAGAATCAATTCTCCTTAATCCCGTGATTCCAGAAATTCTTCTAGCACGGAGGGAATTTCATTCGAAAAATGTCACTGCCCTATTCATGTGGATTCCGGGTCATTGTGACATTCGTGGCAATGTTCTTGCTGATGCGGCCAAATCGGGGTCACAAAAGGGATCTGGATAAAACAAGTATCTGGAGACTTTCTCACCCATATCAAGAGAAAAATTTGGGCAAAATGGCATAATGAATGGCGTGAAATAACCCTAAACAAGCTAAGAGAAATTAAGGAAGATGTAACCCAATGGTCCACTGCCAATCGAACCTCTTGTAAGGAAGGAACGGTCCTAGCTCGCCTCAGAATAGGTCATTGCAGACTCACGCATGGTAAAAGAACCTCCACTGATATGTCAAGGATGTCAAGAGCAGTAAAACATATTCTTACTGTACTCCATTAGCACCAGAAAGGAGTGTATGTGGTGTTTCGGATAGTTTGGGACAGATTTTGTCAGATGACGAACCAAGAGTAGAAAAACTTTTCAATTTCTTGAGGATGGCTGGTCTGCTCTCTAAAATTTATATAAGGCATGAATGGTGGCTGAGGCCGTCGGTGGGTACGGCAGGCCCGGTGTGGTCTTGTCAGACAGAGGTCAAGAGTGCTGGCAGGTGGTTTCTGTTCATCACCACTCTAAACATATTTCTCTTCAAGGCAGATTATGACCCTTAGTGGTTGTTTGCCTTTATGAATAATTTTTTTTAACTCAAATTTTAACTTAAACAACAGCAGGCTGGGACGTAACTTCTCTTCATCTTCACAAAATTAGTTTACTCCTTCCTCCGTATAAAAAATTCTGTACCTTCTTACACTCAGCCTTTTCCAAAACATGGGACATAGCTGCAGGGCTAGATAACCATTCTCGTTTAACTCAGCCATATAATTACTTATACGACTGATGATATTGCATTCTACTTTCTTAACCCACTAACTACAATCTGTCCAGCCTGTATAGATACTCAGTGCTTAACTGATTTAATGGTTTGAAATGAAAACAGGCTTGTCGACATGGTGTTTATATAGGACACCAAGAAGGAGCAAATATCGACTGCAGTAATTTTCAGCAAATGCCTTTTGCCCAAGAAGTGAATTACATTTTCATTAAGTACCTCAGGGTGATAATAACATAAGGGCCAAACCCCTTCATAAATATCAACATGCCTATCAGAAAGGAAAATCATCCCTATCATCAGAATCAGCACGACATCAATTCACTGAACAACCAAGAAATAGCATTGGGAACCTTGGACATTGAAAGAGCATTTGACAATACTCCTTTTGAAGCAATGGTTACATCACTCAAACATTGAGGAAATGACAAAACCTGCTGCAGATGGATAGATTCAATGCTAAAAAGCAGAAAAGTGCAGGCCTCCATGTTCCACGATAAAAGTAGAAGCAGCAGTGGCAAGAGGATGTCTACAAGGAGGAATACTCTCGCCTCTACTGTGGAATGTGGTAGTAGACGACCCCTCATTTACACCCAAGGCTATGCAGATGACATTGTCACACTAGTCAGGGGCAAATTCGACTCAACATTAAAAGAGCTCATCCAAAGAGGACTAAAGCTGGTGGAACAATGGTGTTCAAAACGAGGACTTAAAGCAAACCCTTCAAAAACCACCTTAATTGCTTTCACCAAGAAAAGAAATATCGAAATACAAGATTTACGTTTCTATAACAAAATGCTGCAACTAAAAAATGAGGTTAAATATATAATCTTTGATAGGAAATTAACCTTGAACCCTCATCTGCAACATACTAAAACAAAAAGTAAAATATCCCTAATGACCAAAAGAAGAACCCTAGGCAAATCTTGGGGATTAAAACCGAAAATGACCTATTGGCTATACACAGCAAGTAATAAGACCCAGAATAACCTATGGATCACTAGTCTCGTGGAACAAAGCTCAACAAAAAGTAGCCAACATTAGGCAGCATACAAAGACTAGCAACCTATGTATCACAGGGGCAATGAGAACAATCTCTACAAATGCATTAGAGACTCTGCTAAACCTAACTCCACTGGAAATATTTATACAAGGAGAGACTAGGAAAAGCTCACTTAGGTTCCAGAAACTATTAAATTGGATAGGAACTAAACAATTCAGGCATCAACAAAATCAGACACCCATTATTAGAAATGGGGGCTGACTATATGATCCTGAAAACATTCTTTATAACTTCCTACAAAGTCTCAACGAACTATAAAGGAGAAGAAGAACACAGGAGAGCATAAGATACAACGATATGGTATACAGATAGTTCCAAAACAAACAAAGGAACCGGATCGGGCGTTTACTGTACAAGCCCAAAACATGAGCAAACAAACTCATTAGGGAAGTACACTTCGCTCTTTCAAGCAGAAATACATGCCATCAATGCTTGTGCCCTGGAAAATCTTAAAAGAGGTTACACTGGCAAAAAAATCCTCAAAAGATGTGATAGCCAAACAGCCATTAAAGCATTGGCATGTAAAAGAATCACATCAAAATTAGTCAGTGAACGCATCCAAAATCTCTAAAACCTGGGGAACACAACAACCTGATATCTTGGGTGCCAGGGCACAGAGGAATTTTGGATAATGAGAAAGCAGATAGTCTGGTCAGAGGAGGATCTGCAAGATATAGGCCTCGAACCAATACTTGGAATAACAAATACAAATGTATAATCCTCCATCGCAGAATGGATTCAAACAAAACAAAAGAAGTGGATAAACTCTAGCGGCACTTAAATAGTAAACTTATGATGAAACAACCCTCACCAAAGCTGGCAAAATCATTGCTGCAATTGGAGAGGGCCAAACTCAGAGGAGTGATGGGACTACTAACTGGTCACTGGCATCTGAGAAAACATCTACACAACATTGGTATATACAACGATGATCCCATTTGCAGATTATGTAATGAGGAGGAGCAATGTGAAGCAACAGCTCAATGGAAATTTAACTTAACATATGAAAAAACTTAGGGGATCAAATTGCAGCAGCGACAGTGAATGATCTGATACTTCTAAGGAGTATGATTGAGTCTATTGCATTAAACTAAGGAACTAGGAAGGTACAATAAGCCAAAAGGCTGCAGTGCCTGGAGAGCGCAAACCCCGCTTCCTAGTATCCTTTTTACCATAACATACAAAAGGGCCAGGATGACAAGACCCCAGTGTCTTTTGCCACTACTCTGTCAAAAATCCAGATTATCAGACGACAATAAACTTTTTCTGTGCAATGATGACAGATCGATACTCTTATATGCATATGACATGGAGGTCAAACATCTCAGAATGAGCAAAATAAGTTTCTGACACTTGTGACAGAATCTTTTCAAAGTACATTGGAAACATACAGAGCGACAAACAAGGTGATGAAATGCCCCTAACGTGAGTACTACAAGCAATCTGCTGCCAGATCGGAATCTAAAGCATAATCATTACTCCTTTATTAACATATCAACCATAATTTCTTGCAGAAGACATAAAGCATATTCGGATAGTACAAACACAGTTTTTCTTCTCCCTACTAGCTTTAAGTAAAGAAAATACAGAACAATTAACTAGTCCATTTTTGTCGTTTTTCTCAGGAGGCAATTGTTATGCAACAAATGTAATTGTACCTAATAAATTGTCGATTAAATAATCAACATGTAAATAAAGCATTTATTAGCAATATTATCAAACATCGACCGGCTATTTAATGATATGCTTACCTCCAATGTTTTGATAATTGCTCATGTTAAATAACGTTAAGTATGAACATAAGTCAATTTCAACTGATATCTTATCACTTGAAGACAAAGTGACAAACGTATATGTATATGAAGTTAAGATTTTTCAATGAAGGTCGCAGTTTAGCATGCTTTTGCTGCCAGGCGCAAAACAGATTAATTCAAAAATAAAATATTAACGTCCAATTTACACAGTTATTAATATTTATTATTAATACAATAATTATTAATTATATTAATTATATATAAAGGATAAAGAGTCATAATATCCTGTAACATACAAAATATATGTATATTATGCAATTTTTTATAGTTGTAATATAACATTTTACAACAAAAGTTTATTAAAAAGAGAAAAAATTCAATATTTGTAGTAAAAAAAAATATTACAACATATATTTTTAAAAATTGAAAATAAATAAATTAAATATAGGCAATTGCCTGATTCTATCAATTAACAATTGTAATTTTAATTTTTTATCCCAATTATAAATTAAATTAATAATGTTTATACCTTATTTGGATTTCAATTAAGCCTTGACAGTTTTGAAGTTTAGACATTTTTGAGGGCCGTGTCGGTAACGACAAAATTTCACGTTCATCACCCCTCAGACACCATGGAGAAATCAGACAAACTGTATTTTATTTGCAGACATGAAACAAATTATAGGCAATCTAGAAATCTCAAGTAAAACTCAATAGCTTAAAAAAATGTAAATTATTTTGCATGAACATGGCACTGTCAGTCATGATATTTGCATTGCAAAGGTGGAGGGACTTAGTTTTGGTGATAGACTTCTTGGTTTCATTCATTTTTTTGAAAATATTTTTTTTGGATGGAGCTATCTTTCTTATTTAAATTGTGATTTTGGGCTTTGCAGCTTATTACCCCGCAATTTGTATTTTCTTCTATTTCATTTTTCCACTCCAGCAGCCTCAAAAATTCTTGAAAGAAGAAAGAAATCTTGCACCCACAACTCTCATTCAAACACTTGCAGACAATGGTATAACAATTTGGGAAAAGGCCTAAATTTCATTATAAATTCCCATAAATTTGAGAAAGCTGAAAAGTACTGGGAACCCAGTAACTCTTTTAAATCACTCGAAAATTTGAGCCTTTGCCTAAAGGGTTGCAAAGTGTGACAGTCGACCAAAATATGTTTTACAGTCGGAATGATATGTTCTCCACTTCGCATACATCGAGGACAAGTTGGATTATTGTTGTGGATTAGCCTGATGTGACCTATTTGCAATCTAGAGAGTATCATAAATTCTTTTCTCTCAAGCTACTCCATCGGCCATTTATATCCAACTGGGTTAATTTCTTTCATTCTATATCTACAGACATTTCATCTTGTCACCCACTTTCATCTGGTGTTTTTAACATAAACGACTATATCATCTGGGCAGAGAGGAAATTAGTCTATTCTTTTTGGATGGTTTGCAGCATTCCTTGCCAGTTGATCAACTTTTTTATTTCCAGAAATGCCGACATGACAGGAACCCAAATGAATACCATGTTTGTTAAGTGCTTTGATTTCGTAGAGGTATTCGTGAATTTCTAAGATATATGGGTCAACTGAGAAATTATTTTTGAAGCCATCAAAAATAATTTCTTGGTTGACCCAAACACTTAGAAATTCACAAATACCTGTATGAAATCAAAGCTTTTAATTTATTGTAATAGTAATAACAACCTTTATTAGCTTCATTTTGTATATTGTTTTACAGATTTTTGTTTTATTAAAAGATTATTTAATGGAATAAAACTTTTTTTGTTTAGTAAAAAAAAATTAATAAACTAAAAATTGTATATACTTTTATTTATTAACTAATTTATTATTTATTTATATTTCAATGATTACCAAGCCATCCATATAGTTCCCCCATTCCATACCATACTAAGCCATAGTAATAGGCATAGGTCTCTCCTCTGAATTTCCAATTTTTTATTTATTTGTATTTGTATTTTTTTTAATTTGTTTTTTGTACACCATTTTGATCACAATGCACAAATGCAGGCATCCAGTTTATTAGCTTTGTTCATTTTGTTGAATATGTAAAATAATATTACCTGCCTAATTCCATTTTGCTCTTTATACTATTTTTATTTATTTTAATTTTTTTTTTACATCCTGTGACTATGTTTTGTTTTTATTTCTTCATTCCTTCTCCAACCTTTTTTTTCTCACCCCTAGCATATTCCTCTAATTAGACCCCCTGAGTTGAACCAGGTCCTTTCCATTAGGGGCCATGTTTGTGATCCACATGTATTACAGATGTATCTAATACTCTTCCTTTCTTTTTAATTGGCATTTTTCAATTTTTGTAATCATTTTTAGTTTCTAGCATTTTTTTCTCAGTGCAATGCTATTCTTTCTTTCTACTTCTATTTTTGTCCTATTACTGAAACTGGTTAAGATCAATTATTTCCTTGACTCATTGCACAAGTTAATTTATTGTAATAAAGAAATATTCAAATTGCATCAGCTACTTATGGTTTAAATATTGTGAAAATGATTAATATTTAGTGACCATTATGTAATGATTATTTATTTATGTACTTTCTAAATACAAAAGGTTTTCTCACAATTTTTTTAAGCTTTAGTTTTGCTCTTCATATTATAATAATTATTTAGAGATTGTTAGGTGTGGTCTGGTGTAATGTAGGTCCAGACAAACATTTTCTTTATCACGCCAAGATCATCTTTGGGTCTTTTTCTAAACCTAAATCACACCAGACCGCATCTAACAATCTCTAAATAATTATTGTGATAATAGGAAGAGCAAAACTAAAGCTTTAAAAAAAATATTGTGAGAAAACCTTTTGTAATTTAGAAAGACAGCCATTACAACAAATACATATGTTTAAAAAGGGGGCTAGAATTAATAAGTGTATACAATGGCCAGATAATGGGATAATAGACTTTCAAGAAAACAATTTCTTTAAAGGAAATGGTTGATTCACACACAAAAATAATGACACAACTTTTATAAATTGTTCGAATAAAGAAAAAGAAACCAGTACCAATGATCTTAAATTTAACAAGAAAATATACAAAAATAATCCCTTTAAAATAGCACAATCTAAAACAGCAAAGTTAATGACTACATCTTAGTATTAATAATCTTCAAAGTATATTGAATTTTACCTTCATCTGGGTATTCAAATTGACAAAATATTGAAGTCCCAGTGAGCCAACTTACTTTTCCCGTGGCAAAATGGACCTTCTTAGTGAAAATGATAGAAATTGTGGAGTATTATAGTTCATCATTTTCCAGAAAATCTTTTTTTAGCTATTCTCCTTAATTCAATTAATTTCCTGATAATTTCAATTAACAACTTTCAAATAAAAGGTAAATTAATATATGGTGTGTATTCCTTTGGGGTCTATTGTACCCATAAGTCTGGAGGGAATACATACTGGTTACTGTTGCCCATTGAATAAAAAAATATTAAATTTTGATTCATCAAATAAAATAATTGTATTCGCAAATGGTTTTGTACCATGTTGTTTGGTATGAAATTTTGATGCATTTAAAATAAAACTGTTTTAACTTAATAGCAATGTTTAATGCTGGTCAATTAAATGGTAATTAAAAAGCAAATAGCCCATTTTTTTTGGTACTTCGTAACCTTGACCTTCTTTATATAAATTGTTTATAGTTTTGTAAATGTTAACAAACTGTAATTTAAGGATGGGTAAGAAAGGCATTGGTGGCTTCAATGTTTAAGGCGTACACACGACACTATCACTGTAAAGTGAAGGTCCTAGATTCAAACCCAGGGGTCCTACATTCAACCCCGACATACTTACATATGAATTTTTTTTTTCAAAAACACCAACATCTTGAGTCTTCATATAACCTCGTAGTTTTTTTTTTTTTTTTTTTAATTGGCCTTATGATCTTGCATATTAGCCATAGTATGAATTCTTGTGTGTTCAAATTGGGGGTTATCGGGAAAAAAGGGCCAGAGGCGACGGTGGGAATCGAACCCATGACCGCGGCGTGAGAGTCTCTCATGCTAACCACTCGGCTACCGCGGTCCCCAACCTCGTAGTTGAAATACCCTCATAGAATTGTCAAACTAATTACTAAATAAGAGTATATTTATACATTTTGGATAAGAGTATGCTATGTATTTGCACACCCTTGGTCCCACTGCAAAGCAGATTGGGAGCTAAATTGCACTCCTATATGTAATTTGTATTCTGCAACTTTCATCGCTTTCTTGCAGATTGGTCATATTTTATTAGTAATATTTTTGGCTTGTAACAAAAAATATTACATTTTGCCAGATCATCGACTGACTACCATCCTTGAACTAGAACGGTTTTATTTTATGTTATTCACATTTTTTATACACTGGTTAAGGCCTTGCTCATCAAATCCAGCCACCAGGAGAACAATCCATTTAGAAAAACAAAAAGACATGTTTCGATACTTTTATTAATTAGTTTCAAACAAAGTAGTAATACACATGACCTTTAAGATCACTTTAGTAAATATTATGGAAATAACAAGCAGGTTACATTTTTATAAAGTAGTCTGTAAAAATAAAATCAAAACATAGTTTATGATATATTATTGTGCTAGGTTTTGACATAAATCTTTTAATCAATTTAACAAAGCTTTTTTATTTTCTTCCAAATATTTTAAAAACCCTGAATTTTGAGTCTGTAGTTAGTTGAGATGCACAAACACCTATTTTGAAGAGTTACAGTTATGTATTTGTTAAATCCCAGTCCCCTTAAACAATGCATATCAATTTGGCAAAATTTTTATTTTAATTTGTCCACAATAGTCCGTTGGTATTTAATAATATCAATTATACAAAACAAAATAAGAAATCGCTAAACGTAAACGAAAATTTAAAGCAAAATACTACTTTACTATTTAAAGAAATATTTTTCCTTACTAATTGCCATTTTTGATTTTGAATAATAGTATTATACAAAATACATTTTTAATGCATTTTAACTAATTGTTTGAATTGTTATGACTGGTTAAGTACTTCACAACCTGATCCACAATGTATCTCAAAATTAATTAGTGACCAATTGAGTGTTTTGTTGTCCATTTGTTACTTTATATTTTTGATTTTAGTCAATTCCAGATTGTAGTAAGATAAACCACAGGTATAAATATTTACGAATTTTATTTTTTGAAAAAAAAAAAAAAATAACGAAACCCATTGATATTTGGCACACCTTGAACATTTCATCTGACATTGATGAAATTGTCAATAATTGTATTTATATATATATATGTTATAATCGTTATTCCTGTAAAATATGTATTTAATATCTTATTTTTAAATTATTTGTTTTACTTTATTATAATACAAATGTTGAAGTGTTTACTAAGTAAAATATATTATGTTCAATATGGCTAGATGTTTTAGATTACATATAATGTGTCTTCCAAAAAAAATCAAACATAAAATGACCAGTAGTGTGAATGTTTTAAAACTGAAAACTCAAAATTTTGTGTTCCAATTTAATATAAAAAAGCCCATATGAATAAAGTCAAAAGTTTTAGCTATTGTGTGCTAGAATTAAAAACTAATCCAAATGTATAGTCTCAAATGGCCAAATAATACAATACAAATCAAAGTATTTTAATTCATACCATTAGATCAAAATAATTATACACTACGAGTTGTTACATACAATCAAAGGTTGCAATAAATTAAAAATGAAAATATGTACAATTGTGATAAATTAAAATCAATGCTTTATTTACTAATATCGCTTGTATAAAAATGTTTAGGCATCCAGGTTTCAAATTATACAAACAATTCATTGTTTTCATTAAATTGACACAATATTTAATCAACTAATCTGTTTAAAACAATAATACTGTAATATATAGATTTTATTAAATATAAAAGTCCATAAAAGTTTAGCTAAATTTTCAGAACATATATCAGTAACTCACTCTCTTTCTCTGTGGAATTAAAGAGTTAAATGCTTGATTTGTCCTCCAATTTACTCTATAAAATTACAACAGAAATCATCAATACTGGTGTTTGATGTTTACAATTTTGCACTTTGTTTGTGTGTGTATGAATAAAAATTATTTATTCATTTAAAACACAAAATTACTTACAAAAATTATAATGTGATGTAAATGGATCCAACATAATATTAGTGGCCATTGAGATAAATAATAGTCAAATTTTCTAGCCACCTCTCTATGTTTTTAAAATTTATGTTAGTAATGTTTGTAAATTTTAAGTACAATTATTAATTTCATATTAATAACCATTACATATATAAACTTTTGTTATATGTAATAAATTTGACGAAAATAAAAATATTAACACAATGGCCTTTTAGTATAAAAAGTTGTGTTTTATTACAAAAAGCTTATATCTTATTGCAATTATCTTAACTCTAATATATATATTTATATATCTATGTTAAATAAAATAGCAATAATACCTCTAGATTACCTCAACACTTTTATAAGCACTATAATGCTATGTTTTTTGTATTATATATTCATTTATATTTCATTTCTTTGTGAATACTATTAGCATTTTCTACAACTACACACTTTGCACACATATAAATACTAGATACTAACTTTATCTACATTTAGCCAGGAACTTTGCACATTGCTAGTATTGAATTAATTAAAAAAAATAATAATAAAAAAAGTTAAATATTTAAGAGAATATTTTTCTTTATGCCATAAACACAAAAAAAAGTTTATAATCAAAATGCTTTTTTTTTTAAATATGTACATAAAAGACAGAATGACCTCGATAGAGATTCCTACATTTCAATATCACAAAAAGGCAATTATAGATATTTGTGTGAACAATACATTTCTTTGTTAATGGCCCAATGGAAAAAATATATTAACACTATAGAATAACTCTTTTATTAATGCTAACAGATCTTTGTTTTCATCATTATACTATTACAAATTATATACTTTATTTGGTGTTTTATAGTAGGAGATTTATGTCATTAAGCCTGACCTTTTTCTTTTATGGTATAATATCAGCAATGTAAATTTAAGGCATTAAAAGACACACACATAATATGTAATATACAAAATTAATTCTCGTATTTATAAACGACAATAGAAACAATCCACTAGCAAAAAAGATGTTTTTCTTTTTGTAGTACAATATTACGAACAACAGATAAGGGCATCATAATTTCAAGGCATATTATTTGTTTTATACATACATATAACATATTTGATAACTTTGTTTTCTATGACTAAAACAGGCTACGGTTCGCTATATATACAATGTCCTACTTGTTATGATTATATATAGAATACTATATCTTAAGACAAAAGTGAATCATCTTTCACTTCGTTTCTTAGCCATTTTATTTTTCCTTAATCTGCCCTGGTGGGGTTTGATTCCATTACTATTTTTATAATAATAACTGCAACTTTATTTTATAATTTTATAAAAATAATTCACTATATGTACTTTTTATAAAGAAAGGGTACTATGACCACAATTGACTTGTTTTTACAAGTGCTCCAAAGAAAATTAAGTCTAACATGCATTAAAACATGGAAAACTTCACAAACGACCAAGACTCTTCAAGATTATAATACTTTTGATCTTTTTATACAAGATTTCAATATGTAAAAACATAATTATTATCCATTCTAGGAATAATGATGAATTTCAATTTGTATGTTTCATAGTAAAAAAGGCTAAGCTACACGTAAGTAGTATTTCCTGAGAAGTCTTGAATAGGGCAATGTGCAACTAATAGCAAAACTGTTATGTGACCCAGGTCCAAGAATTACAAAGAGATCAGGGAAAAAATATGAATATATAAGTATTTCTGCAAGTCTAGAACTAAACAATTTTGTAACGACAAAACATACAAAATAAATTTAATAAATTCACTAAGTCCAACAGAAAGAAAAATTATAGTTGTGAATTTAATTTTTAAATAGAAACGGTAATTGGGAATAATACTTTTGAGTTTGTTTTAATATCCACTTGGCTCAGGCTTGAAGTAAGGATTTTGCATTTGAAGGTTTGGGATTTGTTGGTAGGATAATGAAGGTGGAGCTATTTGTTGTGGGGGTGGTTGTTGCTGTGGTTGTTGTTGAGGTTGTGGTTGCATCTGTGGAGGTGTCGATTGGTGTGATTGCATGTTTTGTTCCATACCCTGAGAAATCCTTCTCCCTCTACGCCTGCTTGGTAGCATTCCTTTACGAGCCATATAAAACCTGATCGTTGACATGGGGATGTTGAAGGTCTGCGATGCTTTCTGGAAGGTCATACCTTTGCAAATTGAATCTGCCGCACTAAGAAGTTCAGCATCAGATCTGCGTATCCTCTGAATTTTGCCGGGTGTCTCATTGTTTGGTGATGGGGTGCCGTAGTTAGATGAACCGGATTCCGTTAAAATCACATTCGGGTAGCCATTATTCAAGTTCCAATGATTTCCTTCTGTCAACAAATTTAATAATAAACATCATCATTTGACAATAAAATTTTATGAAAATTAAATATTGTTTAGGTTTAAATCATGCAGATTTTGTAAACACTACAAGGATACATTTAATAAACATCAAATTTGAATAAACAAAAATAAGAAAAGAGTCCTTTTTATACAATGTTTATTGAAAAACCTTTCGATATAAATGGAAAATGTATAAGCAATTTTCATTGGAATAACATCTATGTCTATAAAGATATTTATTTACAACACCTTAACCATTTGTTCATGACCATAAAATTAAAATTTGAAGCTGAAACACCAATCCCTTGGTCCTTAACAATAATCATTCTAAAGCATAATACAATTTAAAAATGAAAAATGAATAATGATGCTTTAAATTTAAAAATAAACAATAAATGTAAAATTTTAATCAAATGTTAGGCAAGTTTTTTTTAATGCAGATATCTTCAAACATTGTAATATGTACACGGACAACATTAAAAACATGTAACTTTAATAAACAAATTTTAAAGATTTTGGCAATGTGTGAGTTTCTACAAAACATAAAGCATTTAAAGCCAAACATGACTGAGCATCATTTTACCTCCTAATACCATGGGTTAAAGCGACCTCTTATATACCCATATTAGGATTAAATAAATAATCTACTTATAAACATATAGCATGCAACCAATGAAACAAATAATTCTTATTAGAAAAAATTAGTAACAGCCTTTTCCAAAAAACATTTAAATAATAACATTAAAGAATATTACTAACAAAAATGGAAAAGAAAAATACCTTGTCCTGAAACATTCCTGGCCTCAGTGCCTAGATTGAAGACCAAATAGAAAATAAAATTGAGTGAAGATTTTAGTAAATAAATAAATCTTATTCTAAAATATAGGAACCAACACAAAAATAAAATAAAAAATCTGCTATTAAAGTAGTGCCAAATTAAATTGTTCAAAATCATTGTCAGATTTGTTTCTCCTTTGGCCATGTTAAAAATTTGGTAATATTACAAGATAGAAATAATTGAGGTTGAGTGAGCATATCAAATCACTGGTTGGAAAAGAAGGTTCTACCCACTCTCCAGTTTGCGAGTAGAACTATCCTTTCCAACCATTATATTACCAAGATGCTACAAACAAAATGATCACAAAATATAATTGGTTCTATCACTCTTTCTCCCCTCCTACTAATGCACTGTTAAAATTTCTGCTATCGGTAATCTTAAATTCTAACATTTGGACTGTCTGAACAGTTGATCCTAGAGATGCTACGAAATCATAATTAGCAAATGAAAATATTCAATGTTATTATCTCTCATTTCTTGACAACACGTAAATACATGTTTGGGCTGCTGTTGGTATAGATGAAATAGTATGAAAGATAAGAAAAACTGCAATGAAACATGAAAATACGAGTTAGGCGCCCTAACCACTCAGCCACTAAATACCCCAAAAGTATTTTTTAGCAATCATTTATCAATGAAGCTAGTAACAGTAAAGTTTGGGATAAATATAATATATTGAATTTTTTTTTCGGTCTGCCAGGTGTGTTTTGGCCTTTAGCCATTTTAAATGCGGCCAAATTTAAACCATCTACAACAATGCAACCATCTAACCAATTGCATTAAGTGCAAATTATTCTAAAAAGAAATGTGTGATTGTTTCACGGTCATTTAGAAAGAAAGGAATCAATACATTTGGTGAACAGAAGGCAGTACCAACAATGTGGGGCAAATAAATTGAAAATAAGTAAAAAAAAAAAAAAAAAGCTAAACAATATTATCTAAATAGAAATAGTGATCCCCTCTCTTTGTGTATTTAACTTATAGACATAATAGAATGCTAACAGAATACCAATTAATACACATGTAAGAGGTGAAAAAAAAACTTCTTTTGCAATTATATGTTTTAAATAAAACGTTATAAAAAATGAAATGACAAATTTAATACACGTGATATTTATTTATATCTAAAGAAAATAAATAAAAAACCAGAGCATGGTTAAAAATTTTTACCAGGGGAACTGTCCAGTTGTACAGACGGTCCTGCCAAAGAATAAGCCGATCCAGTTTCGTCAATCTGTAGAGAGTTGTCATCCTACAAATAAAAATTATATTACACATACATGATTGTTCTACTAGTGCAGTCAAACTTTTTCAATAATTATTCCATTTATTTTACTAAGAAAAGTACTTCTAATAAACCAAGCACTATGTTTATAGATTTTTCATTGAAAAAAAGTAAACAGACAACAGAAAGAAAAACAACTCAGAATTGCACATACGGCAGATGACTATTTTGCATTACTGGCAAACAGTAGTTGTTTTTTTTTTCGTTTCAGTAATTTAAACACCCTCAACCATCTCAAACGCATTTAGCACTAACCAGTTCTCAGATTGTGATTGTGTCAAAATAAAACATGAGATATGAGTGCAAAAGCAAAAAGATTATCTCTGGCAGAGAAAAGGTCAAAGTTGTACAACCCTTTGAGGAGAAAAAATTAGGGCCTACTTACACAGAGATACTCGAATCTCTTAGTGACTGAAATACTTAGCAACCAAGAGACCTTTCATGAGTAATTACGTGGTGTCACTCAGCTTGGGTACTCCAGTAGCGGTGACTCGCAGATATAGTCACCGCCACAAGGATATTGATAGACCCGACATGGAGTCTACATATATTCATTCATTTGAATTCATTTTTTTACTTTCACGTACACATTCAGTAAGGAGGACGCCCAGGTGCGTTCTTGGCTCCCTTTATTTTCTTTGAAAATTAGAGGGGATCAACATTGTAGGAAACTCTACTTGCTCATCGGGCTTCAGTATGACCCAAGCTATCCTTATAATGGGTTTCGCCCAACTCGTTCCATCTACCGGATTTTTTTACTTATATAGATAATAAAGAATATGACTTTTTGTTCTTATATTAGATACATATATTTTCTAATACATATAATATTTTTATTTTTATTATAGAGAAGTGGAAAAAAGGTAAAAAGTGTAACCAGATTAGGTTCCTGAGCAATGAAATAGTGCCAACTGGCTTGTAAGTGTCTAGGTTTTTTGAGGGGGTAGTCAGGTCCAGGCCTCGGCTACAAAGGCCATAAGGGAAATGATGAAGGTGGGGTAAGTATGTAGATTTACTTTTTGAAAATGATGGTTATTCTGACAGATTTGTTGTTTGCAAAGATCTGGATTTCAAGCAATTAAACATTTGTCATGAATTTGAAGGAGTTACAAATACGTCTTTTGACATAAATTGAAAGAATGAACCTGTCAATTGCCCGCCGCCAACACAACATTCCAATGAGAGGTTTTTAATGTCGCATAATTTTGAATATGTGAAAAATATGATTAACAATACAACTAAACATTATCCTAATGGTATTTATTACGATAATACTTAGTTTGTTGTAATTCACATTTTTAATACATTCAAAATTGAGGAGTATTAAAAACCAGCTTCTCATTGGAATGTCTCATTGGCAGGTTTTCTATTACAATTCATGTCGATGTAACTCCTTCAATCTGATGAAGAATTTTTAATGCTTGAAACAACTATCATTGTAATTCAAGTAATATCATTGTAAAAAAGCGTATCTGTGAGTAGAACCATCATTTACAAAAAGTGAAGGCCGTAAAACATTGTCATTCTGATTCTGTTAATGAACTTAATAATTTTTTAAATGTGAACTCTTCAAATAAGCAGACATTTAAGAGTGGTGTCTGCTTATAGGAAGTTTGGCTGTACACTTTTTTTATTTTTTGTAAATTTAACATTTACAATATACAAATTTCCCATATATTCATATAAGTTATATACGAGTATAACTATTTTATTAAATAAATAAGGTGATGACAATGCTAGGAAGCAGGTGTTGCTATTAGAATTGTCATCAGCACTCTCTCCCACTCCAGAAATTTTGTAAGCATTTTTATTAATGAACAACGTAGTCTTAAGTTAGATTTTCCTGAAGGCATATCGGAGAAATTTAGATTTAGTAAATTAAGAAACTGAATGTATATCAGTACTATTTTGTAATTTATTGACTAAAAGTTTTTTAAAAACAGATTTGATAAAAGAAATTAGTTAACTTATATATTATTCTTAAGCCATCCAGTTTTTAACAGTTGTAAAATTATATCAAGTGATTATTCAGAAATCATGAGATGCGGTCTGGTGTGATGTAGGTTTCAGAAAAACATTTTCTTTATCATGCCAACGTTTCGAATTCAAATAAATATAATGTACATATATCATCACATCACATTCCACACATCAAACATTTTTCACATAGTCTAATTTTTCAACAATTTAGCTTTCCTTTTCCTATTTATCCCCTTCCATATAATCCTGAAAGGATAATCTGGCCTAATTTTCACCTCAAAGAAGCCGACGCCTTATACAAAAATGTCTTTTCTATACCGACTTCTTTCTCCACCCCTTCAAAATCCAACATATATAAACATAAAACAGCAATATCTCACTGGCACTCTCGACACGACACGCAAGAATGGCACAATTACATAGAAGAGAAACACTTTGAGTGAGTAGAAATACTTTGATTAAATTAAAAAAAAAATTTCATTGTATAAATTCACTTTGTTCCACATCCTACATGTATTTGTTAAATGTAAACAATGTAAATCCCAGGCCCTGAAGATGATCTCAATAATGATCGAAACATTGGCACGAGAAATTTTAGACTCAATCAAAGTATTTGTACTCACTCAGTGTTTACACAGAAAAACACTTTGAGGGAGTACAAATACTTTGATTGAGTCTAAAATTTCTAGCATTGTATAGATTCATTTTTTCACATCCTATATGTATTTGTATATTTCAAGCAATGTTTATAATTCCCAGGCCCTGAAGATGATCTCGGTAAAAATCAAAACGTTGGCAAGATAATGTTTTTCTAAACCTACATCACACCAGACCACATCTCACGACCTCCAAATAATCATTAACTAATGTCACTAAAAACCACGGTTTTTTTTTTTTTTTTACATTATTCATATATGTTTAAGCATAACTATTTATTAATGTAATTTTAATTTGTCATTTTATTAACTTTACATTATATCATTCTTCAACTAATTACCCAAATAATGTCACAGGGCATCAGAAATTATTCCAGTTTACAATAGACAAAATTTTGCAGATGAGATATAAAAACATTACTATTATAAGAATTTACCAGTGGGTTTATAACAATGTTAACATATGAAATAAATGTGTGGTGATTAGTGACTGTTAATCGATATTTATTTAGAAATAAATCTAACAAAGCATTATGAATTGAATGTAAAATATGACTTTGATGTGAAGGAATTTTTTGAAATTAATTCCACAGGTTGAGTGATAAAGTAATAACCCAGACATTTATTCAAAACACGTGATATGTAACATACTCATAGTACTCCTATATTAAAGATTATATGTACAAGCACTCATACTTAAACAGGTAAATCAAGTCGTAATCATCACTTGGACATTTATCTTGTGGCCTTAATGAAAGTTTCAATTTTTATGACAGCAAGTAAATATTTTCTGAATTATATTATTATTAATAATCTCAAGTGATTTTCTTCTTTACTTTATTTATATTAGAAACGACACAAGGTCAAAATACTTTAAACTAAATTATTATGCATATATTGGGTGTGGGCATAAGTTTTTTCGGTTTTTTCAAATTTCAAATTTCTCCCTTATAAAGGTGATCCTTTATTATCTGCTAGCCTCCTTGCTCTAAGGGGGGACTTTAACGGGGTAGGTGATACCAAAAACAGTCTACAATAAACTGCGATGCGTACGACATGAAAGCTGATAAAATTCAGTTGAGGCAGTAACTTGCTTTATTAGTCAAACTTGGCATTATGCCTGCTGAAAGGTATACTGAATTTAAGGTGATAACATAGTAACCGAATGTGTGTCAACAATGGTTCTGATGGTTTCTTAATGGAAAGATATGAATCAAAGACCAGCCTCGATGTGGAAGGCCTAACGAGCTTAAAAGTGACAACTTATTAGTAGCATTGGAGAAAAAGTGCAAATTAACTCTACTAGAGCTATTAAGAGAGATTTAAAATACATTGAAAAACAATAGAAAGAAAAATCTGATCTCTGGATTACGTTGTGAAACTAAAAACAGTCGTAAAAAGGTCGTATTATATGGTGAATATTCAAGGAATAATTTGTTGGTGTTACCACACAACCAAACCCTTCTGGCAGAGGTATACTGTGCCCAGCTATAGTGACTTTGGAGCAGTTTAAAAGGAAAACTGCTTGTCCTGACAACACCAGGCCTCACACAGAGTAAATAATGAGCTAAATTAGGTGAGTAACAATCACCCCACCCACCGTACTCTCGAGACAATGCCTCATCTGATTTTTACCTGTTCTACTCCCTTGACAAACTCTGAAAAGGTAAGGAATTTTTGAACAAAAACACTCTGAAAATTGACTTACAGATTTCTTCTCGTCTGTCATCATTCTGCTCCCAGAATATTGGCAGTATGTCATAGACAATGAAGAAAATTATGTTTTGAATTAAAAATAAAATTCATTAATATTTTGGAAGTTTAACTTTTTTTGAGAAAACTAAAAAAAAAACTTTTGCACTCACCCAATATAAACCTAAAACTGGGATAAATTGCATTCTTAAATGTATGATGATAAATCAACTGTACTTACCTGATAAAAGTCATCATCCAAATCCTCAAATAAATTACTATCATTTACGCTCATTTCTTGTTTCACCTACAAGAGCAAAAATTATTAATTTCAGAACATTGTCTTATAAAACTCTACTGTATTAAAGTATATAAATACATACACATGTGCTTCCAGAGCTTGTAGGAGTTTGAGATGCTTCAGTCTTTGGAGGTTCCAGAGTGTTGGCTGGTTTGTTTACAGGTGATTGTTGGTGATTTCCGTTTGAATATTCATCGTTATTTCCTGACACGCTATTTAAATCTTTGACTTCACTTTCCATTCTTCTTTTCTTAATCATGCCTTCAGCAGCAGCCTCGATTCCCCTGGGGAGGGAGAGTTTGTTCCCTCCTTGTTCGTGTTGTCCGCAAAGACCTCGAACTTCCAAGGCTTCAGCTGCTTTCAGTAGGGAGGCAAGCTCGTCTTGTGTAACATTCACCTCTCCCTTGTACATAAAATCGACCAAAGCCTGAACCTCCCAATATTTCATGTCTTTCATAAATATAATAGGATGTTGACAAGGATTCTGGACAAGAAGCTTTTCGAAATAGGCACTGCAAGCACTCAATACAACTTTATGGCACTTAACCATTCTCGATTCACATGCCAGTGTCACATCGACAAAATGTTCGTTTGTCAACAATTTAGGAAATGCCGACTGGAGATTACTCTGGTAACTGTTCCAACGAACACAAAACTGTTGGGTCTCCTTACTGGACGCCATTTTGTTAGTCACGCAAATCCAACAAGACTGCAACAGCAAGAAAATATTGTAACTATACATGTTCATATATTTAATAATCAAATGTTGGTGTAACTTTCATCCATCATTAATTTTTTTAGCAAAAGAGAAATTATCAGTACATTTATCAAAAGATGTACTAAAATTTAAATTCTATATCAACAAATACTAACACCTTTAACATTAATAGAAAATTCATAATTATTATACATAAATTCAATTCTAATAGGTTTAAAAACATTAGTTTTTTTATTGTTTTCACTTCTTATTAGTTTATTTAATCCGATTAATGCATTTATCAGTTTTAGTTTGAAGTCTGATTGTGACAAAAACCTCATCATATTGATACCAAGGGGATTGAGTACTGTGACTTGGCATTAATATATAATACAGGCTATATAATACAGGGAATGTAAGTAGAGGAACAATAAAAAAAATTGTTCCATTCATATCAGCCTTTCAGTGAACCTATACCTAATGCATGTTAATTACCAAACCACCTTCTTTTTGGGAGAATGTTATCTCTGAGTTTAACTTGTTCAGAAATTAAATATCAAAATGTCTCAGTTGATGGATAAACTATCACATGATCCCCCTCCAGTTGAGATTGTCACGAATGCTAATTGATATGTAAACATACTGTGCCGCAACATATCTAACATAGCCAAAATATGAAGTGAGAATTTGTTCCATCAGGGCAACGGATCCAAGGGGTGATTGATTGATTGATAATGAATTTACAGGGATTAAACGTAGAAAACCTAAGATATTTGTTTGATCTAAAAATAAGAAAAAATATCACATAATTGACAATTTTTTATATTTGAAATTTGAGAGATCTATGCAGATTAAGTTGCAAGAAATAACATATAGCTAATAGGCTCTTTACAAAATTCTAAAAGGTTTAATGTAGTCAATTTGACATAATTATTTTTAATACATATAACAAGTCTGCAAATCCTTTTTAAAACTATCAATCTGAATTTTTTTAACCATCCATTCTAGCAATCAGAATATTTTGCAGTAAATTTCTATATTCTATATTATGAAACTTGATCATTTCAGACCATATTGGTCTGCGTATCTTCAATATTTTGGTCCGTCAGATGTGTTTCTCCATTTCACCATGTACAGTGGATGGATTTTTGTAGTGGTTGTGTTGTTCTGGGTGACCTATTGGTGAAAATTAATATTAGCAGATGTATTGACTAAAAGTTTAATTAAATTTTTACTAGAATATGTTTAAAATTAGATAACATAAACAATTTCTTTTACAGGTTGATAAATTATTTTACAGCAAAATTTTTATAGTTTCTGACAGGCCAAAATGATCAGTAATGACCAAACTACATTCATCATGCTGCAGAACTAAAGAGAAAAACTCACTATGTTAAGTTTTAAATAAATTTAGCATAAATTATATTTTCTATTGAATATATGATATATACATTTTTTTAAATAGTAAATAAAAAAGGACAATTGTTTGAAGTTAATAGTTCTATATAAATTAGAATAAAAATTCGAATATATATTTTTTACTGGTGAATAAATAATTTTAGGTCACTTATGTAGTGTCTGACAGACCAAAATGATCAGAAACGACACTCATCGTACCACAGAACTAAAGAGGAAATATCGCAATATTAAGATTTCAAATATACTTTTGAAGTATAAATAATAATTGTGTGAATGCTTTGTGTATTATATACATAGACATAATTTTTGTTAAAAGGAAAATGGTTTAATGTTAATAGTAAAATTTAAATTATAAAATACAATTTAGTATACAATTGATAAGAGATATAGAAATATTTTTATAGATAAATGATTTTAGAACATAATTTTTATAGCATCTGACAGGCCAAACGATTGGTAATAATCAAGCTATAGATACATCACACCACAGACCCCAAGAGGTAATAATAAATAACAAGTGTTACTAATTTTTGTCCCCCCCTACATATATTGATATATGTATTTTTGTAAATATAAAAAGTACAATTGGTTTAAGTTTATGAAATGATTTTAAACCAAAACTTTTGTAGCACTTGACAGACCGAAATGATCGGAAACGGCTAAACTATGAGTTCATCATCCCGCAGACCTCGAGAGGAAATCTCACTGTATTAAGTTTTCAGACAGTCTTGTAAAGTAAAAATAATAAATAACAAGTGATAATAATTTTTGTTCCCCTTTGCATACATTGATACATGTATTTTTAAATGTAAAAATAACAATTGTTTAAAGTTTATGATATGATTTTAGAGCATAATTTTTATAGCGTCTGACAGGCCAAATGATTGGAAATGATCAAACTACAGATACATCACACCGCAGACCCCAAGAGGAAATAATAAATAACAAGTGTTAATAATTTTTGTCCCCCCTACATATATTGATATATGTCTTTTTTATATATAAAAAGGACAATTGTTTAAAGTTCAGTGATTTTAGAGCAAAACTTTTGTAGTGCCTGACAGACCGAAATGATCGGAAACGACCAAACTATGAGTTCATCATCCCGCAAACCTCAAGAAGAAATCTCACTATATTAAGTTTTCAAATAACCTTGTAAAGTAAAAAATAATTAATAAGTCTAAATAATTTTTGTCCCCCTTGGCATATACTGATATATGTCTTTCTTAAAATTTAAAAAGGGCAATTGTTTAAAGTTTATGAAATGATTTTAGAGCAAAGGTTTTGTAGTGTCTGACAGACCGAAATGATCAGAAATGACCAAACTACTGGTTCATCATCCCGCAGACCCCAAAAAGAAATCTCACTATATTAAGTTTTCAAATAAACTTTAAATTTCGACTTCATTGTTTTAGTAAATAATTTTCTTCAGTCTGATATTAAACAAAAAGAGATAATTTTTGACCCCACGTATATATATGTTATTTTTTAAGGGGAAATAAATAATAATTCCAAGTTAATAGTTTTAAGTAATTCCTAATAAAAATTAAAAACATTGCATTTTTTTACTGTTGTATTACCAAAATACTTTTAGTAGGACAAAGGCGAATAATATTTTTTACATTAATTTATCATTTTTAGACTAAAATATTTAATAAATTGTTAATTATTTTGAAAATGGGATTTTTTTAAATAATACAAATATGCGAACAGCCTCTATTAATATCTACTTACAGTACAGGTACACTAGAGCCTGCTAGTTTAGGAAGTAAGTCGAAATAGCTTCCGTCATAGTTATGTTAGTAGCTAAACAACAAATATACATATATGGGTGCTACACAAAAAAAATGTGTATTATATATGTATAATATATACATAACACGACTTATCCAACAAGGACGAAGGTGGAACATAACTGGAAATAACACAATTAGACCGACATCGGTGTAGAAATATTAAACAATACAAAGCTAAACTTTAAACAAAAAGTTGGTAAACGAATGGAAAAAAAAATTAAAAACAATCGATCCGACTAATTAATTTATAGTAATATAAAATATGTTTTATAATTAAAGAAAGGGGGCATATATTCTTATAGGGAGTGAATATATGTTGATAAGTCGGATATAAACTATTAAGCATCAATAAGTTAAGATGGCGACAATCTTTGCACAAGAGACAAATTCCTGTAATTTGTTAAGAAATAATAATAAAATGGTTCTGTGGATGAAAAGTTGGCACTTACACGGGCTCCAATGGATTAAACGCCGTCGTTTCCGGTGGTGGGCTGAGTTCCGATGGTGAATAACATTAAAATACCTTTATTCAGACGTCGGGATAAATAAATACGGATTCACCCCAAGGGTCGGTAGCGTCAAAACTAGGGGAAGCTTTTCTCTTCTCGAGTAGAGATGGGAGAAACGGAGAGAGGGTCGGGTGGCGTGTGGGGAGGGACTTGACAAAGGACGACCCCCAACGACATCTACAACAGAAGCGGCAGCATTTTTTCCCTCTTTTTTCAACCAAACTAACTTCTAAATCGAACATTCCACTCAAACTAGAGATCATTTTCAACTAGATTAATAATAATGACGATAATAATGAGCTTTCAAGTGACTTCAATATTATTATTATATTGGTTAGAATCCCGCTCGGGACACTAGCTTTTTCATCTCAACCAAGACCTTAGACAAAAAGAACAATTAATTGAAATAATTAACATGGCCAATGAGACCACTAAACATAAATGGACTGTTATTATTATTGACCATACAAGCCTATGGGAAATGTTTAAATTTTGGAAAAAAATTCAATATTCTAATTAAAGAACAGGAATAAATTTTATTCAATTAATTGGTCAAGCGGACCACGAAAAATAGTGAATACATTTTATAATTTAAAATGGGTTTTTGCATACATTTGCCCTTCCAAATTAAGTATTTTAAAAGAATAAATTAAAGCTTTCAATGTCAATAGGATAGATTAGTTTATAAGTGAATGTTAGGAGTCATAGCTTTATAGCACTCAGAATATAGCTAACCTAAGATAAAAGACCATTCATTAGTTTTTCCGCTTGACCAATTAATATCATTCAATTATTTAAGGTTTTAAGTTGAGACAAAAAAGTCAGTGTCACGAGCAGGATTTGAACCCACGACCTTCAGCATGATACGCCGCTACTCTACCACTTGAGCTATTGTTACGATAGCTGACTTTTTATCTCAACTTAAAACCTTAAATGACTAAGATAAAAGGTTTAAACGTTAGGGTGTGAAATGACCTTAGCTGATAAAATACCCTTAAAAAATAATAATAATGAGCTTTCAAGTCACTCCATTATTATTATTATTATTGACCATACAAACTTATGGGAAATGTTTAAATTTTGGAACAAAAATGCCAAATTCTAAGCAAAGAACAGGAATAAATTGTATAATTTAAAATGAGTTTTTGTATACATTTGGCCATACAAAGTATTTTAAAAGAATAAATTAAAGCTTTGGATGGCAATAGGATAGATTAATTTATGAGTGAATGTTTGGAGTCAGAGCTTTATAGCACTCAGAAGGGATATGGCTAAGATAAAAGGTTTAAACATTAGGGTGTGAAATGACCGTAGCCGAGAAAACGCCCTTAAAAATTAATAATAATAATGAGCTTTATTTTTGCCTTTTTAGGTCAGCCCTCAAAAGGGTAATACCCAATACCCTGTGTAGGGAGGTAGTTATATAGCTTTTTCAGTTTTTTAATTAAAAAAAAATTATATATGTTAATTATGCATATATATGGGCTAGCCTAAAAAGGCAAATTAAGTTTATTATTATTTTGTTGAAGTCGTTATGAGTGGTCAAGAATGAGGTAGTTTAGAAAAACACCTTTTTAATGTTTTTGTTGGCGTTTCAACCTTTATTTGGGCATTTCAACCTTTATCTTCAGGGCCTGGGTAAATTACAAACTATATGTTGATTGGAAAAAAATACAATTTGAGGTGTAAATATAAATTTTGAACCAAGTATTTCATACTCACATTACGTGTGGTGCTATTCTAGTGGTATAATATTGGTTTTGTGTAAAAGTAGCAATATGACACCACAAGATAGTACCACACTTTATGTGAGTATGAAATAATTGGTTCAAAATTTATATTTACATCTCAAATTGTATTTTTCCCAATCAAGATATGTTTTGTAATTTACCCAGGTCCTGAAGATGACCAGAATAAAGGTCGAAATGGCAAAAAAATGAAAAAGGTGTTTTTCTAAACTACCTCATTCTTGACCGCTCCTCACGACTTCAACAAATTATCAACAGGTCATTATATTATTATTATTATTAATTTTTAAGGGCGTTTTAACGGCTAAGGTCATTTCACGCCCTAACATCCAAACCTTCTATCTTAGGTTAGCTATATCCCTTCTGAGTGCTATAAAGCTCTGACTCCAAACATTCACTCGTAATCTTATTTATCCTATTGCCATCCAAGCTTTAATTTTTCTTTTTAAAATTCTTAATTCGGAAGGCCAAATGCATACAAAATTCCCATTTTAAATTGCATAAAATTTAATAAAATTATAAAATTTATTTCTGTTTCTTTTTTTAATTAGAATTGTGAATTTTGTTCCATAATTTAAAAGTTCCCCGTAGGCTTGTATGGCTAATAATAATAATAATAATGGAGTCAGACTAGGAACATATTATTATTATTATTGATCCATATGTTTATTTAGTAGTCATAATTGACCTAGTAATTATTTAAACAATTTTAATAATTGGAAATTAATTTTATTTTTCTAAGTTAGTTTGGTTGAAAAAAGAGCACAAAAAAATCCAATTTACAAAAATTTTTAAATATTAATGTTTGTATTATTACGCAGTATATTATATTATACATACTATTATATGTTTAAATATAAATGTTTGTATTATTATACAGCATATTATGTTATATATATTATTATATGTTGAATTTAAATGTTTGTATTATTATACAGCATATTATATTATATATATTATTATATGTTGAATATAAATGTTTGTATTATTATATAGTATATTATATTATACATATTATATTAAAGCTATACAGTATTATTATACATGTACAGAAGTGCAAGTTAAATAATTTAAATAACAACCAAACCAATTTTTCAATTATTTATTCTTTTATCTAATGTTTTGGCCGAGATGAAAAAGTTAGTATGACGAGTGGGATTTGAACCCACGACCTTCAGCTGAATACGCTGCTGTTCCAACCACCAGCTATCGTGACTTCAATCCCCTCGGGGCCAAAGGTTGTGGGTTCGAATCCAACTTTTCATATCAGTCAAAAACCTTAGATAAAAAGCATAATTAATATGGTTAATTATGACCTACTACAACTAAGCAAATATGGATTTATTTTAATAATAGGTTCATCACTCTGCAGATGAAATTTAATTTTTTATATCAAAGCATACCAACAAATAAAAAAAAGAAATGCAATATATTATAATAATAAAAAGGAATACAAATTAAATTAATCAATATTTTTGAGTGGCTATAAACATTTGTTGAAATAATTAAAATTAATATAATGAAAATGTCCACTTTTTAGAAATATTTTTTTTTTAAATTTGTAATGACTTGAAATGGGTGAAAAAGAATACCCCGGCTCTTGAAGGATGTGGATGTCCACAGCCCATGCACATCCTTCTGGAGGAGCCGAAACAACATTAGTTCAGCTTCAGTGATAACATCACGCTGTTTATATAGTGCTCGTCCCTCTGCAATGCGGCTGGCCCTCCGGGCCTCCTCCTTCCTGGGGCCATGGCCCCTCTGGTTCGTGCAGTGGGGAGGCTGCATTGGTTGATGCTTTAAGACAGCTATGACCCTTAGTGGTTTTATGGTTTAAAAAAAAAAAAAAAGACTTGAAACATAAATAATTTATAATAGGTAATCAGTTTATAATAGCTAGTTAAAAATTAATTAATAATTAAGTATTAATAATTAATATTTAAATGATAAATATAGTCAAATGTTATTTATTTTCAGATGGTGGAAAATTATTTGTTTTATATTTTACATAAATATAAAAATGAAAAGTATAAAATTTGCTGTACATGACAAATCCTCCATCACAATCTCGTGGTGCTCTCTGTTGTAAAGATACCAAGAACTGGAGTATCCCAGCAAAACGTGGTTGCTGTTTGGGTCTCAAGAGACATAGGTCTAAAGGGTAACAAAAAGAACGTCCCAATCTCCGGAAAACATGATTAAAAGAAATGGGAGCAGAAAAGCACTCACATATGTATCAGGAGCACTGTCAATAGGTGGCCTTTGGAGAATCTAAACTGTACAAGAGCGATCATCCTCACCCGATTAAGAATAGGCCATGTGTGGTTGACTAAGTTTAATGCAACACAAACCTCATGCTCCCCCCATTCTGAAACATTAAAGGGAGAGAGGATTCGGGTTCTTGTCTCGCTGAATATTACACATGAGTACTTAGAATGATTCAAATCAATCTTGTTAATAATACACCACTGGCTTGCTTTATCAAATATTGCAATCGTTGGATATAAAGTAGTGTAGAGAAAATGGGCTTTACCACAAAGTTGGAATGATCAGCACAATTAGTTAAAAAGCAATCAGGGGCAGTAAAGTAGGCAGCAAGCTAGAGCAACGTAGAGCAGGACTAGTAATGGGCCTAATATCCTCCCCTGAAGCACTCCCATATTATCATTCTTTTAGGAACCAACTGCATCGACCTATTGCCACCGATCCATTTAATAACCATCTGTAGATTGTTTTCTCTGGAGATAATTGAGTTTATATAAATTAGTAATCAGTATAAAAATAATGAAAAAATCTTTAAAACATTGATTTGAATTAAATTAAAATTAAAGTATAGTTTTCTAATTTAAATTATAAGTTGTGATATATGAGTTTCAAAATTTAAATTATTATCAAGCTGATGCCTAGAAAATTATGTGGGTTAGCAAATTTTACGGGCACATTTTTTATCTGTTTGTTTTATATAAAATTTAGAGTGAAACATTATATAATTCACCTAGATTTACTTTATTAATTATATGACTTATAATGGAAAATGTATTAACAATATTTTAGTCATATTGACAACAAATTTGATGCAAACCAGTTTTATATTAAGTTAGAGTTCTGTTTAAGGTTACTGTATAGAATTTCGAGAGATTATTATCAAATAAATTTAAGGGCAGTATAATCTGCAAAACAAAATGATGCAGAATTTAGAAGAAGTTTAAATAAATTATTTATGTATATTTATCAGTAAAAGAATTACAAACACTCAATAAGCGAGGAATTATAGACCGAAACTATATATACATATATTTTTTTTTAACTGGAAAGGGGCCTCTGAGTATTTGTTCATACAATTCAAAATCAACATAAATTGCTGTATATCAGTTTACCAGTGATCTGAAGTAGACTTTAGACGTTAAATAAATAGTACTTTTATATAATTATTGGTTGCTGGCTAAGGATTCTTAACTTGTGCTCCGCGAAAAAGCAACTCGGTCTATCCGCAGGTGAGTCATTATGACCCTTTCTTTTTTCCATGTTTCTTCTGTGACCAACTATTTGACCAATGGTTTTATTGCATACAATATGTTTGGCATGATGGTCTGGCAGTTCTGTCATTCTTTCCAGCATTTGAGAGTGCCCACACAACACGCAAGAATGACACAATTACACAGAAGACAAACACTTTGAGCCCTGAAGATGATCTCAATAAAGATTGAAACGTTGGCACAATAAAGAAAACGTTTTTCTGAAACCTACATCACACCAGACCGCATCTCTCGATTTCTGAATAATTACATTAAATATTGTAACAACTGTATATGCAATAATGCAATAATGTTTAAATAAATTATATATTTCTTTCTTTCTCACTCTTCTTCTCTTGCTCTACTTTTTCTTTCTCTAGATGCTCAAAGTTCAACGAGTTATCTCATGGTCCAGATATTTACAAACTTCAAGGCTGATCGTGACACCAAAAGAGAGTTGGAAACTTGAAAAAAAAATAAAATTATTATCTCTACTACTACCAAAAATGGTAGTAATGAAAACATGGAAATGAAATATTTTCAATATTATATCAATATTATCAGTTCAAGGGTACAAACAGGATCTTATTTAGTTCATTTTATTTGCACAATCATGGTAATCATTAATAACATAGCCTAATGCATTTCTAGACAAATAAAAAATAACTATTGCCTGAAATACCTTTGTTAATGGCAGAACATAATCAGCACCTGTTGTAATATTGTAGTTGAAAATGTAAATAAATAAAATATGTAAAAATTAACATAACATTTATTTAAAAACAAAAGTAATAGTTTGATACAACTGAAAAAAATTAATAACAAAATTAACTGCACATTGGAATGAGTTTTGTTCTAAATCATATAATATAAAATGTAATGTTATTTGTGATAAGTACTCATTAAAAATCAAATAAAAATACAATGAAAAATCATACATTACATTTCATTATAAAAATATGATTAAAAGAGTGTAAATATAAAGAAATTCTACTATTTTTTAATATAAAAATATGTTATCATTTTGTACAAATATAAAATATTACATTTACAAATAAAATATTTATAATACAATTTGTAACAGGAGTGAATAGCATTTTCTTGGTCAAAAAAACAACTACTAATTTTATCTATGTTTTTGTCCTTAAGATGCTGATCAGTCCGATATAAAGTGGACAGCAAACATCCTAAATGACAGGAAACTGCTTCCTTGGATGAATAGGAGCAGTTTATATTCGTTCTATAAGATCCCCTGTGAGAACCAAAATCATTCATTCTAAATAAATAACAGTAATAATTAAAAAAACAAAAAAATTAAAATTAGGTATCTATGAGACAAAACAATTTAACTTAAATCATAATTAGTAGTACTGAAAGTGTAATGATAATTTAATTTTGCATTTTTAAAAATGTAAGAATCGACTGTCACTGTCTACTACATACTATACCCATTAAATTATAGTATTCAGCAAATCTAAAAGTTCATTACCTTTATTTCGCACATAGTCAACTTCTTCTTCATTATCGTTAATATTATCAAGGAGTTTCCCTTCTTTATTTTCTTTCGGACGATTGAAGAACCTACAAAAATTATTTTTGTTGTATGATTAAAGCATTCTGTACAATGTGTTGAGTGATCTTTCTTTTGTTTCAAGGTTTTCCCAGGATTTGGTAAAATAAATAAAACTTAACTTTATAAAAGATTACTTTTTTAAATGAAGTAAGCATGCTTGTAACATAGATGTACAGAATAAAGAAATTGATAAATAAAGTTTATAAATCTTTATAAAACCTTTGATTTAAAAAAAGTAGCTATATTAATTTTACAGATACAAATCAAAATATTTGATAAAATCAGTCTAAAATTATTTAGTTATGTTTAATTAATGGACTATGAATTTTTTTCAATAAAGAATTTTAGAAGAAGAAGAAATTTTTTTTAATACACAGATTAAAAAAATATATCATTAAAAGTGTTGAATAAACTTCTATAATATAACACATATTAAGCATTGGATTTTGGATTTGGAATATAAATAAAACTTGCTAATTATCAACTTTGTTGGAAGATAATTTTTTTTTTTTTTTTAATAAAGTGCATGCTTATAACATAATGTAAAAAATAAATAAATTAGTAAATAAAATTTATAAACCTAACATATCTGACCTCATTATTTTTGATCAATCAAACAACAGCTATGCTAATTTTATAGATAAGAATAAAAATATCTGGTTAAATCAGACTAAAATAATGTTTAATGACTGACATTTTATTGATATCTTGTTTAATGATTTACACTCATTTATTATTATTATTGTGTAGAGATTAGTGACCGTTAATCGATAGTTATTCAGATATCGTGAGACCCGACTGCATCTCACGATATCTGAATAATAATAATTATTATTATTTTAAACTGGGGCTTCCGACATCTAGGTCATTTCAGCCCCAAACTAAGTCAATATGTCAATATTCTATTTACACTTTCAAACACTACATTCATACAAATAAATACATTCATACACATAAATACATCCATACAATACACTCATTCTGTTTGCTCGGTGGAGTACTTGATATTCCTCCACCGACCTACACTCAAACTAATCTTGATTGGGGTCCGTGGAGTACTTTTATAAATATTCCGCCATCGACCCCGAACACACACTTATACGCTTTCATCGTTCGAGGGGTGATGATGATGTTATATTCACCCTCACCCCTCGCCATTCATGCTAATAAATACATGCACTCAGACAAAACATATAGACACAACACATAAGTCATATTATATACAATAAAAAAAATTAATTTCCCCTAAAAAGCGGAATAGGGGACTCTGAAATTCGCTACCGTGCTCGAGAACTCTTCTTAAGTCCGGTGGCATGCCTACATGCTCTCTGTATGGAGCCAAGGCATGACATGCCTCTATTATGTGGGACACATCGAGCAACCTTTCTCTGCATAAGGGGCATCTGCGTGAGCTTTGGTAGGTGTCCATGTGTCAACCGCGTATGGCCAATCCTCAGTCGGGTGAGGGCAATCCCTCGTCTCCTGCTCAGGTTCTCTGAGGGCCATCTACCGGTCATGCTCTTGACTCGCAAGAGCCTCTCCGACGACCCCGCCCACTGATGCTGCCATCTTTCTTTTATTATATTTTTTTACTGCGTGTTTAGCATCAGGGGGCCTGATCACGATGGTCTGATCCAGAGGGTGGGACGTACCGGCTTTCACCGCCTTGTCCGCGTGTTTGTTTCCTTCCAGGCCGACGTGTCCGGGAATCCAGACAACAACCACCGTTTTTCCGAGAGGCTCCAGCTCCGCGTATTTCTCTAACAAGAGCACGACGAGAGGGTCCACAGTGAACCTGTCGCGTATAGCCCAGATAGCGCTCAGAGAGTCGGTACATACAAGGAAGGCTGAGCCCTCCCCGGTCTGCACTACCTCGAGAGTGTGCCAAATTGCATACAGCTCTGCCGTGTATACGCTGCAATGAGGGGGCAACGACCAAAAGGTGGCCACTCCCTCGCTATACACAGCACACGACACACCATCGCCGGTCTTGGACCCTCTGTAAAAATCAGACGGAAACCGGCATATCTATTTCTAAATTAGAAGCTAAGTTAGGAACTTAGCCTTGTAGAGGTATGGCGGTGTATACGATTTGGGCAAGTTCGCCAGATCGTCGCAGACGAGTATAGCCAGAAAGGTCCAGGGGGTGTCGGCCAGTGGCCCAACCGAAACACCGTCCCTAGCGCCAATCCGGCCCTCCCTAAGGACTCACCGAAGTGAATCCCAAGGGGTCGCGTCCGCGAGCGAAGCCTGTCGTAAACTACTCTGTACGGCCAGTGGAGGATCTTCATAGCCAGGGGGTGCTCCGGCTTGGCCGAGAACCTGGCCCCGTAATGGAGGGTGAGTTGCTCTCTCCGAATCGGGAGGCAAGACCCCCAGCTCGCAGCACAGACTGGCCAAGGGGCTGGTCCTGAATGCTCCCAAGATTACTCTGAGACCCTGATAATAGAGCCTGTCGAGCTTTCTCAGGGGCATTTTTCGGGCCGAGGAATAAGCCATACCTCCATTAAAGATCCTCGCACAAACCAGCGAGTCAAATTTTTTTAGCAGAATCTCCCTGTCCGCTCCCCACCTAAAGTGACAAAAAAATCTCAACAGTGAGAGGGTTTTCCTGCTCTGGACCTCGATGGCGTCGATGTGTGCCTGCCATCTCAACTTCTGATCAAACTGGAACCACACCTTCTCCACGTACCTCACAGGTGTGCCCCTCAGGCAGAGTTGAGGGGGGCTATGAGCCCTCCTCAATATGCAAAAGTGAACCCACACCGTTTTTGAAGTGTTAAAGGTAAACCCGGTTTCCTCGGCTATGACAGCCACATCGTTTATCGCCGACTGCATCCTACCGCCGACCTCCGCCAGATCCTTACCCGAATAGTAGAAGAAGAGGTCGTCTACAAAGAGCATTTTCTTTATCTGCGGGGGGACGCCGTCAGTGATACCGTTCACAACCACCAAGAAAAGTGCAACCCTCATCACCGAACCCTGAGGGATACCGTTCTCCTTATGTAGAGCACAGTTCCCACCCTGACTCGGAACCTATGGTTCTCCAGGAAACTCTGGAGGAACCGTGGTAATTTGCTTCTTAGACCGAAATCGTGACATTTCCGTAGAATCGCGTATCTCCACGCTGTATCATACGCCTTCTTGAGGTCGAAGAACACGGCCAGAGCATGCTCTCTGTTCAAGAACGTGTCCTGAAGGTCCCTCGAGAAGACATGCATGATCCACCGCAGAGCGACTCCTACGGAATCCCGCCTGATACTGGCTGTAAAATCACTTTGTCTCCAGGTGCCAGGTCAGACGGCCGTTCACCATAGACTCCAGTACTTTGCTCAAGCAGGTTGTCAAGGAAATCGATCTGTAACTCGTAGCCAGGCTTGGGTTCTTGCCCTCTTTAAGGATAGGTATAATAAGAGCTTCTCGCCAACTATCGGGGTAAGAGCCTGAATCCCATATTTTGTTGAACAGGTCCAACAAGCGCTGTTTCGCACTCTGAGGAAGGTGGCAAAGCATCTCATATGGGATATGGTCACATCCGGGGCTTGAATTCTGGGCGCGCCCCAACGCCGACTCGAACTCTCCCATCGTCAGAGGCATATTATATGCTTCACTGGTTCTGCCGCCGAAATCGATCTCAGTGCGTTCCGTCTCGGTTTTCCTTTGTTGGAAGGTATTGGAATATGCCTCGGAACTGGACACCGCGGCGAAATGCCGCGCCAGTTCTTCGGCAACCTCCGAGGCTTCCGTCACACTCCCGCGATCGGTGGTCAATATCGGTACCGACGGAGGTCTGGATCGGCCAGAGAGTGCTCTGACCCTGTCCCATACTTCTTTGGCGGAGGTCTGGCAAGTCATTTCAGAGACATACTTTTTGGCTTAGGACAAGATACGCCTCTCTCTAACCCATTTACTTTAAAATTTGCAAGGTTCTTCTCCGTCGAAGAACGTTACCATCCTCTTCTGGGGGAGGGTGGCATCAGCCACCCTTTCTATTGCCCCCACCATCATTGGGGGGGGGGGGCTTTGGCGGCTTTTCCTTTTGGAGGAGCAGCCGCCAGGGTTTGCTCCGGGACCCTCAGCCCAGGAGCGGGACGAGCTGCAGCTTGGGTGTATGTCCCCACAGTGCCTCTACTTTCGACCACTGCCCTGGCCTCTCGGAAGCTCATTTTGTCTAATACTTTGAGTTTTTGAAATTTCTCGTTCTTTGGAGAGAACAGGGCAGCTGGCGGATCGAGCCGTATGGCATCCCCCTGCAGTTCATGCAAGTGCAAACTTCCTGCTGGGACTTACACCGCAGGGAGATATGGCCAAACTTCTGGCAACGGTAGAATCTTTGCGAAGGTGGATGTAAGGGTGGATTTTCAATTTGTAGAAAGCCGCCCTTATTTCATCTGGGCACCTCGGTACAAGGTGAGGATTAGACCCGCCGACGGGACAATTTGTCCTTTCCGGTGAGTGTTCATTCTCCTCACCTCCAACACACCCTGGTCCCCAAGGCCTTCTTGAATATCATTGACGGTGCTGTTCATGAGGTCATGGCATACTACCACCCCTCTGGAGGTATTCAACCTTTGGTGAGGGGCAACCTCGACCTCATTGCCAGCAAGCGTCTTTAATGACAATAGTCTTTCTTCCATTTCTTTTCCTATCATACCAATGCAGAGCTTGCCCTCTCTGCTCTTTGTGATGGAGTTTGTAACTCCTACGGTCTTTTTTATTTCCAGAAGGAAAGGGCATGTGGACTTGAAGTCTCCTTCTTTCCTTGTTATGTTGTAGTATCTTGTTTGGTACGTCTCAGAGAGGGGTGTAATCCCCATTATGCCGAGACCCAGCGACGAGGCACCACTCCGCGATTTCTTTTTTTTTCCTTTGTGTCCATGTTACCTTCTTTTCTCTTTTTATGTTCCGGTGACTCGGGAGTCACAGGCACATGTTTCTCTGCTTTCTTTTCTGTCGTCCCTTTCGGTGAGTTGTTGGGGACACTTTTCCTTTTCCCAGCTGCGGCAACGAAATGGTCATCCTCTATCATGGCAGGAGGAGTGGATGGTTGTGGTGGGGGGGTTGAAGGGAGTGCAAGGGATGGAGGGATATGGGTCTGGGTGGCAGAGGGGTCTTCTGGATTCCCATGAGGCAAATCCTTCAGGGGGATTGGGAAAGGCCTGGGGAGAGGTGGGAGTGTTGAGATGGGAGGGGGTGTTGGGCTGGTCGGGCCCGCATTGGCAGAGTAGGCACTTTTACTCCTTGTTCCTTTTTTTTCACCATTTTCATCTTCATTGGTTTTGTGTTTTGTCTGTAAGATTGTATGTGTACCATGTGAGTGTAATCCTCGGCCTTTGAAGGTGATCCCCCGGACCATTCGGGTGCTTCTCCGATCTGCCCGCACCCTGCGTGGCCTCAGGAGGGCCCACTGCAGTGCCCAGCACGGTAACCATCCAGTCGCCAGCTGACGGTACTAGGCACCACAACATTATACACGAGGTGATAGGACAACCTCCCCGGTGGCTAGTCCGGGGTTCGGGTCCCTGTACTACCTCGCGGCCCGGGAGTGCCATAACCCAGTTTTCCTCCGGTACCCTCACAGGAGCAGGTTTCACTGACACCCAAAGAGACCAGGAGACCCCCCCTCCAGATGAGAATTGTATGTTGTATTTGTTGTGTTTTGTGCATGGTAATGTGCGTTTGTTATATTCGGGTTCCGAGGCCCTTGGCCGCGAGCATCGGCCTGTGTTTCAGTGGTGGCATGCTGACGGAGGCCCAGACACCGTCCAAGTCCCCCACCTTCACCCCTCCAAGTGTTAGGTGTGGCGGAGTTATGTACATACTGGGTCGCCAATCCCAGAACGTGAGATTTTTAGTTCATCTCAAGAACCTGCCTAGGGATGGTAGCCCTTATGTCAGTGTAAGTGTAATATGTGTGGGTGGACGCAGTTTACCCTCATGCCCGGGAGGAGGAATGATCCATTTAATAACCATCCATAGATTGTCTTCTCTGGAGATAATTGAGCTTATATAAATTAGTAATCAGTAGAAATGTGTAGAGATTAGTGACCGTTAATCGATAGTTATTCAGAAATCGTGAGATGCGGTCGGTAGTGATGTAGGTTTCAGAAAAACATTTTCTTTATCTTGCCAACATTTTGATTTTTATTGAGATCATCTTCAGGGCTCAAAGTGTTTGTCTTCTGTGTAATTGTGCCATCCTTGCATGTCGTGTTGAGTGTGTGGGGCACTCTCATGATATCTGAATAACAATCAGTATAAAAATAACGAAAAAATTTTTAAAACGTTGATTTGAATTAAATTAAAATTAAAGCATAGTTTTCTAATTTCAATTAAAGGTTGTGATATACGAGTTTCAAAATTTAAATTATTATCAAGCTGATGCCTAGAAAATAATGTGGGTTAGCAAATTTTACGGGCACATTTTTTATCTGTTTTATATAAAATTTAAAGTGAAACATTATATAATTCACCTAGATTTAATTTATTAATTATATGACTTATAATGGAAAAATTGTATTAACAATATTTTAGTCATATTAATTAACAACAAATTTGATGCAAACCAGTTTTATATTAAGTTAGAGTTCTGTTTAAGGTTACTGTATAGAATTTCGAGAGATTATTATCAAATAAATTTAAGGGCAGTATAATCTGCAAAACAAAATGATGCAGAATTTAGAAGAAGTTTAAATAAATTATTTATGTATATTTATCAGTAAAAGAATTACAAACCCTCAATAAGCGAGGAATTATAGACCGAAACTATATATACATATATTTTTTTTAACTTGAAAGGGGCCTCTGAGTACTTGTTCACACAATTCAAAATCAACATAATTGCTGTATATCAGTTTACCAGTGATCTGAAGTAGACTTTAGACGTTAAATAAATAGTACTTTTATATAATTATTGGTTGCTGGCTAAGGATTCTTAACTTGTGCTCCGCGAAAAAGCAACTCGGTCTATCCGCAGGAGAGTTAATTCTTTTCTTATTACTGCTTTTATTATTTGTTACACTTATTATTATTTGTTTTTAATTTTGATATTAGGTAGATGTTATTTTAATTGTTTGTTAAATTAAGTTATTCAGGTAACTAAGATTTTATCTATTTCAACTTTTTGTTATGTTACGTGCATCATAAACTTTAAAATCACAAGTTTTTAAATACTTTAAATATTTGGTGATTAGTGACCGTTAATCGATAATTATTCAGAAATCGTGAGATGTGGTCTGGTGTGATGTAGGTTTCAGAAAAACATTTTCTTTATTGTGCCAACGTTCAATCTTTATTGAGATCATCTTCAGAGCTCAAAGTGTTTGTCTTCTGTGTAATTGTGCCATTCTTGCGTGTTGTGTGGGCACTCTCAACAAGAATGGCACTGAAGATGATCTCAATAAAGATCGAAACGTTGGCACAATAAAGAAAATGTTTTTCTGAAACCTACATCACACCAGACCGCATTTCACGATTTCTGAATAATTACATTAAATATTTAACAACTATATATGCAATAATGTTTAAATAAATTATATATTTCTTTTTTTCTCACTCTTCTTCTCTCACTCCACTTTTTCTTTCTCTAGATGCTCAAAGTTCAACGAGTTATCTCATGATCCAGATATATATCCAAAAGAGAGTTGGAAAGTTGGAAAAAAAAAAAAAAAAAAAAAACCATGGTCAAGGATGGCACATTCGGCTGGTATACCTACGAATCTTCCCAGAGTGAGGTTGTGGAAAATGGATGAATGCCAAGGGTTTGAGTGGCATAGAAATGCCCAGTTAAATTTTGATTTTAACTGTATATTTTGTAGCTAATTAAAAGTGAACTTATGTTTATTTGAATTATTATCTCTACTACTTCCAAAAATGGTAGTAATGAAAACATGGAAATGAAATATTTTCAATATTATATCAATATTATCAGTTGGGGGGTACAAACAGGATCTTATTTAGTTCATTTTATTTGCACAATCATGGTAATCATTAATAACATAGCCTAATGCATTTCTAGACAAATAAAAAATAAAACATCTATGTATATATAAAAAAGAAAATATATAAAATTAAAAAATGACTATTGCCTGAAATACCTTTGTTAATGGCAGAACATAATCAGCACCTGTTGTAATATTGTAGTTGAAAATGTAAATAAATAAAATATGTAAAAATTAACATAACATTTATTTAAAAACAAAAGTAATAGTTTGATACAACTGAAAAAAATTAATAACAAAATTAACTGCACATTGGAATGAGTTTTGTTCTAAATCATATAATATAAAATGTAATGTTATTTGTGATAAGTACTCATTAAAAATCAAATAAAAATACAATGAAAAATCATACATTACATTTCATTATAAAAATATGATTAAAAGAGTGTAAATATAAAGAAATTCTACTATTTTTTAATATAAAAATATGTTATCATTTTGTACAAATATAAAATATTACATTTACAAATAAAATATTTATAATACAATTTGTAACAGGAGTGAATAGCATTTTCTTGGTCAAAAAAACAACTACTAATTTTATCTATGTTTTTGTCCTTAAGATGCTGATCAGTCCGATATAAAGTGGACAGCAAACATCCTAAATGACAGGAAACTGCTTCCTTGGATGAATAGGAGCAGTTTATATTCGTTCTATAAGATCCCCTGTGAGAACCAAAATCATTCATTCTAAATAAATAACAGTAGTAATTAAAAAAACAAAAACATTAAAATTAGGTATCTATGAGACAAAACAATTTAAGTTAAATAATAATTAGTAGTACTGAAATTATAATGATAATTTAATTTAACATTTTTTTAAAATGTAAGAATCGACTGTCACTGTCTACTACATATTATACCCATTTATAAAATTATAGTAATCGGCTAATCTAAAAGTTCATTACCTTTATTTCGCACATAGTCAACTTCTTCATCATTATCGTTAATATTATCAAGGAGTTTCCCTTCTTTATTTTCTTTCGGGCGATTGAAGAACCTACAAAAATTATTTTTGTTGTATGATTAAAGCATTCTGTACAATGTGTTGTGTGACCTTTCTTTTGTTCCAAGGTTTTGCCAGGATTTGGTAAAATAAATAAAACTTAACTTTATAAGAAGATTACTTTTTTAAACGAAGTAAGTACGCATGCTTGTAACATAGATGTACAGAATAAAGAAATTGATAAATAAAGTTTATAAACCTTTATAAAATCTTTGATTTAAAAAAAAAATTGCTATATTAATTTTACAGATACAAACCAAAATATTTGATAAAATCAGTCTAAAATTATTTAGTTATGTTTAATTAATGGACCATGAATTTTTTTCAATAAAGAATTGTAGAAGAAGAAATTTTTTTTAATACAAAGATTAAATAAACATATTATTAAAAGTGTTGAATAAACTTCTATAATATACAGGGTGAATTGCTACTCGTGCTACAAACTTCTCCAGTAGATTCTTCACCCTAAAATGAACAAAAAAGTTCATATTGTCCATGGTCCGATTCTCAACCATTTCAGAGTAATTTCGCTTTTTATCGATTTTGAAAGATATCACGTCCTGGCGTCGGAAAATCGTGATATCTTTTAATCTAAACATTTCTCTGAAAATCTAATAGCACCGTTGAAATTCCCGTTAATTTTTCAATAAGAAGATGACGGTGGCAAAATGTTTGGGCTAATTTTTTGTGTTTTATTTCAGCCAGAACTACAAAAAGAGTGGAAAATTGTGTAAATCGGAAAGTGTATAAAGTAATCCAGAGTTTCTAATTTTAGTCTCAGAAGGCAGCAAATTTGAGGAAAACTACCTGATTTAATAACGCTTCCAACGCACTCGTCATTTTCTTATTTAGTGGTTGTGAGACCAAGATGTTGATGACAAAAAGAGAAAAAATGGTGGTTCAAGGATTGCTAATGTTTGAGAGTGACTTGCTACTCGTGCTACAAACTTCACCAGTAGATTCTTGACCCTAAAATGAACAAAAAAGTTCATATTGACCATGGTCCGATTCTCAACCATTTCAGAGTAATTTCGCTTTTTATCGATTTTGAAAGATATCACGTCCTGGCGTCGGAAAATCGTGATATCTTTTAATCTAAACATTTCTCTTAAAATCTATAAGCACCGTTGAAATCCCCGTTAATTTTTCAATAAGAAGATGAAGGTGGCAAAACGTTTGGGTCTTTCTTCCTTGACCTTCTAGCTGTTTGTAAACTTCTTAAGCATTACATACTAAATGGGCATTAAATTAAATTAAAAAATTTCAATGGAATTATGATTTTGATTCTCTCTAAAAATTAACGGGGATTTCAACGGTGCTTATAGATTTTAAGAGAAATGTTTAGATTAAAAGATATCACGATTTTCCGACGCCAGGACGTGATATCTTTCAAAATCGATAAAAAGCGAAATTACTCTGAAATGGTTGAGAATCGGACCATGGACAATATGAACTTTTTTGTTCATTTTAGGGTGAAGAATCTACTGGAGAAGTTTGTAGCACGAGTAGCAATTCACCCTGTATATATTAAGCATTGGATTTTGGATGTGGAATATAAATAAAACTTGCTAATTATCAACTTTGTTGGAAGATAATTTTTTTTTAAAAATAAAGTGCATGCTTATAACATAATGTACAAAATAAATAAATTAGTAAATAAAATGTATAAACCTAACATATCTGACCTCATTATTTTTGATAAATCAAACATTTAATAGCTATGCTAATTTTATAGATAAGAATAAAAATATCTGGTTAAATCAGACTAAAATGTTTAATGACAGACATTTTATTGATATCTTGCTTAATTATTTACACTCATTTATTATTAAAAGTTGTATAATAAACTTTGATAATGTATTAAGCATTGGACTTGAGACACATGGCACTTATTTGAATCTTTCTTTAGAAGATAAGAGTTCCAAATCAAAACTACCCAAGAGTACTGAGTCCACAATTATTGCATAAATTAAAGATGAATTATGAACTGCCATTTATGCAATAAAAGGAAGAAAAACTATTGCTCACCGAAAGTCACAGTCACATTGGGTTGAAACCCTTTGTGGAGTCCCCTTGAAATTATTTAATTCGTTGCTGTTGGACTTTATTTTTCTGTACTTTTACCTGACTATTGAGGTCAGAATGAGCCCATTGTCCAGCCTGTGCTGCCACTTTGGCCAAACCTGGACTTCGTCTCACAGGTGTGATTACTATTTGTCAATATAACTAGACTCCCGGAAATATCTTCTGGCAAAGTGACTGTAATTTCTCTAGGACAATACTGATTATCCTAATCGTCCATAAACAGTTGACACTTACTGCTGAACGAAAGCCAATATGGTACCAAAATCCAGCATATAAAAAAATATAGCTAGAAATGTTTCCATTTAATGGAAGGGTATAATAGTCGGCTCTGGACAGAGAGCAGGTACGGAATGCGACTTAATACGAGAATTGTTCACATTTTATGCAAGCGAAAATATTTTAGGACCTACTACACAACCATTGCTACCTAAGCAATAACAAGTTCATAGATTATAGGACTTATTGATACACAAAGCACCCTCTGACATCTACATTCTACTTGGATTATTGAATACATGCAACTACATTGCTTGCTGTTTAATTCATTATTAACATATAAATATCATACCTGCTGATGCTGGACATGCTGGCATTCATAAATGATGGTTTTTCAATTCCATCTATTCCCCTATGAACTGAAATTGAATCCAATTCTTCTTGAGCAGCCATTGCTTGCCTATATTCTGCCGTCATCAAGGATTCAGCAGTTGGCTTTTTGTATCTTAAAGTAAAAACAAAAAAAGAAGTACAATAAGTAAGTTCTTGTTTTTTCCTGTAACATTTCATTGTAATTTTTTTTTTTTTTTTAATTTATAATTCTATAATCTTTGAAGACAAGACACTATAAATTCTAAATATATTAAAATGGCACACGCGCAAAATTTTATTATTGGATTAAATGCCAGGTAGATTAACAAGGAAAACTATAAGCAATATAACATCAACACAATAAGGGAGTAAAAATAAATATGCAAGAGAAGAGGTACTATGAACTCTGACATGAAAAATACAAGTTAGAGAGAGAAATCAGAGCAACTGCTCGGCACCAATGACTTCAACACTATCTGATTCAATGGCAATAAGACTAAATTAAATCAAGTCATCAGGTTGGTGATGGTTTAAATAAGACAAAATTAAATAAGTTGGAAATATAAAACATAGTCAAATTATATTGGGTTAGATGTTAGTGCAAAAATAGGAGCTGGTATTTGCTGATAGGAATCCCTTTGAAAAATAGGAAATCAACTATAAAATACCTATTCTGAATAAGGATAAGGTAAGATATCTCACTAAATACAATCAATCAAAAAATATTGTAAGGTAAGAAAACATTGCAGAAAGTATTAGGATTAGGCTTAGAATATTAACTCTTTTTTTGCAAGGCAGTGTTGCAATGGACTGGGAAAGATCAGTATAAGCAGGTATAGTTTTAAAAGAGGCAGAGGAAATCCCAACACATTTGCTGAAAGACTGTGGCGAGAGAAAATGTTTTAAGACCAACAACAGAATTATGGAAGAAATTCAAATTCTGCAATTAAGTTTAGAGACTGACAAACAGCTGAGATCATCACCGGCCCCCTATATGATATTACTTTTTTTCTAAGTCATAATAAATCAAAAGGGACCAAGAAATTATTTATTCTTATGGGTTAAAACTCTAAATATTTGTTTATAAAATGATTGGTAATGTTTATAAAATGTCTCTTATAATAAAAGCAGAAAAGTCTGTTATTAACTATACTTTTCTGCTTGCATATTTTTAAATAAATATTTTAATGCTAATCATGATATATTTCTTTTTACCTAATGTAAGTTTTTTAAATAATTATATTTAAATATTTAATAACGGAGTTTTTTTTTTCAAATATAACATTCTTACAGTTTAAGTAGAAGGGAAGAACACAGCACTGACACTGAGCTACAAGCCATAGCAGCGGAAGACATCCAAGGCTAAAAAATATAAATAATTTTATTAAACAGAAATCATTTTGATGCTTCTAAAAAGTATTTTGTTATTCTTACGACTAATGTAAATCCAAAGCTGCTTAACGCCCCTGCAGCAAGAGGTATGCCGACAATATTATATACGCTTGCAAAAATAAAATTAGCTCTTATCCTGTAGACAGTTTTTTTTGAAAGATCAAGGCAAGCAATGACATCTAGTAAATCATTCTACAATAAATAAACACATAAAAAATACACCAATATCAAGTACATATATTGCAATAAAATGACAACTCAAAATTAAAGTTTGTTCTAAAATTGATTTTTGAAAACTTCTTTTTGCAATGTTTATAAAAAAAGTACAATCTGTACAGTGAAACCCCTGTATAATGAACCTGCAAGAAATAGGTGATTTTGTCTGTTATTGAAGGTTGCCCATTCAAGAAGGGCTTAATTTAATTTTTTTTAAAAATCAAGTTAAATATCATACTGTGCATGTTTCACAATATTATTTTACATAACATTATATCTTATAAATAAATAAAAATAATTTTACAATTAAAAATAAATAAATTTTAGTTTGTTTTTTAAATTAATAAATAAAGATAGTTCATCCTCATGATTCAATCTTAATTTGTTCACCTTGGCAATTAATTTTTCATCTAATTTATGTTTAAAAATACAACAAACAAAAATACAACAAATAGCTCTTTTTGTTTTACACAAGTTGCAAAAAGTGGAGTAGCACAAAGTACAGTTGAGACTTGAGAGCCAAAATGCACCATGTGGCTAATAATGAACCAAAAAAGGAGGTAATCTAATTTTCACCAATCAGAGACAACCATGTTAGAGCAGAGAGACAAGAATTTTGGGCTCTGCCATGAAAGAGAAGCTTTCAAGAAGAAACAGGACATACAAACACAAAGTTGTTTCTGGAAAAATAGGAAGAAAATAAAAAAAAATGTCAATGTCTGAAACTGAATATTCCAGCGCAAAAAAGAAGCTATCGAAAATGTAGCTATGTAATTCCCAAAAAGGGATTACCAGGACATATTCAAATGAACAAAGAAAAAAGTACCACTTATAAATGTGCAAAAGTAAAGTATGTAGAATTTCCTAACAGTTTTTAATAACAATTTTAAACAACTCGGTCTTTGATATTACTCAGAAAAATATTATAGCCCATATTTAGCCTTCCTTACTGAAACATTTTTGACTTCAAATAATTTAAAATGATCGTAATTAATTTAAAAAAATATTTTTCGCTGTTTAGGCCCATACTAGAGGAGTGAATTACTCTAATGGGCACTGTCCATAACTGATATTATGTACGAATTCCGTTATAGTGAGATTTAAAATATGTACAAATGCTATCTTTTTTGCTGGGAATGCAAAAATTGTCTATTAAGAAAGGTGCCCGTTAAGAGGGGTTTCACTGTATTTTTTAGCTCTGGGGGGTGATGAGCTATCTTTGGTCATTTATAATCATCCCAGTCTGCTTATCCTTCAAATGATTTCAACTTTAAAATTTACTCACCACAGAAAATAGTGTAAAGCTGAAATGAATTTGGCACACCAAAGGAACGATAGCCAGACCATTATGATTGTAAACAAGTTCATCCCCTCTCAGAAGGAATAATTCTCGCAGTAATATTACACAGGAAAAATACTTAATCTAAACAATTATAATCTATTATAGACATACCCTCATTAACACAACATTAGCAGCTTCAGCGGCTATTTCAGTTCCTGAGGCGAAAGCAATTCCGACATCAGACTGGGCCAAAGCCGGAGAATCATTTACTCCATCGCCAACCATAGCGACTCTATATCCTTGATTTTGCAACTGTTGAATTTTGGCAACTTTATGAGACGGAAGAACTTCAGCAAATACCCTGTGAATCCCGACCTAGACATAATTAAAAATGAGGTAAAAACGAAAAATTATTAATTTGTTGTTTATAAGACGAATATCAACCTGTCTTGCGATTGCAACAGCAGTCTTTTTATTGTCACCAGTCAATAAAATAACATTGATCCCTTTCTTCTTTAATGTGTAAACAGCTAAATGTGCTTCTGGTTTCACAGTGTCAGTAACACTCCACATAGAGGTGATGACGCCTGAATGTAAAAGAAAGAACAATGCATTGGTACATATAATTTATAGTTTATATGAATTTGATAAAATAATTAATGATCAGTACCATTGACAGCACAAAGAACTGCAGTACGTCCTAAATCTTCTTCAACAGACATTAAATAGTCAGAAACTGATGAAATTATAACATTATTTTGTTTCATCCAATCTCGGTTTCCAATCAATACCTGTTTAGATATTTATTTCTATGAATATTAATATATATTTTGAAATATATAAATATGTATAGTATTGAGGAAAAAGAGGAAAACTGGTTAACTAATAAGAAATTGAATGTTTAAGTCTTATGATAAGTAAAAATTGGTTTAAAAATTTGGTTTAAATTGAGTGAAACCATAAAAATATTATTGATCATAATATTATATAAAAGAAAGGTAAATAACCAACATCCTTTATTCTTCAAACTGTTTGAAGGGACTGAATACAATAGGGTAACACAATCATACAAAAATGCATGCCTCGTAAGAATCTTGGAACTCCCCCGGCTGCTGAATATTGAGCAATCTTCCTTCAGGTATATTACATACCGATGTGTTACCACTCATATATACTGGATCTACATGAGCACCATTCAGCATCAAATTTTCATTGACTGGTCTATAAAAAGTTACTTAAAAATTAATATATGTTTACTTCTAATAAATATGCGAAAGGCCCTTACAAATTTCTGTAATTTTTTATATTTTCTGAAGACCGTGCGGTTTCCATCATACTCTCAAAATGAGAGACAACACATTTTAAACCACAACCTGATACAGTCTTGAAACTATTCGATTTTCCATTTATGTCTGATTCAATCGTGCTTTTAACAAATTCAACGATGGCTGTAAATAAATGTCAGAGTTATGTTAACATATATATTTTTTTAAATTTTAAAATGGCTTACCTCCAGCTATTGGATGCTTGCTGTTGGATTCGGCAATTCCAACCAAACAGAGAAGTTTTTCTATAGAAAATTCTACATCTGATATGAACAAGCAAATTTTTGAAACAGACGGAATCCCTCGGGTTATTGTTCCAGTTTTGTCAAAAACAACACATTTAACCTTGAATAACACAAATTATTAAAGTAAGTTTTAATTATTGTATGTTGGGTAAGGCATTCTGAGTTTAAGGCATGCTGCACACTTCTGACTATCTTGCAGTTATACGACTCCTACTATTCCTTCGCTAGATCCTGGGCTTAAAATTAAATAGGATATGTGGTACTAGTGTTTAAATTTATTAATGTAGTTCGGTCATTTCCAATTATTCCACTTTGCCTACCCTTGCTATCCTAGGTGTGTTTGACATTACCATGACCCACCACTGAATATTATGAAATACTGAGATTCACTGAAAGACCAAAACAGCAAGGATAGGAAGAACATTATGGTTAGGAATATGAAGAATTCTCACTGTATAATTAAGCGAACATCAAATTTTTGGATCCAACAGATATTAGATAAAAGTCAGAAGTATGCAGGTGGTCTTAATAAAATTATTAAAAAAAACATTTCCAAGTCTGAAAAATTTCAAATACCTTATGTGCATTTTCGAGAGCAACTGCTCCTTTGATAAGGATACCATTAAGAGCACCCACACCTGTTCCAACCATCACAGCTGTTGGTGTAGCAAGTCCAAGAGCACAAGGACAAGCAATTGCAAGAACATTTAAAGCGCAGCGAAATGCAAATTGGAAGATTAGTTCACTCTCTGAAAATCCCTCCAATTCTTCGGGCTTGATTTAACAACAGTAAACAACAATATTATTCACAATAAATGAATATAATAGGACTTAAAAATATGAGGGGTTATCACATATAAAAACTTTGCATAAAAATTAATCATTTAGTTTTAAACTGTCGAGAGTAAACAGTTTCTAAATTTAAGAACAACTAAGAAAATATCCTGAAGAATAAAACTTATTTTATTTATTTCAATAAAAACACAGATCAAGAAACCTGATGTAATTTGTAACCGATAATGCTTAAATCAAATAAGTATACAAATCTTTCAATTAATTAAGGTTTTTAGTTGCGATAAAAGAGTCAATGTCACAAGCGGGATTCGAACCCACGACCTTCAGTTAGATATGCCGCTACTCTACCACCTGAGCTATCGTGACTTCGATCCACTCGGACACTAACCTCCCATCTCAACCCCACTGTTTGAATTTTCCCTCCTTTTTGCCATTTTTCAAATGTCGTGTAATCTATTTGATTCTCGGCGACAATTGAAATGGCCACGGAGAGCTTTAGTGAAGATATACTTCATTTTAACTTATTCAATTCACTAGTTTTCGTGGTCCGCTTGACCAATTAATATCTTTCAATTAATTAAGGTTTTTAGTTGCGATAAAAAAGTCAATGTCACGGGCGGGATTGAAAGATATTAATTGGTCAAGCGGACCACGAAAACTAGTGAATTGAATAAGTATACAAAGTTTGTTCTGTGTTCGTGTCTCTAAATCTCTAGTAATTAACTGATTATTTATTAATATTATTAAGTAATACCCTAAAATGAAGGTAATTAATGTTGATGTAGCCAAGGATGATCCAAATAACTGCTGTTAAAGAAGAAGACAATAAGACAAAAGGCACAAAGAAACCAGCTATTTTATCAGCTAACTGCTGAATTGGAGCTTTGCTTGTTTGTGCTTCTTCTACCAGTTTTACAATCTGTGCAAGAGTTGAAGCCTCGCCTGTATGAGTCGCAGAAATGAGAAGAAGCCCGTTTTGATTCACTGCTCCACCAATTACTAAATTTCCTGTAAAACAAAAACATAGATGTAAACGTACATGTAAAATAAAAAAATAGAGACAAACATCAAGTAAGTCTTAAGCACAATTTAGAGTTAAGATTCATTTATACTAATTATTAAAGTTAATAGACAATATTTTTCTAAAAAAAAAAAAAAAAAAAATGCAGGGTAATCAACAAAAGTGAAGTTAACTATGTATATTTAAAATTTATTTCGTCATTACTAACTTTCACTAGAACAATTGTAATGATTGATAAAATAACTAATATTAATATTGTAAGTCAATAAAGAAACAAATTTCTATATAGCGTTGCTTGTTTTGATCCCTGACACAAAAATAATTTGAATTTAACTTACCTTTTTGTTTAACTACTGGCATGGATTCGCCTGTTATCAGCGATTCATCACATGCAGATTGTCCGAATATTACTTTCCCATCTGCTGGCACTTTTGTACCAGGCAAAACCTGTAAAATGAATGTCCTAACTAATTTAAGAAATATAACGGGATAAACCAAAATTCACACAAAGACTTGTAAAATTGTTGAAATAAGATTAATTAATAATGAGTTGTATTATTATGAGCTAAATAAATAGTACATAGTAAAAATTCACTCACTTTTAAAATATCTCCTGATTGAACTAAATCAGCAGAAATTATTTTTTCACTGAGGACTTCCATGTTAGAACCGACAGTTACTAACACTGCTTCAGTTGGTTTTAGTGACAGAAGTTTAGATAATGCTTCTGATGTTTTTCCTTTGGCAATACTTTCCAGCCAACGTCCGGCTGTGATGAAAACGAACAGCATGGGGGGAGTATCAAAGAAAGTTTGTGGACTGAGTTTATGTTGAAAAATTATGGCGAAGGCAAGGACGATGACAGAATAAACGTACGCAATAGTTGTAGCTAGAGAAACAAGAACATCCATGTTTGTTGTACCATGCTTTATAGCCCTTATTGCAGCCTTGTGCATGTTCATTCCACCGATAAACTATAAATGAAGATAAACATATATTAATATTGTTCAGGGATATATATATTTTTTTCCTCTCAAATATACCTGCACAGGGGTTGAAAGACTAAAAAGCAATAGATTTTCAAGAGATAATCCTGGCATTATATAGATCATTTGGTCATGACCTTTATGTTTGAATGTCATTTCAATCATGAAATACAGCATAACTATCATGCAAGGCCCACCAAAGATAAGGGATATTAGGAACGACTTTCGCCAACGTTTTATTTCATCGCTGCAAATCAGGTGTTAAAAAAAGAAAAATTAATAAATCAGGTAATTATGACTACACATACTGACTGATATGACTTATTTGAATAAAAGGAACATGTCATGTTGAATTACATTAAATTGTGTCCACTGAATAATAATGCAATTTTAATTATGTATTTATGATAACTTTACAGAATATATGAACAAATTGTTTACACAAGTTCCCCTAAAAAAGAATATACTGAAATTTGCCATAAAAATTTGATATATTGGTTGCGATCTAATTACATATTTCTATCTTCTACTATCTGCATATTTTGTATAATCAGATCTCGTTTTATATTTCTTGGGTTTCTTTTCAGGAATAAAATTTGTTTTCTTTTTAATGATATCAATTTTGGGAGCCTCAGCCTCCCCTCATCAGTCTACATAATAAAAAACAATATGAATATATATATTTTTTATTATATAGCCTGATGAGGGGAGGTTGATGCTCCCGAAATCAGTATAAAAAAAAATTGTTTTATGGTTGTCTAGTTTCTGAAAAGAAACCCAAGAAACTGAAAAAGATTAGTAAAAAATATCTCATTTTGTTTTTTATTCAAGTATTTGATGCAACATTAAAAAAATATAAAGATAAAGACTCTAAACTCAAATATTTTAATAAATCAATAAAAAATTATTAATATTAAACATACAAGCTTTATTTATGGTTTTAAAAAGCTCGAGAAAATGACATATTTATTCTATTTCTTAGATAAAATGCAGTAAATTTCTGTTAAAAAATTGCATTATTATTGAAATTTTCCTTTTTTTTTCTACATTGTAATAAGTCAGGGCTGAAACAATTACCTATGATCAAAGTATCTTCGTGAATCTTTGTCTTTATTTGAAATAATATTTCCATTAAATCCCATGCCTTCAATTGCTTCTAAAATACTTCTTGGACCAGTTTCATTTGGATTATAAGTAAATTTGCCTAATTTTGTTGTAAGTGCTACACAGGCTGAATACACTCCTTTCAGTTTCTTCACACCAGTTTCAATTTTATTTACACACGATGCGCATGACATCCCATTAATCTACAACAATGTTTTTAAATACAAATGTAATTACAAATGAACAGCATGCCTTATTTGTAATTAATAGTTTTTTTAATTTATTTATTTTTAAATCGTGAGTGATTCTAACTAACTTCTATTCCAGTTAATCACTAGGGCATTCTTGTTTGCCTATGATGAATTAAAACATTTTCCTTAGCAGATATGCCATTGTAATTATTTATAAAACGGAAGAGAAACAAAAGAAACTAAATTTTCTACTGAATTTTTTCAGAATGTCCAATGTAACAAAGGGTAAACAAATAAATTTGAAAAAACAAAATACTCACCACTATTTCAATAACTTTTTCATTTGGCAAGTTACCATTTTCTAAAACTTCAGATGGGAAGCCTAACTCAGTTATGGAATCAGCAATCTTTTGTGGGTCAATTACTGAGGGATTATACTTGACTTCAGCATTGGCAGGAAGGAGAGCGATTAGGATGCTTTGAATCCCTGTAAACTTATATTTTTTAAAATAATTATCTTTACAATTTATTTGTAATATTAATAATAAATTTAATAATAACTAACCGTTAACCTTTTGACAATGTTTTTCAATTGCTGCAACACAACTGGCACATGTCATTCCTTTAATGTGTAACTTACACCTTTTAATGTCTGCTAAGTCATCGATTTGTAATTTCTCATCATTATTACCAGCGATTTCTTTAACTAAAATAGTTTTCTTATAGGCAAATAGCATTATAGTTATAAATTTTATAAATAATATAAGGCTTTTTATTTGCAAAAAAAAGTGTTCTAGTTCAATTAAACTACACCTATTAATAAAACATTAAACCAAAAAGGTATAGTTAAATAAAACATTAAAACTAAACACACCAGACCGCATCTCACGATCTCCAAACAATTATTAATTAACGGTCACTAAACACCACACATTGAAACTAAACTGGAGAAAATTTGATGGTCATATTTATGTAATTCAATATCCTGTATGTGGTATACCTTTAGACATTTGTGAATCAATTTTTTCTCCATTAACCTGGTAAACTTGAGTTGTGAAACCCAGGCTGGCAATTTCTTTAGCTATATCTTCAGGTTCAACTTTTGATGGATGATATATAATAGAAACTATTTGTCTTTCAAGACTTGTAACAATTGATTTGATACCTTCTTTACCTAATAACACACCTTAAAAAACAATAAAAAATAATAATAACAATAATGGCTATATATTAATAATAATAATAATAATTATTATTTTTCCCAATGCACCTACCAGTTATTTTATTAACACATGAATTACATTTCATTTTAGTAGTAGATATATCACATGAATAAGCGTTATTATCAATGTTTACTGGAACACCCAAACTCTGTAACTTGCTTTGTAATTGATCTACTGTTATTATTGAACTATCGTATGAAATTTGGGCAAACATTGGGTCAGAAAAAACCTAAACAGAAATAAAATTTTGTCTTTAAACAAATTTCTTTGAAGGTAATAGATTATATTTTACCTCAACAGAGTTGATGCCATTTTGGAGGGAAAATTCATCTTTAATAGAGTTTTCCAAGTCAGAACTAGAATTGTCAATTTTGAACACAACATGCTGCTTTTTTTGCGGGAGAAAAGCATCGAAACCCATGTCATCAATTGCTTCTCTCAATTCTTCTGGTGATGTGAAAAGTGGGTTGTACTTAATATAAGCCCTTTTATTTTCAAGGGAAACCTAGAAAAAAAATTTTTTTTAAAGGAAGGCAATAAAAATTGTTGTTATGCATATTTCACTTTCACTCATTAACCCTAACCATCCCTAACTCATTAACGAGTAGCTAGGGGTTAATAAATAAAATTGTATGACAAAATAAATACAGAACTCTACGGAAAGTTATATCTAACTAATTTAAGTGTACATTAGCGATGAGTAAGGATTTTAAAGTAAACTCCACTGATAGAAATGATACAGTGTGACATCATTTGTGGTGTTGAATCTGATGATGAATAATAAAGTAATGATTCAGGAATTTTTGTGTAGGTATGTATAAATTAAATATTCTTAGGTATGTTCTTGCAATAATGACACTAAGAGATAAACTACTATTGTAGATATACACTCCTGCTCAAAATTAACGCACCACTTCAATATTTCACCATATGTTTTTCTCAGGTGTTTTTTGAACGTTATTTTTATTTTTAGTATTGTAGGTTATTAATAATAAAACATTACAAATGAAAATGAAAAGCAGAAAAGGACGGTAAACTTTATTAAAAAATATTCCATAAAAAAGACTGAAAAGGTCAAAAATTTTCANGTTTAAACTTCCAAAAGAAATGGTGTCTGTTAAGCAGATGCAGTGAAACTGAGGAATAAACCAGGAGGAAACTCTTGTGTATCTTACCAAATCCATTTCAAAGCGGATTAACACGATTGTAAACAATTCTTGTTTACTTTTGTGGGATTGTGAAGCATAAAAAAGAGAATAAACATGAAGAGATTTAGCTGGATTTCTCTAAAAAGAATTTCTGTTTAAAAATTAAGGTGGTGCGTTAATTTTGAGCAGGAGTTTATATATAATAATTATCTATATTATTAATTAAACTAAAGAATTTCTTGTTTTGTTCAGAGACTTTTTATTGCGATGGTCTAGACACTTTGATGCATGAACACATCACAATTTATTACATTTACAGATGGCTAGTGAAGTAAGGTGGTTATGCAGCTATTGTTATTAATGATATATATTTTTTTATATGGTCCCATTAATTTGTAGTAATTTAACAGTTTGAATTGTTAAAATTGAGAATGAAGGAAGGTATCGGTTGCCATATTTCATTGGATTGTGGTCATTGACTTTTTTCACATGCCTTTTAAACAAATTTCCGTATGATAATCTTCGAAACTATCAAATGTTCCATAAGGTCTGGAAAACCTCCAGCCATTTTGAAAAAAAAATTGGTCTGTATACAATACGTTCACACTAAAATATAGTAATACTGCAAAGCCACCATTTCTAGTCCTCCAACTCCAATGGGAGACATTATTCTCCAATTTGTTGCCTGAATATTATTTGTACATTTATTTGTCTTTCTGTTGCCTACCTCGTGTCCAGATATAATTTCAGAATCAAAAATATTTTACCCCTAGTGTGATCACAGAATAAGTTCATGGTTCAATTACAAAATAAGTTTTGTTAAAAATTATGGTTATTATATTATTTAGTGAATTATAATTATTATTATTATTTGCATTAGAATGAAATAGTACCTTAATAGATATTACACCATTCTTTTTTCCAATTGTTCCTTCTATACTTTTGACACAAGAGTGGCAAGTCATTCCCTCAACCAGAATAACAATTTCCATTTCTTCCTCATCCTGCTCATCACTAAAACACAGAAGCAAAAAATAATTAATTGTGTTTAATTTTAATTTTTTAACTAATGGTAAATGTGGGAGGAAAATAATAGTGGTAACGTGTTAGTTTACCTGTCAAAGTAAGAACTAGAATAAATACTTAAGTCATCCAGTAATGGTTTATTTTCTTCCATTGTGGATTGTCTACTTAAAGTTAAAAAGATCAATGAGAAAGAAAATATGAATTATATTACACAACCGTTCGGTAGGGATAAAACATAGATAATGGCCTTAGTCAGATAAAAGATTAAAATTGTCTCAGAAGCTGATATCAAATTTCTTAATATTGTCAATAAAACTGTTATTCCCTAAAAATTGTATTGAACAGTCGGAGATTATTTCTTATCATTAAACAATGTTTTGAGAAGTGCTATTCAATGATGCTTTCACTGTTAGAGTTTAATCTGCAATAGAGAATAGATGTGTACAAAAACTTTTATTATGTAAGTTAACATAGGGAAAAAGTTCATAAAACACAATATAGTGCAATTGTGTTGAAATTACTTGTTATTAACTCAATAACCAACTCCTACGTGCAAGAGATAAAACTATTAAGGAAAACCGGTAGCAAAGAACATTATTTTTGTTAATAAAACAAATAATTTGTAAACATGAAAAACTGGACTGATAACGGCAGTCGAATAAATATTAATTAGATCTGTGAATTTCAAACACAAATAATTACTTTGTAAATACCAAGCTGTTGTACTGCTGTACAAAGGATAGATAGATATTATAAGAATTGAATCTTACAAAGCATAAAAATGTCACCACCAACACGATATTAAACAATTGTTATTTTATTGTTGAATGTTTCACTTTTTCAAATTCAGATGGTTGGTGGAAAAGTGACTTTTAAATTTTAAGTTTTTAAAGTTTCCTTGACAAAAAACCTTTTTATTTATTTTGTACATTTCATGTTGGTTGGCCCATCCTCAGAACCTTAAAAAATCAACACAACAAAATAAGCATTTACGAATGTGTATGTGCAAATCAAACAATTAGCGTGATCCAACCAATCTTTTTTTTTTAACAGAACCTAATAAACAAAAAAAAATTCTTTACCAAGGAACACTTGGGTAAACACAGTGAGGATAGGCAGACTAAATGATCGGAAATGATCAAACTGTTCATCACTCTGCAGATCCAAATAAGGAAATCTCACAATTATATTTAGTAAAACCTACAATTTAGTCGTTAGTAACAAATATTTTGGTCTGCTTAAACTTGCTAGTTCGGTCTACCATTTCTATATTTCGTCATCTTCAGTGTTCAGGGAAGAATTCTCAAAATTTAATCAAATGCTGTGGAATATATATATATATGGTACTGTTTTGTATAAGTACTTAATATATATATTAAGTACTTATACAAAACAGTACTTTATCAAAAGAAGTGGTACTTCAATTATCAAAATGCTTTTCCATCAATTTATATGCAATAAATTTCAAGGGCTCTAGTATATTATTGAACTGTTCAGCATGACAACTATAAGTATTGATAGGAAAAAAAAATTTACGACCCTAGTGGTTGATCGCAAAATAATAATAATAATGAAATTTAAAAAAAAAATCAGGAGACTGGTGGCCATGTGGTTAGGGTATACAAGGGGTATTTGCCACGCTAGCAGTTCTAGGTTTGAATTCTAGTCTATGGCTTTTTAATTGATAATAGCATAAAAAAATTATTGTACATTGGTTTCACTCCTCTTCCTGCAACAGCCAATTGGTGTTGGATGTTAAATCATCTTGCCTGTCAAGAATTGCTTTACTTTTTTTATATTATAATACAAAAATGTATGTATAATATTAATAATTTTATCATTATTTTAAAATTTCCTCTGATATATTCTAAGGTACATCATATTTACGTTTTATTGAAGGCCCTGTAAACAATGAAAAACATGGGCTATAAAATAATTTATCAATCAAGGTCAATTCCTGGAGATAAACTGTATAAATATAGGAATAAAGGAGAATAATCATTAGGTAATGAGAAACGTCTTAAGGAATTATTGGCATTGTATACTAGTACCTTACTCAAACATCTATAAACAAGAAAATGCAAGAGAATAAATCCAGAACATAATTTTCCAATGCATAACTACTCACTAGTGGTTAAATTATACCACGATAATCTCAGCCCAATTATTATCTTTTGAATGCTTTGGTCAGACACATTTCCTTTCTGATATCTTCTGAGAATATCGAATAACTGAAAACCAAACCAAACTAAACTTCATATTTGAACTTGCTTGCATTATCTGGTCCTTTAACACTGCCAACAACATGATTAATAAAATGGTGCAAACACCATCAACACTGACAATGTCCTACATAGTTTTGGCTTCAATAATTTGACAATCATACATACCAGTAAAACCTTTGCCACAGAGAGATATTACTCTAAGATACTTATTTACATATCATTCGCTTAGTTAAGATGGTTGAGTAGTCAATATTAAACCTATTATATAACTAACCTAATGAGGGTCAATGGGGTACTGAATACCTTCGCCTTCGGCCCTCTCACATTATATTTTCAATAAATACATCCATTCACAACATGCACTAGGGACATAAAACTATCATTACTATGTACAATAAACTATGTAGGTCAGGTTCTTGCAGGACAGGACAAAACCACAAGCAAGATCTTACTAAGTAGCCGCTGGCAAGGCTATGGAGGTTGATTAACAACCTGAAGCTGGCCAGTGAATTATAAAACACAGGGGAGCACATTAGATCTACTCAGGTTGAGGTGAAGAAGGCCTTAGGCTGCCCCTTTTATCCCTAACCCTGTCCCTATATACAATAAAACGACTATTTTCTCCAAGAATTGGAACAGTGGACCAAGACATATGCTGCTTTGCTCAAGCACAATTCTCAATTTGGTGGCATTCCTAGGCGCTCCCTATGTAGAGCCATGGAATTCCACACTTTAATTACATAGGACACATTGAACAACATGCTGGACATATTGCAGGTTTTGGCCCAAAAGTATCTGTCTACCTCGCATGGCCTATTCTTAATCGGGTAAGGAAAATCCTTCTTGTACAAATCAGGTCCACAGGGGGCCACTTATCGACAATGCTCTTGAAACGTGAGAGCTTCTATGTCGATTAGGCTCGCCGATGCTACTTTCTTTAAATCATTTTATTGCATATTTAGCATCAGGCAGTTAAATCACATTGCTTAAATCCAGAGGTTGAGACATCCAGCCTTAGCCACCACATCCACTTTTTGGTTGTCCTCTAGACCTTTTTATTTTAATTGTTTATTTTATTGTGATTTTTAACAAAAGTCAAACTAAGTTGCTTTAATGACAATATTTTTTTAATCTCTATCTTTAATCTTTAATAATAATAATAATAATAATAATTTTTCCTTGGACGTTAATGCTTAATGCTTCTTCACAGAAGTCTTCCCCATCTTGAGAAGTATTTATTCCATTTGGACCTTTAATTATTATATTGTTTCTTCTAATGTGACTGCTAGAAGATCTAGCCTCCTGCTATTTTGTTGGTTCTCTTTCCTTAGGCTTTTCCACATCTGCTTTTAATGTTTTGTTTTCTTCTTTTAAGTCTTTAATGTGACTCTTTAGTTCTTCAATGTCTTCCTTTTTTGCCAAGTTCATTGTTTCTGCAACTGCAGTGACTTGTTTGATCAATTCCTGATTCTCCATTACTTAACCTGAAATTCAGCAAGATCAGGGGAAAATCTCATTCTTTAGGTGTAGGTTTTCTGGGTTCTGGTGTTTGGTTGCCTTTATTAATTATTATAAAGTATAATTATTAATTATTACAAACACAACACTTTCTGGTTCTCCTGCTGGCACACTATTTTTCAAATATTCCATCCCTCATAATGTGAACATAAATAGTATACCCAAATGGAATATTATTTTTTACTTTCTCCTTACAACAATGAGTACTCACATTGAGAGAAATCTGTGAGGCTTGCTCTGGTATCCACTAGCGTTTTTTGTTATACAGGGCTCTTGTTAATTCTGTTTCTCACTGTATGATATTAAGAATATACAAATATTGGCTGGAAAATAATCTATTCAGATTTGATTGATTATGTGAAGGAGATTCCGTGAAGCTCAGTTTTATAACATTTTTAGCAATGAAGTCTGAAGTTAGTTATAATTACTTGTTCAGTCTAACTCTTTGCCTAATGGACTGCTAATGGTAATGGCAACAACTTGACTGAGTCCAGTCAGTACGCACACCTAAGTGACCTACAGTGGGTATTTAAAATGAAATGTGAACTGCTTTGGCTAAATTACACCCCCTGGTATTTATGTAACTCTAAGGTCAGAGAGGATGTGTTCCATTTCATTGCACAATGTACAATCTTAAATGAAATACGTATACTCTACCTAGGCAGCAGTTCCCTTTCCCGAGACCAATTAATTAACAAGTTAAACAAAGGACAAACTTCACTTGTCGGATTTTGTAGACACTCATGCCAATACAAGATATTTTTACATCAATGAAATGAATATTTAGTGCTTTTACAATTTAATTTCAACTTGTTTTCTTTATAATTGTTCTTATTTTATTTATTCACATTTTCAGTTTTTTTTCTCTTTCCTTAATTTAAGTTCTTAGGTAGTTTTTTTTCCAATCCACATTTTGTATTATTCTGCACTTTTGTTGCCCATTTATGTTTTCATTCACCAATGGCAGACGGAATTTTCCATGCCGTAATGGTATGTATTTAATTGTACATTATTGGATTATAACAAATAATGTGCATTGTTATTATAATTTTAAAAATTTGTTGTTTCTCTACATTTTTCTATTTCCTAGAATTTACATTTACTAATTTGTAATTATACAATTTTAAAAAATTAAGAGTGATCTTAATTGGATTTTTTTTTGCTTTATATAAAACTAGTGATGAAGCAAAAGTACTCATAATAAAAGTGTTTTCGTACTATAAACCTAACAAATATGTTAGTCACTTCAAATATAATTGCTTTTGATTATTGTCAGCCTATTCTAGTTCGGTTACAGATAAAATAAAATACAAAAACAAATAATAATACGATTTCTTCTGTCGGATCTATGGAATCATATACAAAATACGCAGAATATATTACATGATTAAGTAAAACGAAATAATTCGGGCAATATATTGCTTAAATCGTTTTCCAGCAGTCGGACCCCTATGCCGTAAATTTACTTTAAATTATA